AAGTTTTCACCCACCGCTCGGTTTCAACATTTGATCGCTCCCCCTTTCAACTGACCGGTGAACTGTTTTTGTATGGAATGGCCCTGAAACGTTCAGCGCGCGGCGCGGCTCGCCGACCCTCTTTTGGCACGGCCCAATTCAGGTCGGCAGAGACCCGCAGCGCGCGCGGGACGACGCGGACGCGGGAGGCGACGTTCGCGGGCGACGCGGACGACGAGAGCAGCGCGAAGAGGAAGGAAGAGGAGACCGCCGCGATGTCGCACGCGTGCGCGCCCCGCCCCCGTCGTCGACTCGAGAGCCGCGCGTTTCGACAGACACACATCACGACCGCCTCTTCCCTCGAGCGACGCGACGCGACGACGACGATAATCCCCCCCCCCCCACGTCGCCAGCCTGACCGTCCCTCTCCGTCCTCCGCCTCGCTTCGCTCGCTCCCAACTCGCTCCACCCCGCAGGCGCTACGACCGCATGTGGCGCGAGTGCATGACGACGCTCGCGACGCTGGAACCGCCGCCGCTGCGACGCCCGGACCCGAAGGCGCCCGCGCCCGAGGACCCCGCGCTCGCGATCCCGGAACCGCCCCCGGACGCGAGGACGCGCGAGGACTACCACGCGCTCTACGTCGAGTACCTGAAGCTGTTCCGCGACCTCGAGGAGACGTACGACGGGATGTGCCACCCGCAGAAGCGCGATGCGGTGCGCGCGGCGCTCGAGGCGACGTTAGGTCGCGTGATCGAGCTCAGGCGCGTTCTATACACTGGTCCCCATACGACCCCGTCGGCGTGGTGAACGCCGATCCTTAAGGACTTTTGCCGGCGTTTCTCTCCGCCCACACCTCGCTTTCAATCCCCGACCGCGACGCCTTTCAACGCCAACTGACGCCTTTGAACGCCACCCCGACATCGCTTTGTATGGAACGGCCCTCAGGGAGTGGATCGTCAAGTTGAACGACGACCTCGACGCGGTGAACTTGGAGGAGACGCTGATAAACCTGAGACTCGGGCCGGACGCGCTCGAGGTGCCGATCCCGCGGTACTTCGTCGGCGACCGCGAGCGCGAGCTGAGCGACCGCGCGACGTTCCTGGAGTCGCTGCTCGAGAAGCGCGGGAGAGCGGCGATCGATTGGGACGCGCCGCCGGCGAAAGCGTCATTCGGCGCGGCGGCGGAAAGGGAGGAGGACGCGTCGACGAGAGAGCCGACGGAGGAGGAGGAGGCCGCGAGAGCGGCCGAGGAGGCGGAGCGACTCGAGCGCGAGTCCGAGCTCGAGATGCGCGCGGCGGCGTTGGTCGCGTCGAGAACCGTGGAGGAGAACACGGCGAAGATTCAGGCGCGTTCTATCTCACACTGGTCCCCGTACGACCCCGTCGGCGCGGTGAACGCCGATCCTTGAGGACTTTTGCCGTCGTCTCTCTCCGCCCAGGGTCCCTCGCTCACAATCCCCGCCCGCGTTGCCTTTCAACTCCGTTTCTGACGCCTTTCAACTCCACCCCGACGTCGCTTTGAATGATGGAACGACCCTCAGGCTTACGTCCGCGGGTTTCTGACGCGGCGACACGTGCGGCGGATGCGAGAGGCGGAGTTGATATTCCTCGGCATGCTGCCGCCGCCGAAGCCGCCGCCGGAGGAAGACCTTTATTTGATCGACGCCGCGAACCGAGAGCGGCGCAGAGCGATCAAAGAGAAGAACCTCGAGGAGCTCGACGAGGCGATGGTGACGCTGAAGGACCGCGTCAGAGAGCTGGTCGGCCAAGAGATGCGCGACCACATATCCGGGAAGATCAACGAGTGGTTCGTGGAGAACCGCGACGCGAAGACGGGGGATTACCCGGACTTCCCGAAGGTGGCGGACGGCGGCAGCCGCGACATCTTGAACCCGCCGCCGAAGCCGGAGCCCGTCCCGGTGTTGACCCCGGAGGAGGAAAAAAAGAAAAAGGCGGAGGATGAAAAGAAAAAGAAGGAGGCTGAGAAGAAGAAGAAGGAGGCGGAGAAGAAGGCTGCGGAGAAGGAGAAAAAAAAGGAGGAAGCGAAGAAGAAGGGCATCAAGTGGGAGGACCCGGACGATATAAAGCCGCCGCCGCGGTGCGCGGACGCGTTCGTGACCGCCGTCCACGCCGCCGCCGCGGCGTACGACGCGGAGTGGCGAGGGAAGAGCGGCGAGGACGACGACGAGACAAACTTTGATCAAAAGTTTGAGCAGTCGCTCGTGCTCGCGCGGCTGAAACCGGTCGTCTTCGAGGAGATTCGCGCGGAGGTGGACGAAGAGATGCGCGCGCTGCTCGAAAATTTGAAAGAGCTCGTCGCCGCGGAGAAGGCGGCCAAGGCGGGGGGGAAGGGCGGGAAGAAGGGCAAGGGCAAGGGCAAGGGCGGCAAGAAGGGCGGCGGCGGCGGTGAGACTGCTTTCCATACGACCCCGTTCGCGTGGTGCACGCCGTTCCTTAAGGACTTTTCCCGTCGTCACTCTTCACCCGCGTTTCCCTTTCAACGTTTGACCGGTAAGACGTTCGACTGACCGATCGCTTCACCCACGCAGGCAAGAAAAAGGGTGGCAAAAAAGCCGGCGGCGGCGGCAAGGGGGGCAAGAAGGGCAAGGGCAAGAAGGACCCCACCGCGGACCGCACGCTCGAGTCTCTGTTCGCCGAGCTCGTGGAGTGCGGCATCGTCCAGAAGACGCATCCGGGGTTCGTCATGGACGCGTACGTCGGCGACCCCATATCCTTTTGCGCCTCCGCGCTCGAACGCGCCGGCGGAAATCGCGCCGATTGCTCGCACGCGCAAGTCCGCGAGTCGCTGACGACGTGCGGGGTGTTGCCCATCGGGTGCTCGAGCGAGACACACGCGAAGCTGCCGAGCCACGTGAGGGCGATTCTTCTCGCGGGGCATCCGGGGTCGGGGAAGACGCTGCTGACGCACGCGGTTGCCAACGGCGCGGGCGCGACGTTTTTCAACGTCTCCCCGAGGAACACGGACGACGTCTACGCGGGGAAGCAGAGCTCCGTGATGCTTCACACGGTGTTTAAGGTGGCGAAGATGACGGCGCCGAGCGTGATTTATATCGACGAGGTCGAGAAGGTGTTTTGCACGGACAAGAAGCTGTCGAAGACGTGGGGGCTGAGGGAGAGCGCGGGGCGGATCAAAAAAGATCTTCTCAAGGAGGTCAAGGCGCTCAAGCCGGGCGACAGGGTCGTCGTGATCGGGAACGCGCGCGAGCCGTGGACGTGCGCGAAGAAGGATCACAAGGCGTTCTGCGGCTTCTTCGACAAGATATTTGTCTCCCCCGCGCCAGAGTACGGCGCCAGACGCGCCGTGTGGACCGCGCTCATCGCTCGACGCGGGAACGGCTCGACGACGCCTCCCGACTTCGCCATGTCAACGCTCGCGCACCTCAGCGAGGGACACACCCCGGGGACGATGGACGCGGTCGTTCGAGAGGTGCTGACGGAGAAGCGGATCGAAGAGGCCAACCGCCTGCCGTTCGCCGCGGCGAAGCCTCTGACGGCGGATGAGTTTTTGATCGCGCTGGCGGAGCGAGAGCCCGCGGCGGACGCGGAGGCGTCGGGAGCGTTGAGGGATTGGGTGGAGGCGCTCCCGGCGCGCGTCGCGCTCATCCCGGAGCCGGAGCCGGAGCAGGACGCGAAGAAGAAGTGAGCGGAGCGAGGGCGGGCGACGACCGACGCTAGCGATCGGATCGGCGTGCTGCTATGAACGTATCGTGACTTGAGCGCGATGCGATGAGGGTGATGAGACTGTCTACGACGACGCGTACATCATTCAAAGGATACAACAGTTAAACAACAGTTCGCTAAACTGAAGGAAGATATTTTTAAGATGGATGGACGGCCCCCGCCCGCCGCGGTCCGTTCGTTCGATCGATCGTCACATCGTCCCGTCGCCGTTCTTCTTCTCCTGGTCCCGCATGAGCTCGTCGATCGCGACCGCGACGACGGTCGCGCACATCGTGATCCCCAGCGCTTGGTTCACGCTCTGCCCTCGCATCACGCCGTAGGAGCATCCTAAGAGCGCGCCCAAGCCCGCGCTGAGCCAGTCGTACCGCGTCGCCATCTTCTCCACGCTCTCGCCGATCTTCAAGTCCGCGAACGGCGTCCCGAGCTTCTCTCCGAAGCGACCGCCGATCTTGGACTTCTCTCTCTCGTCGCGCGCGGACGCGAGGACGACGACCGATCCGCGTCCGCGTCGGACGCAGCATCCCCCCCGCGAACGCGACGAGGGCGTCGGCGCGAACGCGCGACGCGCGGAGGAGGAGGAGGAGGAGGCGCTCGGCGCGCTGACGCGCGCGGAGACGGAGCAGATCGTCGTCGTCGCCATCGTGGGCGTTGTCGAAGAGTGCGGGTGCGCGACGTGCGCGCGTCGTGGTGTGTCCCCGGTCGCGATTGCCCATAATATCGCGCTTTCGCTTTTCGGTGCGCGCGGTCGAGCGCCAATCACGAGCGAGGACGCGATCGCTTCCCGCGCGTTCTCGCGTACTCCTCTGACCGATTGCCCATACGAAAAAGTACGAGATCGCTTTACGCTTACGTGGAGATCGTCGCGCGCTCGCGCCCCGGCCGCGCAGGCCGACTCAGCACGCACGCTTCTTCTGCTTCTCTGCCACATCGAACCGCGCCGCGCTCGACATGGCGTCGCCGGTCCGCGCCCTTCTCCCCGTCCTCCTCCTCGCGCTCCTCGGCGCCGCGCGCGTCCGCGCCGACGCCGACGCCGCCGCCGAGCCGTCGTCGTCGTCGTCGTCGTCGATCGAGGCCGAGTCCCTGACCGCGGCCGAGCTCGACGCCGCGATGTTCTCGGACGACGCGACGACGCTCCTCGTCGAGCTGTACGCGCCGTGGTGCGGCCACTGCAAGCGGTTCGCGCCGACGTACGACGCGATCGCGGCCGCGCTCGCGTCATCAGACGCGAGCGCGAACAAAATCCGCGTGATCAAGGTGGACGCGACGCGCGACGACGACGCGAGGGACCTAGCGGCGAAGGTGATGGGCGTCAAGGGGTTCCCGACGTTCCGCCTCGTTCACGATCGCGCGCTGTACGAGTACAACGCGAAGCAGAGGAACGCGGAGCTGTTGATCGAGTTCGCGCGCGGCGGGTTCAAAGCGCGGGGGACGCCGAAGCGATCACTGACGAGAGACCCCGTCACCGGGAAGACCGCGCTCGTGCCCAAGCCGTTCCTTGAGCGCAATCTCGACTTTGTCCGAGAAGAGGTCGCGAAGGTGACGCGAGACGTGACCACCGTCGCCGGAAAGTTCCCGGCCGCGATGGTCGTCATCGTGTCGTTGACCGCGGCGACGACCGCGATGGCGTTCGTGCTGACCGAGATGATCGCGGAGAGAGTCGGTCTGTCCGCGCGGGGGGCGGGGCCGACGGAGACCGAGAGCGACCGCGACGCGAGGCGGGCGTGGGAGATTGAAAAATTGGAGCGCGCGGCGCGAGGGACCAAGGCGACGGGCGCGGCGAACGAACGGAGACGGAGCGTGGACCGCGAGGGGGGGAGTGGTCGGTCGCCTCCGGTGTCGCCGCGGAGCGTCAAGAAGGACGCGTGACGTGAGCGCGCGCGCGTTTCGCGTCTCTTCGAACCACGTCTATAGATCACCTTTTTCTGGTTTTGACGGACTACGTACAAACGTTCCTCTCGTCAGATGATCCAAACCGTCCCCTCGTCGAGCATGACTTTATTCTCCCGCGTCATCATGTCGAGGAACGACACCACCTCGTCGTCGCCAAACCCGGCCGCGTCCGGGTGATTCAAAAGCTCCGCGACGCCCGCCTTTTCGACGCGTTCGGACGCGAAGTAGGACCCTAAAAACCGCGCGAAGAGGTTATACCGCGCGCGCTTCTCGATCTGGTACTCCGACCGTTCGCTCGCGCCCTTCGACGATTTGCTGCCGCCCTTGGACGGCTTCTTCAGGCGCACGGGCACCACGGTCGGTTTCGGTCTCGAGTGCGATTGCGCGCGCGCCGCCGCCGCCGCCGCCGCCGCCGCCGCCGGCGGCGACGCGACCATCCCCTCTACGACCCTCAACCCCTGCTTCTTCGCGCCGCCGCCGGCGTCGGCGTCGGCGTCGTCGCCGCACTCCGCCTCCGCCTCGCTGTCGTACGCGTCGTTCTCGCTATCGTACGCCTCCTCGCCACCCTCGCTGTCGTAGCTATCCTCCGCCGCGTCGTCGTCCTCGTCGTCCTCCTCCTCCTCCTCCTCCTCGTCTTCGCTCTCGCTAAATTCTTCGAGCGTGTTTTCATCCACGTCGTCCGCGTGCGCGTCCACCGTGTCGAGGATGCCGCGCAAGCACTGCAGATACGGCACCATGCTGCTGCCGTACACGCCGTTATCTCGCAGCGCGCGAATCTCCGCTCGGAGCGCGGCGACCGGGCACGACACGACCGCGCAGTTGATCGCGCCCTTCACGAGCCACCAGTCCAGGAGCTGTTGCTTCCGGAATCGGTGCAGCTGCGTCAGCTCCTTCTCCGCGTAGTCCTTCCACTCCGCGAGCGCGTCCGGGAGCGCGCGCGACATCGGCTTCGGCGGCGCCTCGATCGGGAGCTTCTTCGGCTTCTTCGCCGCGGGCGCGTCGGCGTCGGCGGCGTCGGCGGCGGCGTCGGCGGCGGCGGCGGCGTTCTCCGGCGCGGGCGAGATCTCCGGCGCGAGATCTGCGTCCTCCGCGGCGGCCTCCCGCGGCTCGGTCGTCGTCGGCGCCGTCGTCGACGGCTCGTCGTCGTCGCTCGCGCGCGCGGGCGTCGCTTTCGCGGAGGCGCTCGGCGGCGTCGGCGTCGTCTGCGGAGGGTGGGGGGGGGGGCGATTCGCGAGGCGCCGGTGAGCGGATGGGCGCGGAGGGGGGGAAAAGCCGAACCGCGAAACGCGATTTTGAAACGAACCACCGAGCTCGAGATCGCGCTTTGACGCGCCTTGGGGTTCGTCACGTCCGCCAGCGGCGCGACCGCGCGCGGGGACGACTCCATGACCGTTCGCGAGACGCGGAGAGACGCGGACGCGAGGACGGAGAGGGCGAGGGCGCGCGCGCGAGCGCGTCGTCTCGAGTGACGACCCGACCCGCGGACGCGCGCGAAAACGACAGACGAGCGAGTTTCGATTCGAACAGGTGCCGTGACAGTGGTCGCAGTCGTCGCCATGTCAAAATGTTCAACTTTCTCTCGCTCGCCGCGTCGACGCCGCTCCCCCGCCCCGCCTCGCCCCGCCTCATAAACGCAATCACCCGCGCGAACAAACGAACGCGCCGCCGCCGCCGCCGCCGCCGCCTCTCACTCCTCCGCGTCCTCCACCTGCTCCGGCGGCGGCGTCGGCGACTCCGCCGCGCTCCTCGGCGACGGCGGCGTGAACAATCGCGCCGCGATCTTCAGCCGCGAGATGGCCGCGCTCGCCGCCTCAGCCAGCCCCGCGCCGCGTCCCATCGCGAACCCTCGCGTGCCGTCCGGCATCTTCGCCTCGACGACGCGCGAGGCGTCGCCGCCGCCTCCGAACTTCGACCCCTCCGGCCGGCCGCCGTCGCCGTCGCCGTCGCCGTCGCCGTCGCCGTCGCCATCGCGGACGTTGGTAAACGTCGGACGCTTGGGTTGCGGCGTCTCCTTCGTCCGCACGATCCGCCGCGCGCACGGCTCCTTCGTCGAGCCTTTGCTCGGCATCGACAAGGTGTACTCCACCTCGTCGCCCTCGTTGAGCGTCACGCCGTTCTCGCACTCGCTGCCGTGGAAGAACACCTTGGTCGGGACGCCGCGGTACTTGGTCTTTTTGAAGCGGGGATTGAGGATGATCTCCGGCGGCGGCGCGTCGCCGAGGCCCACCGTGCTGAGGTAGCCCACGAGCTGCGACGGTTCTTTTGACGGTTCGTCTTCCTTAAGCGAAGATTTCGCCGCTTCGTCTTCCTTCTCTTTCGCCTCCTTCGCGACCGCGGTCTTCCCTTTCGCTGCTGTCGCGTCGTCGTCCTCGTCGCCCGCCTCGCCCTCGGGGAGCTCCTCCAGGACGGCGCCGTCGTCGAAGTGCACGACGAAGCCGTACGAACCGCCCCCCTTGACGCCGCGGACGACGCCCTTGTGTCGGACGACGGCGACGTTGCACGCGCCGCGACGTTTCGTTCGCCGATCGACGCGAATCTGAAACGTCACGACGTCCCCGGGTCGCGGGTTGGTCTTGGCGTCCGCGAGCCCGGCGCGCGAGAAGGGCAGCGTCGGCGACCGCGAGGGGGGACGCGCCGCGGAGGGCGACAGCTTCTTCTCCTTTTTCGAACCCGCCGCGGAAACCGCCGCGCCCTCCACCGTCCCCTCCGTCGCCGCGGGCGCGTCGCTCGTCTCCTCCGTCGCCGCCACCTCCTCCTCCACATCCCCCTCGGGGCCCTCCGCCGCCGCCGCCGGGGCGGCTTCCTCGGGAGGGACGTACTCGGGCTCATCCGGCCGCGGCTCGAACGACACCGCGCCGTTCGTCCCGCCGTCGCGATCGCCGCGCCCACCCGCGCCGCCGCCGAACGATCCCCCTGATCCTCCCGCGCGGCCGAAGACCAGCCTCGCGACGCAGACGCCTCTGCGAACCTCCGGCTCGATCGTCTCGAACACCGCGCTGCCCTTCGGCGCGGGCTCGATGCGCGTCGCGACGGGCTTATCCCCGCCGCCGCCGCGCCCGCGGCCCAAGACGAAACGCACCTCGGCGCCGACGTCGATCGCTCGTTCGCCGCCTCGCACCTCCGTGAAGTGGAAAAACAAATCGTTCGCGCGGTCGCAGCATCGAATGAACCCGTAGCTCGCTTTCATCTGCGCGACGACGCCGTACTCGTGGTCGTCGTCCGCGGCCGCGGCGGCGGCCGCCGCGGCTAAGTCCGCGTCGGACGCGCCCCCCCGGGCGTTTGATGAGTTCGAATCCGCCGCCTTGCCCCACCGGTCGCCGTCCGACGGATTCGGCGCCGCGCGCCTCGCCGCCGACGCCGCCTCCCTCTCCTCCTTCTCCAGCTCCCTCGCGAGCGGCTCCTCGTCCTTCGCGAACGCGACGCGCGACGCGGTCGGCTTCCCCGCCCTGCCGTCGCTCGCTCGCGTGAACCGCACGGGGAGGCCGATCGCGAGGTCGTCCTCGAAGCACCCGCGTTCCAGCGCGGAGTAGTGGAAGAACAGCGACGGCGACGCGCGACCGCCGCCGCCCGCGCCGCCGCCGCCGATCTTGCGGATGAACCCGTACGAGTGCGTCAGCTTCTCGACGCGCCCGAGCTCGCGCCCGGACGCGTCCGTGCCCTTATCCGGGAGGGACGGCGCGACCGCGTCGCCCGCCGACCCGGCCGCGCCGCCGCCGCCGGCTCCCACCCGCGCCGCGTTCGAGAGCCGCACGCGCGCCGCCTTGCGCTCGTCCGTGAACCGGTCCACGACGACGTCGAAGATCACGACGTCCCCGAGCTTGAGACGCGGGCACGAGTCCGCGAGGTCGACCCCGGTGAACTCGATCGAATCGAATCGCGGGGAAGGCGCCGCCTGCGTGGGTGAAGCGATCGGTCAATCGAACGTCTTACCAGTCAAACGTTGAAAGGGAAGCGCGGGTGAAGAGTGAGGACGGGAAAAGTCCTTAAGGAACGGCGTGCACCACGCGAACGCGGTCGTATGGGAAGCAGTCTCACCGCCGCCGCCGCCGCCGCCGCCGCCGGACGCTTCTCGCCGCCGCCGCCGAGCGCCGGGAACGCGTCGTCGTCCAACCCCGCCGCCGGCGCGTCGCCGCTGCCGATCTGAAACGATATCCTCCCTCCGTACGACTCGAGCTTCGTCTTCCCCCGCAGCGCGCGCACGACCTCGCCCACGACCGCCGCGCGCTTCACGACGGGACGCATCTCGTCCGCGTTTACTTTTTCCACCCGCGTCGCGTTCGGCTTGCTCTCGCGGTCTCTCGCGCCCGCGCCTGGGACCGCCTCGCGGAGCACGAACCGGACGTCGTCCCCGGGCTTTAGCGTCGCGATCCCCTCGCTCACCTCCGACGCGTGGAAGAAGAGCTGCGGCCCGGGCTTGTGATGCCTGCGGACGAACCCGAACGAGTCGCGGAGGGTCGCGATCGCGCCGTACTCCCATCGTACTCCGTCCGCGCCGCCTCTCACGGACGCGGCGTCGTCGCCGGCGGCGGCGGCCGTCGTCGTCGTCGTCGTCCTCGCGTCGTCGTCTCTGCCTCGCGCGGGATGCGGCGGCGGCGGCGCGGTGATGGCGACGCCGCCGCCGCCGCCGCCGCCGCCGCCGCGGGCGTCGTCGCGGCGATCGCGCGCGTCGTCGCCATCACCGCGATCGTCGTCGCGCGATCGCGCAGCGGCGCCGATCGACGACGACGACGACGCCGATCGGTCGCCGCCGGCGGTCGCCGCCGCGCGCGATCGCGTCCGCGGGCCGTCCGAGGACTGCGACGGATACGACGACATCGCGGAGGGGGGCGAGGGAGTCGCGAGCGGCGTTCGCGTTCGGTCAGCGCCGAGAGAACGTCGCGGTGTCGTGGGAAGGCGCGCGCGGGACTTTGCGTCCTGTCCACGGCGGCGAGAGGCGCCGAGGGAGACGACGTGGAAGCAAAATGTCCCGCGCGCGGTTCATCGGAGGTTGATCGGCGAAGAGGGCGATTCGAAACGACACGATGTTTTTTCAAGCCGAGACGTCATCGCGAACCGCCGGTCAAATCGAATCCTTTCGGTCGTTCCCCTCAACTGAAAACTCGAATCGCCGGCGACAGGTGGCCGGGGTTCCGTTTTTCCACGACGAACCCGCGACGACGCGCGCGCGCGGCGTCATTCCCCGCGCGGCAGGTCCCTCGACACGCCATCGCACGCGCGCACGCACTCCTCGCGCGTCTTCGCATCGCGACGCTCGCGCCCGCGCGCACGTAACGCCCGCGCGTCGCACCGCGCGCGCGCGTCTCCGGAAGAGGGAGGCCCCCCGCATCTTCTCGCGCGGTCTCGGAAAACGCGAAGCCACTTCGGAAGCGGAGCCATGGCGTCCGCGTCCACGGTCGTCGCGCGCCTCGTGCAGCTGAACGACGGCGGCGCGGATGACCGCGCGTTCGACATCCGAGATAAAGAGCTCACGATCGGACGGTGCGCGCCATCGCGCGGTCGTCGTCGTCGTCGCGTCGTCGCGCGCGGCGTCGTTTCCGGCGTCCCGGGGACGCGCGCGAAACGCTCCCGTCGTGCTGTGTCGTCCCCGCGCGCGGGGGAACAAACGCGCGACCCAACAAATGCGCGTCGTCGCGTCCCCGACGTTCCCGACGTCCCCGACGCTGACGCCCCCTCCCCGCGCCCGCGCCTTCGCCTCCCCCCGCGCGCAGGCAAAACGGATGCGACGTCCACCTGAAGTACGCCGCGATCTCGCGCAGGCACGCGACGCTCGCGCCGTCGGCGAACGGGGTGCGTCCCCGCTCACGTCGCGAAAGGATGGATGCGCGCTCGCGACAAAATTTCAGATCCATCCCGCCGTCGCCGCCTTCTCCCCGCCTTCTCTATATCACACTGGTCCCCATACGACCGCGCTGGCGTGGTGAACGCCGATCCTTAAGGACTTTTGCCCGCGTTTCTCTGCGCCCACCCCTCGGTTTCAATACCCGCCCTCGGCGCCTTTGAACGCCGCCTTCTCCCCGCCCTTCCTCATGATCCATTCCTCCCTCCCTTATCATCCCAGATTCTCCTCAAGAACATGAGCAAGACTAACCCGGTGATGCTCAACGGGCTCGGCGTCACGGAGGATGGCGCGACGCTGGCGCACGGCGACGAGGTGATCTTCCCTCAGGGCGAAGACGCGCGCCTGGTGTTCCGCGTGGAGATGCTCTCCGAGATGAAAAATCTCTCCCCGGGCAAAATCCTCGCGAAGGCGTTCTCCCCGGCGAAGGACGCCGCCGCACACAACGCCAACGCCAGCGCGTCGTCCCCCGGGGCGAGGTCCCCGCTCGGGGAGAGGAACGGCGAGGAGATGGCGCCCTCTCCGAAGAAGGCGGACGCCGCGCCTCGGCCGAGCGCCGCGGTCGCCGCGAGATCGCCATCCGCGGCGGCGCCGTCGCCGGCGCGATTCGGCAAGCCGTCCCCGGCGAAGAAGAGCAAGCTGTCGTCGTCTTCGACTTGTTCTCCAGGGTCCGCCGCGAAGGGCAACAAGAGCCCCGCTGGCGCGACGCCGCACACGAAGGCTGCGCGCGCGCTCGTCGCGACCGCGGTCGCGTCCATCGTCGACGCGGACGCCGCCGCCGCCGCCAAATTGAAGGGTTCGAAGTCTCCGGCGAAGGCTAGATCGCCCGCCCTCAAGTCCCCGACCCCGAAGAAGACCGCCGCCAAGTCGCCGAAATCTCCGGCCAAGTCCCCCCGCCGCGTCCCTCTGCCCGCGGACTCGACGCCAAAGTCCGCGGGGCCGACGCCGCACACGCGCGCGGCGCGGGACCTCGTCGACGCGGTCGTAGACTCGATGTGCGCGGAGGAGGCGGAGGCGGCGGACGAGCCGGCGTCGGTGACGAAGCGATCGCCCGCCGGCGCCGGCGGGGCGAAAAAGTCCCCGGCGAAGTCTCCAAAGTCGCGGCAGCAGCAGCGCGCGGCGTCCAAGTCGCCGAACGGGCCGACGCCGCATACGAAAGCCGCGAAAGCGCTCGTCTCCGACGCGATCGACGCGATCGTGAAGGACGCGGAGGTGCGTTCTATATCACACTGGTCCCCATACGACCGCGCTGGCGTGGTGAACGCCGATCCTTAAGGACTTTTGCCCGCGTTTCTCTGCGCCCACCCCTCGGTTTCAATACCCGCCCTCGGCGCCTTTGAACTCCGTTTCTGACGCCTTTGAACTCCACCCCGACGTTCGCTTGTATAGAACGACCCTGACGAAGACGCGATGGAGGAGGAGGCTGACGACGATTTCGACGCCGACGCGCGGATGGAAGTCTCCGCCGCCGCGGCGTCGTTGCTCAAGTCCCCGACGCGCCCTTCGCTGAAAGCCCCTGAGGTTCGCATCGGCGCGCCGCCGAGCGCGCAGAAGGCGTCCGCGGCGGCGAGGCGCAAGTCCCTGCGCTTCGTCTCCGACGACGACATGGAACAAGTGCGCTTCATTCCCGCGCACAACGGCGAACCCGAGCTCTGCGGGCGGATCGCGCCGAACGACCACGCGATCATGTCCGGCTCGCGCAAGCGCGCGCCGTCGGTCAAGTTCGCGGACGCGTCGCCGTCGCCGAAATCCGCCGCGGACGACGAGGAGACGCTGCGGGACGTCGTGAACAAGATTGGCGACGTCGGCCACACAGGACCGATTCCAAAGTTATTTTTCGCAACCGCCGCGACTACCGAAGCCGCGACTACCGAAGCGTCGCCGAACGCGAAAAGTTCGAACGCGAGCAAGAAGCGCCGATCGGTGTCCTCGCCGGTCACGAGCGGCAAGCGAAGGAGCGCGGTGTCGTTCGCCATCGGCCAGGCTGAGCTCGTCGGAACGCCCGTCGCCGGGGACGCGGGTTCACGAAGCAGCGGGTTCACGAAGAGGAAAGGGACCCCCGCGCCGCCGTCGATGGCGGACGACAACGAGGGGGACGACGACGAGGAGGAGAACGATGAGAACGATGAGAACATGGAGGACGAGGTCGACTACGAGGTTGATGAAACTGAAAACGCCAAACCGACGAACGTTACGATTGTCGAGGAGGAGGGCGTCATCGACGACGAGGAGGAACGCGGCGACGCGACGATGGACGACACCGGGGAGCTGAACGACATCACCGCCGGCAGCGACGGCAGCGGCGCCATCCCGGTGTTTCGCTTGGGCGACGTCGGCAACACCGGCCCGATCCCGCACTACTCCCCCGCGTGCAAGGCGTCGCCGTCCGCGGTCGCCGTCGGTCGCGGCGGGAAGAAGCCCCCCCTCAGCGCGATCAAATCCGCGGCCAAGTCAAAGTCGCCCGCGTCGTCCGCGGCGAAATCGGCGCGGTCGCGGCGGTCGTCTCGCGGCACCACCCCGGACGCGGACGCCGCCACCCCGGCGTCGCGCGCGTCGTCCCTCGCGGCGCCGGCGAACACCCCGGCGACGTGCGCGGGCGCGAGCGCGAAGAAGAAGGCTGCGATTTCGGCGTCGCTCGACGGGATATCCGCTGCTTTCGCCAACATCGCGCAAACCCCGGGCGGGCACGCGCTTCGGCGAAGCGTCAGCGCCGTCGCGCGCCTTCTCGCGGACGCGACGACAACGCCCGGGGCCGGGACCAAGAGCGCGTTAACATCGCCCGCGGCGTCCATCGCGCGCACGATCGAGGAGGACATCACCGGCGCGGTGCACTTTGTTCGCGTCGCGGAGGAACGCGCGCACCAAGAGGCTGCGGAGGACGCCGCCGCCGCGCTCGCCGCGCGATGCCTCAACGACGACACCATGGAGGAGGAGGAGGACGCGGAGGATTTCGATTTCGACGAGGCGTTCGCCATGGACGCCGCGCTCGCGGCGGAGGGCGTGAAGGATGTCGAAGTCGTCGTCGACATTGAAAAAGCGCTCGCCGCCGCCGGCGCGGCGACGCCGGAGAAGGTGCAGCAATGGCTCGAGGACAACCTCGCGGAGGCGAACGTCGCGGACGCGATGGAGGACGAGGAAGACGTCGAAGTCGTCGCCGTCGCGGCGCACGACACGACCGCGAGCACGCCAAAGTCCGAAGCGGCCGAAGCGGCGGGCGGCGCGAGCGCGAGGTCCAAGTCGTCTGTCGGCGCGAAGTCGTCCAAATCGTCGCGTTCGCGCCGGTCCTCCGTCGACGCCGCCGTCGTCGCCGCCGTCGCCGACTCGGCGAAGAAGAAGGCGGCGTCCACGCCCGGTCTCGGCGTCGCGACGACGCCCACGTCGGCGGAGATGAACGCGGCGGAACGATCGTCGTCCCCCGCGACGCAAATCTTCAAGCACAAGGGCGCGAGCGCGGGCGGTAGGCTCTACGTCGGCGGGCTCTCGGCTCGCGTGGCGACGTTGCACAAGGCTTTGCGCGCGACGCGCGCCGCGCTCGTCAAGGAGCGCGCGCGCGCCAAATCGATGGAGGCGACGCACGCGCGCGCCGTCGAGGAGTGGACGCGCTCGACGCGCGCCGCGGCGGAGACGGCGAGCGCGGAGACGGCGGCGGCGGTGGCCGCCGCGAAGGCGGCGACGGACCGCGCGGAGGCGGCGGAGGCGGCGCTCGCGGCGGCGGAGGCGGCGCTCGCGAAGCCGCGGACGCCGCTCAAGGCGTCCACGCCGGTGAAGCTCACGATCAACGTCAAGGCGAAGACGCCGGTGAAGACGCCGGTGAAGGCGAAGACGCCGGTGAAGGCGAAGACGCCGATGAAGGCGAAGACGCCTACCCCGGCGAAGTCCCCGGAGGACGTCTGCGCGCCGTGCGAAGAAGAGGAGGAGGAGGAGGACGCGCCGTGCAAGGCGTGCGGCGTCGCGGACGACGCGGACGCGCTCCTGTGCGACGGCTGCGACGCGGCGTATCACATGGCGTGCCTGAAACCCAAGCTCAAGCGCGTGCCGAAGGGGGATTGGTTTTGCAAGGCTTGCAAGGATGCCAAGGCGGCGGCCAAGGCGGCGGCGGCGCCGCCGAAGCGCGGTCGCGCGGCTGCGGCGAAACCGGCCGCGGAAGCGCCCGAGCCGAAGCGTCGGTCGACGCGGGCGCGGTGAGCCCGCCAGCCTGGTGATCGCGTCGAGGAGGAGGAGGGTCTTTCATGGGTTGGGTTATAACGAACGGGTCGCGTCGATCTGAGGGACGGCTCGACAGACGACGCGAACGAATCGAACGGGGTTGGGGGGGGAACGAAGCGTCGCGTCGACGACAGCCGCGCGCGCTCGAGTGAACGACGTCGACGATCGTCGCGACTGTGTTTTCATACATATCACATATCACATATCACGTTTCACGCGTCGCGTCGCATCGCATCGCATCGCGCGGCTCGCGGCTTCCGCGGCGACGGCGACGCCGCCGTCGCGAGAAAGTTTGGCTCAGACTCGTCTTGCTGGAACTGTGTGATCGAAGCCGACTCTCGTTCGGCGGAGTCGGATTCAGCACTAATCCTCGCGCGGCGGACCCGATCCCCCCCCGCGCGCGAGATGTCCGCCGCACCCCCCGGGGAGAACCCCGCCACGGTGGAGACGCCCGTGGACATCGCGAAGTTGAAGTCCGCGTTAGGGTGCCCGATGTGCGGCGAGATGTTCAACTTCCCGGTCACCGTGGTGCGTCCCCCCCCCGAGGGGATGGGACGGATCTCTCCGAATTCTGTCATCATCCATCCTCTTCGCGCTCGCCCCGCTCCGCGTCGCGAACTCACTCCCCGTTCCCCGTCCGCCCCAAACTCGCAGATCGAGTGCCTGCACACGTTCTGCCACGCGTGCATCGTCAAGGAGGTGCAGCCGGGGAAGCCGGCGAACGCGTGTCCCAAGTGTAAGATCGCTTTAGGTGCGTTCTATACGCTGGTCCCCATACGACCGCGTCGGCGTGGTGGACGCCGATCCTTAAGGACTTTTGCAGGCGTCTCTCTCCGCCCAGGGTCCCTCGCTTTCAATCCCCGCCCTCGACGCCTTTCAACTCCACCCCGACGTTCGCCCTTAGGGAACAACCCGTTCGTGGAGAAGAAGATCGTCAAGGACGCGCCCAAGACGGGACTGGTAGACAAGCTACGGTCGGCGGGGAAGTGCCTCTCGGCGGAGGAGCAGAGCGCGTGGGACGCCAAGGCGGCGGCGGCGGCGGCGGCGGCGGCGACGACGACGACGGGATGAATACTACTGTAGCCCTAATACGCTTATTAGGAACGACGCGCGCGACGCGACGCGCGTCCTCCGTTATTTCTTCCGCTTCCCTCTCTTGCCGCCCCCCAGGCCCAACGACGCCTCGAAATCGTCCCCCCTCTTCGCCGCCCCGCCGCCGTTCCCGGCGTCCCCGTCCCTCTTTCTCACCGCGACGCCGATCGCGACGGGCGACAGCGGCAGCGTCGCCCACCCGTCGTCGTACTCCGGCCGTTCGAACGCCCGCGCCGCATCCGACGACGTCAGCGCGTCTAAAACTTTTCCCTTGCCGAAGGACATGTCCTCGCAGAAGACGAGCGGCGCGCCCGGCTTGAGTATCCTCCCCGCCTCCGCGATGATCTTCGCCGGGTCCGCGCTCTTCCCGAGCGCGCCCGTGGTCACGACCGCGTCGATCGACGCGTCGGGTTGACCGGTGGGATCCTCGTTCGGCTGCGCTTTCGCGACGAATGGCACCGCGCTCGCGACGCTGAGGGTCGTTCCGTCGTTCAAAGCGACGTCGGGGTGGGGTTCAAAGGCGTCAGGGGCGGAGTTGAAAGGCGTCGAGGTGTGTCGGGATTGAAAGCGTGGGACCCTGGGCGGAGAGATGCGCCGCGCCGGGAGAGAAAGTCCTCAAGGAACGGCGTTCACCACGCCGACGCGGTCGTATGGGGACCAGTCCGATACTAGCTAGAACGCGCCTGACTTGGATGAGCAGGTCCTCCTTCGCGTCCGGGTCCACGCCGACGACCATGCCGACGGTCTTCGGGTAGTAGTACAGGTTCTTCCCCGCGCCGACGCCGTACTCGAGGACGCGGCGCGCGGTCGGGGGCACGTGCCGGCCGATCATCGCCGCGGTGATGAACTGCACGCGCCAATAGACGACCGCCTTGGCGATGGCGAATCCGCCGAGGAGCGCGAGCGTCGCGCCGAGCGGGGTGGGGGACGCGAGCGCGAGCTCGAACAGCGCGGGCGGCGGCGGCGTATCCGGCGGCGGCGGCGCGGAGGAGGACGCGGCGGCGACGACGTCGTCGAAGAACGTCGCCGACGACGCCGCCATGGCGGGGGAGGAGGCGGCGGCGGCGGCGGCGGCGACGAGCGACGACGCGATCGTCGCGGTCGTCGCGGTCGTCGTCGGCGTCGTCGGCGTCGTCGCGCGGACGCGGTCGTCCGGCGACGCGGTCGCGGCGACGACGCGGCGGACGCGGTCGCGGCGACGACGCGACGCCGGCGCGGGGTGGTGGACCCCGCGCGCGGCGAGGATCATCGGAGACGTCGACCCGTGAGACGCGACGGTCGCGGTGACGACTGACGACTTCCGCGTGTTGTGAGATGGTGACTCATCACCACGACAATCATTCATCCCAGCGCGATCTGATCGGGGACGGCGGGCGCGGTCGCGTCCGCGTCCCTCCCGCGTCGTCGCGGTCATCATGGACCGCACGAAGGACGTCGTGACGTTCGCGCATCCGAACATGCGCGGCGGCGGCGACCCCGTCCGCGTGCGCCAGAACACGGACGACGCGAACGCCGCGGACGCCGTCAACATCGCGAGCCAACATCGGCGCGACCCCACCGCGCGCTGGGTGTGGGACGCGGCGACGTCCACCGCGACGTGGCTGTGCGAGCATCCGGAGTTCGTTCGCGGGAGGGACGTCGTGGAGATCGGCGCGGGGACGGGGTTACTAGGTACGTAGGAGAAAGACGCGCGCGCGCGGGCGTCTTCGTCTCGACGCTCCAGTCGTCTCCTCCCGATGACGAGTCCCGACAGTGATGATGAGCTGAGCGTTGAGCTGAGGGTGGAGTTGAAAGGCGTCAGTTGGAGTTGAAAGGCATCGAGGGCGGGGATTGAAAGCGAGGGGTGGGGGGAGAGATGCGCCGGGCAAAGTCCTTAAGGATCGGCGTTCACCACGCCAACGCGGTCGTATGGGGACCAGTGTAAAGAACGCCCCGAGAGAGCGCAATAGATCCATCTCGCGCTACTAACGTCAGATGACATCATCCATCGTCCGTCCGCCAGGCATCGTCGCGTCGAGACTGGGCGCGAAGCGCGTCACGCTGACGGACCTCCCCTCGGAGCTCCCGCTCCTTCGACGCAACGTCGCCGCGAACGCGAACGCGAACGCGAGCGCAGCGGGGATCGACGACGGCGGCGAAGAAACGTGGTCGTACGGGGATCATCAGTCTGATGCCGGGACGAAGCTCCGCGTGATGCCGTGCGCGTGGGGCGACGACGCCGCGCTCGCGTCGCTCGGGACGTACGACGTCGTCCTGTGCTCGGACGCGCTGTACCAGAACGACGAGGAGACGCAGGCGAAGCTCGCGAGGACGCTGAGTCAGGTGCGTTCTACACAAAAGTTTTTCACCCATCGCCCGGTTTCAACATTTGATCGCGTCCCCTTTCAACTGACCGGTGAATGTTTTTTGTACTCAGCTCACGAACCGTGAAACGCCCGACGCGAGGGCGTTATTCGCGTATCACTTCCGGGAGAATTTAGCCGCGGATCGTCGCTTCTTCGAGGCGATCGCGACGCTGATGAGCGACCCGAAGCAGCACGACGTCGTCGACGGCGAGCTCGACGCCGACGAGCTTTGGCTGTTCGAGTACGCGCACGCGAAGAAACCCGCGGTGGGGGGATCGTAGAGTGGTACAGTACAGGTACTACTGCGCGGAGGTAACTTTAGTTTGCGACGACGACGCGAGTACTTATTTAGTCTCTACGAAGGTAGCTAGTACACGTAGGCGTAGAAATCAACGATTCGATCGACGAAATTACCTAGTAGTCTACGCGCTCCCCGGCGGCAACGGAGGACAAGGCGCGCCGCAGCTCACCGCGCACGCCGGGCCCTTGCTATCCCTCGCGCCGTTAACGCCCGTCATGAACTCTGGGTTCCGCTCGCACCACCCTTTCCGCGCCCACTCCGCGCATTCGTCCCACTCGTCCACGCACCTCGCCGTCGCGTCGACGGCAGCGCGGTCGCCTCGCGTCAACGACGGCATCGGGAGCTCGCCCGTGAAGCGCCCGTCGAACTTCGCGACGCGTATCCACTTCACCGCTGTCCATTTCTCGCCTCTGAGCACCGGGCACGCGCCGTGGAGGCTCCCTTCATCTAATTTGTAGTCGGACGTCAGCGACCAGAACAGCACCGCGTCGCCGCGTTTGGACTTCACCGGCAGCCCGCGCTTCGCGCAGTCGCTGAATGCGCCGTCTTTTTCGCCGTCGTGGAATCCTTCCGGTTTCTTCGCGTTCGGAAATATCGTCTCCCCGCCCTCTTCGGTGTCTTTGAGGTAGATCAGCATCGTCGCCATCCGCTGCCCGCCGCGGTTCGGCGAGGGGTTGATCTTATCGTGGAAGTAGTCGTAGTGCGGGTCGTACTTTTGCCCGTGTTCGTATCGCAAAATTTGCATGCCCTCGCCGTTCTCCTCGGGCAGTCCGACGGCGGCGGCGACGCGTTCTTCCACCATCCGCACCGTCGGCGTCTGCCCTTTCGTCAAGAACATCCCCGCGGAGGTTCGAATCCCGCTCTTCGTGGACTTCTTCCCGCCGTCGGCGACGACCGTCGACGGCGCGAGCTGCGCTTTCGCGAGCGCGATCAGATGCCGGCACTCCTCCTCGGTGAGAAAATTTCTAAAGAGGTACGCCTTCGGACGCGTCGCGGACAACACGAGCGGCGGCGATCGCGGGAACCCCGGGACGTTAACCAACTGGTCCGCGCGCGCGTACACCGACTTGGGGAGCGGGCGCGCGCTGGACAGGAACCGCTCCTCCGACTCCGCGGCGGCGACGGGGGCGGACGGACTTTCCTTCGCCACCGGCTCGTCCGGGTCGACGTAGTCGTCGCCGCCGAGACTGGAGGGGTGGAGTTCAAAGGCGTCAGAAGCGGAGTTGAAAGGCATCGCGGTCGGGGATTGAAAGCGAGGGACCCTGGGGGGAGAGACACGCCGGGCAAAGTCCTTAAGGATCGGCGTTCACCACGCCAACGCGGTCGTATGGGGACCAGTGTATAGAACGCACCTGGAGGGCTCCTCGTCCTCGTCCTCCTCGTCCGCGTCCGCGACGTCCCGCGCGTCGTCTGTCTCCGTCTCCGTCTCCGGGGGCGCGTAGTCGCTCTCGTCGACGACGTCCGACGCGTCGACGCGGGGCACGCCGTCGTCGCCGTCGCCGTCGCCGTCGCCGTGGCCGTGGCCGTGGCCGTCGCCGTGGCCGTCGCCGTCCGTCGTCGGGCTCGCGACGTCGTCTCCTGCTCGCGACGTCGTCTTCGTCGTCGCGGCGTTCGCGTTCGCGTACAACGCGTCTAGCTTCTCGTCCATCGCGACGCGCGCGCGCTCCTTGATGGTCGCCGTCAGCGCGCCGCGCTTCGCCGCGGACGCGAGCGATTCGCGCGTCGTCGTCGTCGTCGCGCTCGGCGCGGCGTTCGTCGGCGCGACGCCGCCGACGACGCGGATCTCGTCGACTCGAGGCGCGCGACGACGAAACGGCGCGCGCGCGGATCCGGCTCCGGATCCTCCCGCGTCCATCGCGTCGTCCACGCTGGAGAGCGCCTCGGAGATCGTGAACACGGTCCACGCGAACGCGAGCGCGGCGAGGAGCCACGGGAGGCTGATCGGGAAGCCTGCGGGAATGGACGCGACGCGATGGAGGAGGACGAGGGACGGGGGGGGTGAGGCGAGGACGCGCGGGTCGGAAGAGATTCAATCGATCGCACAGGACAGGACGACGACGACCACGATCGCGTCAGATCTGCCGCGCGCGACGCGGCGTGCGGCGGGAACCGACGACCGACGACGCACCGGACGCGCTGGACTTCCGACCGCCGGCGCGCGGCATCAGCGCCGCGCCGCGCATGACCATATCGCCCCTCGTGCGGGGGTGTTGTGTCCGAGGGCGCGGCGACGGTGTCGAGTTGATGTTGTCGCGCTCTATAAAAATCCGAAGTATGAGGCGACATCGACAGCTGTATAAATAATACGTCGGACGGCCGGTCGCTCTGTTCATCACCCCGCGCCTCCAACGCACTCCGCCCACGCCCGCCGCGCTATCCCCAGCCACTCGCGCTCGGACACCTTCCCGCGCTCGCCTCTCACGCCGCCGACGAACGCGCGTCGCTCGCTCGCGAAGACGAACCGCCGAAGCTCTCTCGCGACCTCGTCGTGGCGGCGTCGGCTGACTCCGTCGCCGTCGTCCACCTCGGGGAGCACGAACACCGCCGCCGCCGCCGCGTCCTCCTCCTCGCGCGTCGACAACGACTCGATCGCGGCGCGCGTCGTCGGCGCCGTCGGCGTCCCGAGGCGCATCGCGCGCGACGCGGGGACGCGCGTCTGACAGAACACGATCCGCGCCCGCTCTCGCGCGCCGCCGACGTCGTCTTCCTCCTCCTCCTTCTCCTCCTCGCGCGCCGCCGCGACCATCGCCTCCGCGGCGCGCGCGTCGTCGTCCTCGCCCATCACGACGACGACGTGACACGTCCGCAGGAGCCACCGCGCGAGGCGCGACGCGACGCGTCGCTCGCGTTCCGCCGCCGCCGCCGGCGGCGGCGGCGTCTTCCCACCCGCGCCCGCGACGGACGTCGACCGCCGTCCGGCGCGCTCGCCCGCGAACAGAGGCGGGGTGTCGACGCATATGACCCTGTCCTCGGCGACGCGAATCGACACCGCGCGCGTTGTGTCGCGCTCGAACGGCGGCTGCCCGAGGACGGACGGCGGCGGCGTCGTCGACGACGACGACGACGAAGCCGCCGCCGAGCGCGATTGCGATTGGTTTTGATTATTTCCTCCGACGCCTCGTACACGCACGCCTCGCGTCTCCCCCGGGCCCCCTCCCTCGGCGCTCTCCTCGCCGCCGCATACGCCGACGGTCGACGGGAACCCTACGAACGTCCCCGCGAGATCGCTCTTCCCCGTCGACTTCGTCCCCATCACGCCGACGACGACGAAGGACGACGCGTCCGTGAGCAGGTGCGCCCTCAGTCGCTCCCCCGCGCACCACGCGCCTCTGTCGTCCACGACGCGCAGCTCTCGCGCGGAGAACGCGGGGGCGGCGACGATCGCCGCCGCCGCCGCCGCGGCGGCGGCGGCGGCGGCGTCGCGCGCGTCCGCGCCGCCGCGCTTGGGGTTCGCGCCGCCGAGGACGACGCGGTGCGTCGACGCCATCGCCCGCGCGCGGCGCGTTGTGACTAGGATGAACGACGCCGTCGTCATCGCGCTCGTGCCGTTCGCGTTCTCGGACGTTTCGATGATGACGCGGTCATCAGTTGCACCTCGCGCGGCGGCGCGGCGGAGGCGGCGCGATGCGCCTCCTCCCTCAAGTCCTCTTCCTAGCGATTCTCCTAGCGATTCTCCTCCCGCGCGGCGCGTCGTCCGCGCCGCCGCTGCCGCCGTGCCGCCCCGGCGCCCCTCCGGGCGCGCCGTCGTGCTACGCGCTCCTACATCTCGAGCGATCGCTCGACGCGAGCGCGCGACGCGTGCGCAAAGCCTACCGCGCCGCCGCGCTCCTCGTGCACCCGGACAAGTGCGCGAACTGCGACGACGCGACGCGTTTGGCGAACCAGAGACGATTCGTCGACCTCGCGTTCGCGTACGAGACCCTACGCGACGACGCGAGCCGGTTCGACTACGAGCGCGGCGCGGGGCGATGGGCGCCGGGGAAGGCCGACGCGAATCCAACGCGCGACGACACCTTCGACCCGTCCTCGACCCGCGGGGGCGCGTGGGCGCGCTCGCGGTTCGACGAGGCCCGCGACCCGCTGCTGACGACGCGCGGATGGGCCGCGCTCGCGGCGTGCGCGCTCGTCGTCGCCGCCGTTCGGGCCGTCGCGAGAGCGTGCGATCGCGCGGCGCGGCGATTCGCGCGGGATCGCGCCGCGACGACGGGCGCGCGGAAGGGCGCCGCGCGGCGCCGACGCGAGCGGGTCGAATCCGAAGCGCGCGCGCGCGAGGTCGCGACGACGACGGGAACGCAGCGGAGGGAGCACCGGCGGAGGGAGATGAACGAGGCGGCGGCGGCGATGGCATCGAGGGTGGCGGCGGCGGCGCGCGACCTGAACGCGGCGACGGGCGGCGGCGTCGACGACGACGACGACGACGCGGTCCCCGAGCGTTTGCGGACGCTCGCGAGGCAGGGGTCCCTCGCGGCTCACCAGACAATGAAGCTGCTGGCGCGGACGCGCGAGTTGTGGGGTTCGGGTAGTGTCGGACATGGGGTGTCGGACACAAGTGTCAGACACGATGTCAGCGACGCGGCCAACACGGACGGGATGGCGGCGACGTTGACGCGCACGTTTCTCGCGCTCGCGTCGTCGCCGCCGCCGTGGGACTCGCTCGTCGTCGGCGACGAAGCGTTGCGGACGCGGCTCGCGGCGTGGGGGAAGGAGGCCGCGCGGTTGGGCAGGGATTTCGTACCGAGTCCATTCGCCCTCGGCTGTACCGGCTGGGACGACGGCACCGGCGACGGCGTCGACGACATGCGACGACTGACGCGTTCGCTTCGCGCGTGGGAGCGGTCGTCGAATCAGTTCGCGACGCTCGTCCGCGAGCTCGCGGCGCACGCGCGCTCGTGCGCGGCGACGCTGCGCGCCGCGGACGCGCGCGACCGAGCGCGATGGAGCAAGGTCGAACGCGCGACGTTGAAGCGCGCGATGACGACGCATCCGAAAGGGACAGAACGGCGGTGGGATCGCATCGCGGAGGCGTTCGAGGGGCGGAGGTCCGTGGAGGAGGTGAAGCGGTACGTCGCGGAGATGGTCGTGCTCGCGCGCGATCGCGCGGGGGCGAGCGCGGAGGGCGAGTCGAGCGGGGCGCCACGCGCGTAGCCGACGGCTTGACGAGATATCTTCGTTCATTAGATCTAAGCTGCTTATGATATTCGTAGACTGGCTCTCTGGATCCGATTTAACAGCCGGGAACCCAACACTTGTTGTTGTAGATCCCCGCGCCGATGACGTCGCCGTCCTTCTCCCCCTGCGACTCGTCTATCCTCAGCATGCACCGCCCGCGCTCGAGATTCTCAGACGCGTCCGAATCCGAAACCGCCGAATTAGTATCCGAGTCGCCGCCCGACAGCCGGAACCGCTGGCACGAGTGATTCGCCGCGCACTTCGCCATGCACGCCGCGCGCGTGACGTCCCCGCGCTTGCCTCCTACGCCGAACGCCTCGAGCTCGCCGCCGTCCGCGCGCGTGACCTTCACCGCTCCGTGCGACCCGCCGCCGTCCGCCGCCGGATCCGGTCTAGTAGACCTCTCATCTGACTCGGTGACCTTCCACGGCGTCGAGAGCCGCCCTCTCAGCCCGCGCTCCGCGGCGACCGCGCGCGCGATCGCGCTCGCGTCCTCGTCGCTCACGCTCACGTTCCCTTTGCGCGCGTTATACCGGCAGTAATACATCTGCATGCACGCGTTCGTCGTGAACGTTCGGCCGATGACCCTCGCCGTCGTCGACGACGGCGGCGACATCGTAAACCCGTACGACAGCCCCCATTCCAACGCGGCGCGCTTGTACCCGTGCTTGTAATACCGATGCGGGAACACCTCGTACAGGAGCGCTCTCGGAGGGAGAAATAAGTACAGCATGCTCTGAAACCCGTGCGGCGTGAGCAGGAGCTCCGCGCGACCGAGGCACCGCGCGAGCAAACACGGCGGCAGAAAGTCGTCGTGCGTGACGACGGTGACGATCCAATCGTCGCCGAGCGCGGCGCCGACGCGCGACGCGACGTCTCCCGGATCCCTCAGCGCCCTGCCGACGTTCCGCTGGTAGATCACCGCGTGGCGACGAGAGTTCGAGTTCGAGTTCGAGTTCGTCGTGGGATCGGAATTGCACGGCGCCGCCGCGAGCGCCGCGGTCGGGTACACGCGCGAGTCCGACGCATCCACCCCCGCCGAGATCCGCCTCGCGTCGTCGTCTTCGTCGTCGTCGTTCTTCCCCCCGTCGAGCCCGCACAGGCGTTCGAGCGTCCCGCGGAGGCTTCTCACGTCCGCGGCGGTCGGCGCCCAGTCCCCGCGCTCGGACTTGGCCGCGCCGAACGCGCCGCCGCCGCCGACGGCGACGGCGACGCCCGCCGTCGCCTCGCACGCCGTCGTCTCGCCGCCGCCGCCGCCTCCTCCGTCTTCTCCGCGACTCGCGGGGCCGGCGTCGACGACGAACCGCTCCTCGAGCGGCTGCGTCGCGTCGAAGTGCCAGCTCGCGCGATCCCACCCGCACGTCAATCCCACGGAGGATGTTGACCTCTTCGAAGTCGACGCCGCCGCCGCCGCCGATCCAATCGTCCCGGTCGGCGCGAACGCGACGCGCCGCGACCGGCCGTCCGTGTACGCCAGCGCCAACAGCAGCCGCGTCATCGGCGTGAGCTGCGTCGTCCACGCGGGCGACGCGACCTGGATGATAACGTCGGGCGCGGGCGCGGACGAGGTCGCGTTGCCGCCGCCGCCGTCCTCGCGCGCGGTCGCGACGCGCAGTCTCGCGTGGTTTCTGACGACGGCGGGTTCCCGTTCAAAGCGACGACGTCGGGGTGGAGTCGAAAGGCGTCAGGGGCGGAGTTGAAAGGCGTCGAGGGCGGGTATTGGAAGCGAGGGACCCTGGGCGGAGAGAAACGCCGGGAGAGAAAGTCCTTAAGGATCGGCGTTCACCACGCCGACGCGGTCGTATGGGGACCAGTGTGAGATGACAGAACGCGCCTGAGATGAAACTCGCAGACGTGGAACCAGTGGTTCGCCGAGTACTTGCGCGGCTTGCGCGTCTCCGGGTCCGGGTCCGGGAGCGCCAGCGCGATCGCGCGCGGCGGCGGCGACGACGAGGGTTCGATCGCGCACGACCGCGCCGCGCTCTCGCACGCGCGCGCGTCCGCCGCGGTCGTCGTCCGCGTCGAAGCGTCGGCGCGCGGCTTCGAATCTCGTCTCGCGTCTCCCGCGCCGACTCCGGTCGCGAGGCTCACGACCCACCCCGTCGTCGCGACGCCGAGGAACGCGCTCGGGAGGTTCACGACGCACGCGACGATCGCGAAGCACAGGAGCGCGGCGCGCTTCGTCAGCGGCCGCGACGACCGCGGTCCCCGCGGTCCCCGCGGCGCGTGCCGCGGAGACATCGTGCCCATCGATCGATCGATCTGGCGCCCGAGGCGCGGCGAGTGGCGAAACTTCGCGAAGTGCCGATCGCGTATTCCGAGCGTCGGGTCAGCGTTCATCGGTCAGTTGATCGGACCGCGGTGAAATGTTGAACCCGAAACGTAGGGTGAACGAACAGATACAGAAGTCCATCTGCCAGCGCGGCAAAAGTGCCCGATGAGTGGTCGCGGTCCACGAAAGGTCGCGCGTCGCGCCGCAACGTTTTTTTTATTCCATCGCCGCGCCGCCGCCTCGCTCTCGCAGCGCGCACGCCATGCACGCGCCCTCCGCGGCCCTCCGCGGACGCGCGACGCCGTCGACGAAACCACCCCAGGTCTCGGCGCGCGCCGCCGCCGCCGCTTCGCGTCCCCTCGCGGTCGCCCCGAGGGCCGCGGCGAGCGCGAAGGCGCCGTCCGCGCCGTCGAGTCCGTGGCCGTGCTCTAAATTCCTCGACGTCGGCGTCTCCACCCCGCCGCTCGGCCTCGGCCTCGCCGCGCTCGGTCGCCCGGGGTACATCAACCTCGGGCACGGCGCGGACATCACGTCGGCGAAGAGCGTGGACGACATGCGCGCGCGCGCGTTCGAGGTCCTCGACGCCGCGTACGCCTCCGGCGTGCGATACTTCGACGCCGCGGCGTCGTACGGCGAGGCGGAAGAGTTTCTCGGCCGGTGGCTCGCCTCGCGGGGGGTGTCGCCCGCGGACGTCGTGATTGGAAGCAAGTGGGGGTACACGTACACCGCGGACTGGAGGGTGGAACTCTCGGCGGGGGAGCCGCACAAGGTGAAGGAGCACAGCGCGGAGAACCTCCGAGCGCAGTTCGCGACGTCGCGAGATCTACTCGCGCCGCAGCTCCGATGCTACCAGATCCACAGCGCGACGAGCGACAGCGGCGTGCTGAGGAACGACGACGTGTTGAACGAGCTCAGAGCGATGAAGAGAGACGGGGGGATGAAGATCGGGCTCACGGTCACCGGCGCGGAGCAGGGCGACGTCATTCGCGAGGCGATGACCGTGAAGATGAACGGCGGCGGCGACGGAGAAGACTCTGAGGTACGTTCTATACACTGGTTCCCATACGACCGCGTCGGCGATGTGGACGCCGATCCTTAAGGACTTTCGCCGGCGTGTCTCTCCGCCCACCCCTCGCCTTCGATCCCCGCCCACCCCTCGCCTTCGATCCCCGTCCTCGAAGCCTTTCAACTCCATCTGACGCCTTTCATCTCCACCCCGACATTCGCTTGTATGGAACGACTCTGAGCTCTTATTCGACGTCGTCCAAGCGACGTGGAACGTCATGGAACAGAGCGCGGGCGACGCGTTGACGGACGCCAGACGCGCGGGGATGCACGTGATCGTGAAGGAGGCGCTCGCGAACGGGCGGCTGACGACGCGGAACGACGCGCTCGCCGCGCAGAAGACGCTCGCGGCGTTGCAAGTGCTCGCACGGGAATTCGGCAACGAGGGCCCCGGGGAGTTTGACTCGTTCGTGTACAAGCCCGACGCCGCGGCGATCGCGATCGCGATGCACCAAGGGTTCGATGCGATGGTGTTATCCGGCGCGAGCACGACGGAGCAGATGCGGAGCAACGCGGGGGCGATCACGCTGCTGCGGAGGTTTCGCGACGGGGGGGCGAGGGCGGAGGAGAGAATAGCGGAGGTGCTCGCCGTTGGACGCGCGGACCCGGAGGCGTACTGGTCGCAGCGCTCGAAGCTGGCGTGGAACTGACGTGAGTATTAATTAACGGATACGGGGATGGCTTTATTAGTTCGTTTGGTATCACGAGCAACGAGTAGGGTAGGGCTAGCTGCTACGAGAGGATGACGTCGTCGCGTCGTGTTGAATTTCTCAAATCATATGTGCAATTGAAAAATATGAAAAAGAGCCGCGACGAGCGGGGGCGTCTCCGTCTCGCGCGCCCCCGAAGAAGAGGTCCTCCTCCTCCTCCCCTCTTCTCGCCGCGTGCTCGCAGCGCGCGCTTCAAAAATCATAGAAAGAATCTTGTTGGTGTTGTGTGTTCTACAGACTACCGCCCGCCGAGACGTCGTCGCGTAATAGGCGCGTCCCGGCTGGCGCGACGGCGAGGGCGAGTCGAATCGACTCGTTCGAATCGTTCGATCACGCCTTGCCGCCCGTCTGCGCGGCAACCTCCGCGGCGAAGTCCTCGACCCGCTTCTCCAAACCCTCGCCGAGGTTGTACTTCGTAAACCTCCGGATGGAAATCTTCTCGCCAATCTCCGCGGTCGCCTCCTTGATGAGCTCGTCCACGGTCTTGCTCGTGTCCTTGATGAACGGCTGCGTCAGCAGCGCCTTCTCGTTCACCATCTTATCCAGTCGGCCCTGGACGATCTTCTCGCGGATGTTCTCCGGCTTGGACTGCAGGTCCTCCATCTTCATCTGCACCTCGCGCTCCTTCTCGATCATCGCCTGGTCCGCGTCGGACGGGGAGACGTACTCGATCTCCGTGCAAGCCGCCACCTGCATCGCGATGTCGTTGGCGAGCTCCTTAAACTTGTCGCCGCGCGCGACGAAATCCGTCTCGCAGTTGACCTCGACGAGGACGCCGAGGCGCGCGCCGGCGTGAATGTACTGCACGACCGCGCCCTCCGCGGCGATGCGCGACGCCTTCTTGTCCGCGCCCGCGATGCCCTTCTTGCGGAGCCACACGATCGCCTCTTCGACGTCGCCGTCGCACTCCCCGAGCGCCTTCTTGCAGTCCATCATGCCCGCGCCGGATTTGTCGCGGAGCTCCTTGACCTGCTTGGCCGAGATGTTCGCGGTGGTCTTCGCGGGGGCGGCGGCTTCCTCCTTCTTCGGCTCCTCCTTCTTCGGCTCCTCCTTGGGCTTCTTGTCCGCGAGCGCCTTGGTCTGCGCCTCAACCTCCGCGGCGAAGTCCTCGTTGCGCTTCTCCATGCCCTCGCCGAGGTTGTACTTCACGAAACGACGGATGGAAATCTTCTCGCCAATCTCCGCCGTCGCTGCCTTGATGTACTCCTCAACCGTCACGCCGGTGTCCTTGATGAACGGCTGTTTCAGCAGCGCCTTCTCGTTCACCATCTTATCCAGTCGGCCTTGGACGATCTTCTCGCGGATGTTCTCCGGCTTGGAGAGCATATCCTCCATCTTCATCTGCACCTCGCGTTCCTTCTCGATCGCCGCCGGGTCCGCGTCGTCGGGGGAGACGTACTCGATCTCCACGCACGCGGCGGTCTGCATCGCCATGTCCGCGACGAGCTCCTTGAACCTGTCTCCGCGCGCGACGAAATCCGTCTCGCAGTTGACCTCGACGATCACGCCGAGGCGCGCGCCGCTGTGGATGTACGCGCCGACCGCGCCCTCCGCGGCGATGCGCGACGCCTTCTTGTCCGCGGAGGCGATGCCCTTAGGGTCGTTCCATACGAGCGATTGTCGGGGTGGAGTTGAAAGGCGTCAGCTGGCGTTGAAAGGCATCGATGGCGGGTATTGAAAGCGAGGGGTGGGCGGAGAGATGTGCCGGCAAAAGTCCTTAAGGATCGGCGTTCACCACGCCGACGCGGTCGTATGGGGACCAGTGTATAGAACGCACCTTCTTGCGGAGCCACGTCGCGGCTTCCTCGATGTCGCCGCCGCACTCCTGGAGCGCCTTCTTGCAGTCCATCATGCCCGCGCCGGATTTGTCGCGGAGGGCTTTGACCTCCTTCGCGGAGACCGCGCCCGCGGCGGCGGGCGCGGCAGCCTTGGGCTCCTCCTTCTTCGGGGCAGGCTCGGGCGCCGCCTTCTTCTCCTGCGTCGGCGGAGAGAAAAAACGAGACGATCGTCGCGGGGCGGGGGAGGGGACGAGTCGAGGTCAGTCGTCGCGTCTTCGTTCGTGCGATGATAAATATGAATGAAAAGCGGCGGTGCGTAGTGTTAGTACACGCCATCGCGACTACTGGGGCTAGTAGCCGCGGCCGGCGCGCTGGGGAGTCGGGTCACGGTTCGAATCCCCCCGCGCGCGAAGAGAATCGAAATCGATCGCGTCGATCCTTCGCTTCTTCACGCGGCGGCGGTTGACGAATCGTCGCTGCTCACCTCGACGACGGGCTCGGCGGCTTTCGCCTCCGCCACGGGCTCCGGCTCCGGCGCGGGGGGCGCCTCGACCTCGGCCTCCTTCACCGGCTCCGGCGCGGCGGCGGGCGCGGCGGCAGCCTCGGTGTTGTCCTTCTTCTTCGCCGCCTCCTTCGTCAGCTTATCCGCGCCCGGAAACTGCGCCGGCGTGAGGCCGATCGACTTGAACGCGTACTCCATGCTCCCCGCGCTCGACTCCGTCTGGATCCCCTCGAGCATCTCCTTGAGGTCCATCTTCTCCTTCATCGAGAGCTTCACCTTCTGCCCGTCCACGCCGAGGACGCGCACCTTGACCGTCTCGCCGACGGTCACGAAGTCCTCCGGCTTGACGTTGTAATCCTCGGACATCTGTGAGGGTCGTTCCATACAAAGCGATGGCGGGGTGGAGTTGAAAGGCGTCAGTTGACGTTCAAAGGCGTCGAGGGCGGTGATTGAAAGCGAGGGACCCTGGGCGGAGAGATGCGCCGGGCAAAGTCCTTAAGGATCGGCGTTCACCACGCCGACGCGGTCGTATGGGAACCAGTGTAAGGAAATCGCACCTCCGTGACGTGCACGAGCCCCTCGACGCCTTCTGCGATCTCCACGAAGGCGCCGAACGCTTGGATGGACTTCACGACGCCCTCCACCGTCGTGCCCTTCTTGATCGCGCGGACGGCTTTCATGCTCTCCTCGCTGGCCGCCTTCTTCGCCTTGCGCTCCTGGAACTTCGCCTCTCTCTCCGCCTCCTTGGCGAGGATGGTTTCGAGTTCCGCGGCGGACGGCGGGGGTTTCATCGTGAGCGAGATGCGGCCCTTCTCCGCGTCGATCGACTTGATGAACACCTGGACCTCTTGGTTCTCGGAGACGACGTCCGCGACGTTCTCGACGAAGCCGTCCTTGAGTTCGGAGATGTGCACGAGGCCGTCGGACTTGGCGCCGAAGTCGACGAAGCAGCCGTACTCTTGCACGCGTTTCTGTTAATCGAGAGAAAGATAGATCGGGGCGCGGAGGGTGGTCAGCGGGGGGCGGGGGTTGGTCGAAGAGGGGGGGGCGCGTCACTCGCGACTCGCGACGGCGTCGACGCGCGACGGCGTCGACGCGCGGAGGCGCGCGCGTCTCGAACGACGACGACGACGACGACGACGACTCGCGAGAGAGAGAGAGCATCGCGGAACGCGCGCGGCGTCGAGGCGTCGACAGCCTTAACCCTAAGCCCTCGAACCGCCGCTTCTGGGCCGTCCGCCGTCGCGTTCTGTGGCTCAGGACGTAATGCCGGCGTTCGGGGCGACGACGCGTTGGCGCGGCGCATCGCGCGTCGCGACACCGCCGAGCAACGCGCCGTCGCTCCTCCTCGCGTGACGCGCGCACGAGATGCGAAGGAGAGCGAATTCGAGCTCGGGGACGCACCACGACTCCCTTGAACTCCGCGCCGACGACGACTTGCTCGTCGGTCACCGTGACGTTCTTCTTCACGAAAGGCTTCTTTCCCTTCGGCTTGGGCTTTTCCTCGGAGACCTCGACCTCGGCGACGGTGGCGCGGAGCGCGACCGCGCGGCGGACGGACTTCGCGTTCGAGCGCTTAACGCCGAAGCGAGCCTGCGTCGTCGTCATCGCGGAAGGGGCGGGCGCGAGGCGTCAGCGGCGGCGAGCGACGGACGGCGGAGCGACGTGTCGGGATAAATCGACGAAGCGGTGGCGCAAAAAGCGGAAAGCGCGGCGCGCGCGGATTCCGCGCCTCCGGCGAACGCGCGCGCTCAGACGGGCGACGTCGCGGACGCGCACCTGGACGTTGGGGGCGACGGTCGCCATGGCGGACGTGGCGGACATTGCGAGAATACGTTCCGACGGCGTGCGTGTCGCGCGCGTGTGGAGTGTTGCGCGCGTCGAGCGCGGAGGCTGTGAAACTAACTCTCTGTTATCCTCTGTCGCTGCGCTGTCGCTCGCACTCAGAGCCGGTCGTTCTACTCGACGGCTCAGACGTACGGAGCGATGTTTCGTACGCGACGTCATTCAGACGCGAGGTAGAAAAACTACTCGTACTCCGCGCGGTCGTTCGCGCGATGACACGTGGTCGCCGGTCGCACTCGGCCGCAGCGACCTCGAGTGCCCTCTCGACGCTCGCGCGCCGCGCGCGGCGCCACAACGACGCGCGAGCATCCCACACGTGTCGTCATGGTGCAGCTTCATCACAACGACGCCGCGAACGACGCCGCGGCGACGAGCGCGGTGCGTATTCGCGCGGCGACCGACGACGCGTCTCGCCCGTCGCGCCCCCGCGTCGGCGCGCGCCGCGCCGCGCAGCCCGCCGCGCTTCCGCGATCGCATCGTTATCGGTCCCTCGGACGCTGACGCGCGCCTCCCTCCCTCCCTCCCTCCCTCCCTCCCTCCCGTTCCCAGGTCGGCCGCGTCGTCCGCCGCGTCGTCCGCGACGTCGCCCCCCTCGGCAGCCTCGCGACGCGCGCGACGGAGCTCCGCGTCGCCGCGCGACGCGCGATCGCGCGCGCGGCGTCGGCTTCCGCCGTCCCGTCGTCGCGCGTCGCGGCGACGACGCCGGCGTCCGACGCCGCGGTCGCGTCCATCTCGCCCATCTCGCTCTCGCGCGCGTACAACCCGCTGCGTCACGGCGCGTGTTTCGCGGCGATGATCCCGGGCGACTCCGCGGTCGAGCAGGTCATCACGAGCGGGCTCTTCAGGCGCGTCCTTTCCGATCAGATGAAGAATTCTGTGCACCACGCCGATCCCTGCGCGTTCTATCTCACACTGGTCCCCATACGACCGCGTCGGCGTGGTGGACGCCGTTCCTTAAGGACTTTCCCGGCGCATCTCTCCACCCACCCCTCGCTGCATTCAATCCCCGACCTCGACGCCTTTCAACTCCGCTTCTGACGCCATCCACGACTCCATCCGTCCGTCCCTAACCCTCACGATCCGAACCGTCCTTAACCCTCTCTATCTCACAGCACGCTCAACATCTACAACACGCTGCTCATCGGCCGCCTCATCCTCACGTGGTTCCCGAGCCCGCCGAGACAGATCGTGTACCCGCTCGCGACGCTGTGCGACCCGTACCTGAATTTGTTCCGCGGGATCATCCCGCCCATCGGAGGCACGATCGACCTGTCGCCGATCCTGGCGTTCACGGTGTTGAACGTGTTCACGAACACCGCGGCGGCGTTGCCCGCGGAGGTGGACGCGAAGGGGAATCTGATTCGATCGCCGACGGCTTCGGAGCGCGTCGGGAGCGTGGCGAAGAAGGCGTGGGCGCGGAGGATGGCGGCGAGCAAGGCGAAGAAGGAAGAGAAAGAGAAAGCCGCCGCCGCGAAGTGAAGCCGAAGGAAGGCGGCATCCACGAGAGAGAGGGAGAGAGAGAGAGAGGAGAGGAGAGGAGAGAGAGGATGGGAGGTTTTTAATATTATACGAGTACGTAACCGCGACTGATTATTCAGACGGCGCGCGCGCCTTCGCGCCGGATCGTTCCTATTTGTAGATCATCTTCTCCTACAGTAGCTATAAAAGATAGGGTCCTACTCGGCTGACTACTAATCCTTGCAGTGGAGGTACAGCGCGGCGGCCATCTTCTCGCCGCCGCGCGCGCTCGGCTCCACGCGCTGCACGTAGTCCTCGCTCCGTTTCGAATCCAAAACGTCGAAAAGCGCCACCGGGACCACCTCGACCCCCGGCACTGAGGGTCGAGGGTCCATCGTTCAAAGCGACGTCGGGGTGGAGTTCAGGGGCGCGTCAGTTGAAGTTTGAAAGGCAGGCGTCGCGGTGTTTCGGGATCGAAACCGAGGCGCGATGGGCGGAGAGACGCACGCGCCGGGCGAAGTCCTCGAGCGAGGAACGGCGCGCGCCGCGCCGACGCGGTCGGTGGGAGGGAACCGGCGCGAGAGACGCGGATGGGACGCGCCAGATATCCTCGACGTCGCCACCTCGTGCGTCTTACGAATGACCGTCTGCAACTTCCCCGGGTTTCGGTCGTAACACATCGCGCACAGCGCGGCGTCCGCCCAGCTCCCGCCCGCCGGCCGCGCCTCGTCCGGGTAGTAAATCGTGCACACGACGACCTTCTTCGGTCGAGGGTCCATACGAGCGAACATCGGGGTGGAGTTCAAAGGCGTCAGAAGCGGAGTTGAAAGGCATCGAGGGCGGGGATTGAAAGCGGGGTGTGGGCGGAGAGAGACGACGGCAAAAGTCCTTAAGGATCGGCGTTCACCACACCAACGCGGTCGTATGGGGACCAGTGTATAGAACGCACCTTCGGTCTCGTCGCGGCGCACAGCTTGCGGACGTAATTCTCCACTCGGTTTTTGAATAAGTCCGCGACGTACCCGAACCCGGGGGGCCACCCCGCGAGACCGGCGACGCACCCTTGGCACCCGCACCCGACGCACCCGCAGTCTACGTCGCGTCCGCGGCACCGGTAGAGGTTCGGCGGCGACGCGCGCGCGCACTTTTCCACGCACGCGGCGGGGACGCAACAGACGAGCGCGGAGAGATTGAGGCACGTGCACAAGAGAGGCTGCAGGGCGACGTCGTTGCCGCCGACGGAGACGATCAGGACGTCGTTCTCCGTGATGTTGTCGCGGACGAACGCGTCTTGCGGGAGCAAGCGGCCGAACGCGCGGTCGTTCAGCGCGGTCGCCTCGACCGCGGCGTTGACGCAGCCGATGGACGACGGCGACGACGACGACGTGTTCGACGACGACGCGTTCCTCCGTCCCGCCCCGCGCGCGTCGTCCGCGGCCGCCTCCGCGTTCATCCAGTAACACACGTCTCTCTTCATCCGCTGCGGCCGGAGCACGCGCTCGTACCCGTTGATCGCGTCCGCCCACGAGTCGTGCCAGTACTTGTTGTCCAGCGACGAATCCCCGGCGAGGAAGACGACCCTGTCGTGTCGCCGTCGAAGCGCGTTCAGCGCGAGCGCGAGGTCTTTCGCGCGATGCCCGTGGAACGGGACGTAGTACCCCTCGATCGCGTCGTCGTCCAGGGGCGTCGTCAGCATCTCCGGAGGGAGAGGGGTGGGGGCCCGCGCGCGCTTCTGAGTGTGAAGCTGATCTGAGTTAACATCAGACTTTTTTCTCGGAAAAGGAGAGACGACGCGACGACGACGATGCGCATGCGTTCGCGTTCGTGCTTACTTCTTCTAAAAACGTGGTACAAGAATCAAATCCCTTGCCCCCCCCCCCACCCCCACCCCCCGCGGCGCAGCTCACTCCGTCTCCTCCCCCGCGGCGTCCGTCTCCGTCTCGCCCCCCGACGACCGCTTCGACGACGGCTGACTCGCCGGCGACGATCCCGCCTCGGGCGAACTCCCCCCGCCGCCGCCGCCGCCGCGCGCGGGCGCGTAATCGTCGAAGAACCGGTGCTCGCACGCCTCCCTCGCGCTGACGCGCTTATGCGGCGCGTAGTGCAGCAGACTGATCAGCAGATCGATCCCGTCGCGATCCAAGTTTGGACACACGTCCTTCCACGCCTTGGCCTTCCACTGCGGAAACTGAGGTTTGTAATCCGGCAGCGACGACACCGCCGGCCACACGTCGTCGTCGGGGGTGCCCAGGACGCGAAATATGCGGTACAGCTGGTCGATCTCGGAGTCGCCGGGGAACAGCGGCGCGTGGTTGATCATCTCCGCGAAGATGCACCCTATGCTCCAGACGTCCACGGGCGTGCTGTGGTGTCGTTCCATACGAAGCGACGTCGGGGCGGAGTTGAAAGGCTTCGTCAGAAGCGGAGTTGATTGTCGTCGAGGGCGGGGATTGAAAGCGAGGGGTGGGCGGAGAGAATCGCCGGCAAAAGTCCTTAAGGATCGGCGTTCACCACGCCAACGCGGTCGTATGGGGACCAGTGTGAGATAGAACGCGCCTGTAGTGCCGCGCGCCCAACAGAATCTCCGGCGATCGGTACCACAGCGTGACGACCTCGTGCGTGTACGCGCGCACGGGTATCCCGAACGCGCGCGCTGAGGGTTTAGGGTTTAGGGAGGGTCGGGTGGAGTCGTGATTTAAACGCGTCAGTCGGGGTCGGTGGAGTCGCGAGGGTGGTCGCGAGGGCGGTGGAACGCTGTGACCGAGGGGGCGGCGGGCGGAAAGAAAGAGAGGAGTCGAACGCGACGCGCCTAGTCCAAAGTCCGCGAGCTTCAGGACGTTCGTGCGCTGGTCCACGAGCAAATTCTGCGGCTTCAGATCGCGGTGCAGGACGCGGTGCGAGTGGCAGTACGCCACGCCCGCGCACATCTGGTACAGGTACCCCTTGATGACGCGTCGGTCGTTGCTGACGTGCGGGTGCGTGTCCAGGTGTTTCTTCAGGTCGACGTCGAGGTGCTCGAAGACGAGGTAGAGCTTCTTGTCTTGGTGGATGACGTCCATCAGGCTGCGACGCGCGCGCGCGGGAGTGGGACGCGGAGGTGGGGGGTGTGGTGGGGGAGTCAGGGGGGGGTCGATCGATCGATCGCGGGGGGGACGATCGCGCCGCGCGATCGCGGCGGCGGGAGGCGCGATCGGATCGATCGGTCGCGCGTCTGGGGATCGAAAAAAGAACGACCGATCGCGTCGTCGGACGCGCGCGTCGTCTTCTCTTTCCTCCTCCTCTCTCTCACCTGACGATGTTCTCGTGCTTCAGCTCCTTCAAGAGCGAGATCTCGCGAATCGCGGTCGATGGCACGCCCTCCTCCTCCTGCTCCAGGCGTATCCGCTTCAGCGCGACCACGTCGTCGTTCGTCCGATTCCGCGCCTTGTACACGACGCCGTAGGTGCCCTCGCCGATCTTCTCAACCTTTTCAAAGTTGTCCATGGACGCGGGGACCTTGCGCGGGGGCGGCGCCTCCGCGGCCTGCCTGACGGCGTCCGCCTCGCGCGTCATCGTTCGCCGTCGCGATTCGCGGCTCGAGGCGCCTTCCGAGGGAGGGGGCGCGCCGGGCGACGACTGGCGGCGTCTTGTGCGGTCGGCTCGACGCGCGCGACCGCGACTGCGCGTCGCTTGGCGGTGGAGGCGCGCGACGGAGATACGCCGAGCGACGAAATCACGAGAAAAAACGAGCGTTACTCGCGCCGCGCGCCGGCATCACGGGACGTACTCCTCTCGTATGGCCAAACAGTTATGTACGAGAGATACAGAGTACACGGTACGGGGGCGAGTGCCCTGCGAGCGGTGATGCTGTGCGGCGAAAAAATAATCGCTGTGAACTGGCGAGATGTTGCGAGAACAACGCAGAACAGCACCGCGAGCGCCGTCTCCGCGCCGTCGCCGACGCGCGATGGGCGGGAACCGCCGAGGCGGCGGCGGCCGCGGCCGAGGCCGCGGCGGCGGCGGCGGCGGCGGGAACGGCAACAACAACTACGGCGGCGGCGGCAACTCGTTCGCCGCGCTGAGCGACCACCGCGGCGGCGGTGGGGGATTCCACGACCACGGCGCGCGCGGCGGAGGCGGCGGCGGCTTCGGCGGAGGCGGCGGCTTCGGCGGCGGCGGCGGGGGCGGAGGCGGTAGAGGAGGCGGCGGAGGCGGAAGAGGCGGCGGAGGAAGAGGAGGCGGAGGAAGAGGCGGCGGAGGAAGAGGCGGAGGAGGAAGAGGCGGAGGAGGAAGAGGCGACGACCCGAGTCTGAATGCGCTGCGCGATGACCTCCAGACCGACCGCGCGATGATGTGGCCGCTGTCGTGCTACGGCAAGGGCGACGAGCGCTGCCTCCTCGGCGGGGACACGTCGTTCGAGGAGCTTCGATGGGTCGTCGGCGCGGTCGCGCTCGCGCGCGGGGACGCGAACGCGGTGCACGCGAGAGCGCGCGAGTTCGCGCGAGGGAAAGAGGACGACGTCAACGCGATCCTGGGCTTCCCCCCGCGTCAGGCGCGTCCCGCACGCTGGTCCCCATACGACCGCGTTCGCGCGGTGAACGCCGATCCTTAAGGACTTCGCCCGGCGTGTCTCTCCGCCCATCCCTCGCTTTCAATCCCGACACACCTCGACGCCTTTCAACTCCGTTTCTGACGCCTTTGAACTCCACCCCGACGTCGCTTTGAATGGTGGAACGACCCTCAGCTCAAGACGGTGTTGGAGAACGCTGCGGCGGGGAGGATGGCGCCCGCGGGCGCGAGCAGGGTGATCGACTGCTCGATGCTTCTGGGGATGGCGACGACGCCCGCGGGGATGGCGACGCCGGGGCCCGGGATGATGGGACCCGGGATGCCGACGCCGCCGGGGGGAATAATGACGCCGGGGACGGTCCCCGGGGGATTCGTCGGAGGGGGGATCCCGCCGACGCCCGCGCCGCCTTCTCCGGCGACGCCCGGAGGGTTCGGATTTTTGCAGCAGCAGCAGCCGCAGCAGCAGCCGCAGCCGCATATGGGCGGCGGCGTGGGGGGTCAGAGGCTGGGACAGTTGGGAGGTTTTCCCGACGCCCCCGCGCCGGGCGGCGGAGGGTTCGGCGGCGGAGGAGGGTTCGCGCCGACGCCGACGCCGCCGACGCCGGGAGGCGCGGGCTCGCAGACGTCCCCGCCGGGGGCGGACGCGGGGAATAACCCGTGGGCGATGCGGCGATGGGCGGTGGGGGAGATCCCGGACGCGCCGCCGCCGCAGCAGTACATCCAGTGGTGAAGCGCGTAGCCCCTTCTATATACAGTAGTGTAGAGTCGGCGACGAAAATCGTTCCTCGTTTACTCGTAAAAAGTCGTTAATAATGATATGATGCGCTCGCCGGCCGCTCTCGTCGTCGACGGGAATCGCACTCGTCGATCAGTGAATGGACAGGTTGATGGGGTAGGTCACGATGCCCGTGGCGCCCATGCGTCGCACCACCGGTATCAGGTCCTTGGCCGTTCCCTCGTCGACCACGACCTCCACGGCGCAGTAGTCGGCGTCCAGCAGCGGCGAAACCGTCGGGGACTTTTCGCTCGGGAGCTGAGCGCTGAGCTCGGGAACCGACGCGGTCGGCAAGTTCATCTTCAGACCCACCTTTTTCTTGCCGTCGATGGCGCCCTGCAAGAGCAGAGCCAGGTCCTCGATCCTGGCGCGCTTGATCGGGTCCTCCCACGCGTCCTTGTTGGCGATCAGGCGGGTGGTGGACTCGAGGATCGTCGCGACTTCGCGGAGCTTGTTGGCGCGGAGGGAGCTGCCGGTCTCGGTGATGTCGACGATGGCGCCGACGCCGGGGAGCGACGCCTTGACCTCCGTCGCGCCCCACGAGTACTCGACCTTGACGCCGTGGATGTCCCGGTCGAGGAAGAACCTCTGGGTGGTGTTGACGAGCTCGGACGCGATCATGGTGCCTTCCAAATCCTCCGCGGTTCGCACGGGCGAGTCCTCCGGGACGGCCACGACCCACCGCGCCGGATTGGACGTCGCCTTGGAGTACTTCAACTCGGCGACCTCGATGACGTCGGAGCCGTTCTCCACGATCCAATCGCGGCCGCAGATGCCGGCGTCGAGGACGTTGTCGGCGACGTACCGGGGAATCTCCTGGGAGCGAAAGAGGACTAAAGAGAGGCCGTCGTCGTCGACGGTGGGGAAGTAGTTCCGGTCCTTCACTTTCACGGGGAGACCCGCGCGGGCGAAGAGCTCTTCCGTCGATTTCTGAAGCGATCCCTTGGGGAAGCCGAAGCGCACGCAGTTTTTGTCCTTGCCCGTCATCGCAGCGGGCACCGCGTTGGATGAGAAATCCGTGCCGAGGGGATCGACGGCGGGCGACCACACGTCGGAGGAGGACTCGTCGGGGGCTGCGGATTCGATGCCCAGGTCGTAAGGGGGGTTGATCGCAGCCCTGATTTTTGTTGAACGGCGCGCTCTTGAACGGGCGTTGAGGTCGGAGCGCCTGGGTTCGCAGAGGCGGCGTTGTTAGCCAATCGTCATCAGAAATTTCGCAATCGGGACGATCCGTCACGCGTGAATCGTGGGGAGGAAGGCGGGCGTTTTCGGTCTTGACGCACCCGAGGGGGAGCGCGAGCGCGCTTAGATTAAGGACGGCCGCCATGACGCGAGACGGAAGATCTTTTCTTTACGGGGAAAGGCGTCTCGTCGAGTGCGCGGACGTCGAGTGTCGATCACTCGTCGTGCACTTTTTGAGAAAATATCCCAGTGAAGATAATGGCTGGGTACACGTGTACGAAAGTACCTTCACGAGTATAGACATCGTCGTTCGATTCGACGCTCGCGCCGCGCGCGTTTCTTTCCCACGTCCGTCGTTTCGTTCCTCCCTTTCCATCTCTTCCCATCCCGTCCTCCCTACGCTTCTAAGCTAGTGTCCACGGCGAGGACGACGTCGCCGTGGAGCAAGTCCGCGGCGTTCGGGACGAACCCGCCGCCGCCGCCGCCGCCGCCGCCGCCGCCGCCGCCGCCGCCGCCGCCGCCGCCGCCGCCGCCGCCGCCGCCGGCCCCCCCCGGACCGTCGCCCGCGAGTCCTTCGTCGTCCCCGAAGGTCATCTCGCCGCCGAACCCGCCGCCGAGGCCGGGGAACGCGGCGCCGAACCCACCGCCGAGACCCAGACCGCCGCCGAGGCCGGGGAACGCGCCGCCGAGGCCTCCCAAGGAACCCTGCGAGCCGTCGAACCCGCCGCCGCCGCCGCCGCCGCCGCCGACTTGCGAATCCGTCGACGCCGCGTCCATCCCGCGATGATTCCCCCCGGGTCGTCCCCCACCCGGCCCACCCCCGCCGTCGTTCCCGTTCCCACCCCCGCCGCCGCGGCCCACCTCCAGACCGTGCTTCACGATCGACGCCCTCACGAGCATCGCCGCGGTGGAGCGGCGGTACTGTCGGGGTGGAGTTGAAAGGCGTCAGTTGGAGTTGAAAGGCGCCGAGGGCGGGTATTGAAAGGAAGGGGTGGGCGGAGAGAGACGACGGTAAAAGTCCTTAAGGATCGGCGTTCACCACGCCAACGCGGTCGTATGGGGACCAGTGTATAGAACGCACCTCCTTCCCCGCGCCGAGCGCGGCTTTAAACGCGCTCTCTCGACTCGCGCTCGCGCGCTTCTCCATCGTCCCAGCCTGCGCGTCGATCCGCGCGGCGATCTCGCGCTCGGCGATCAACCCCGCGAGCTCGCGCTCGAGCTCGGGCGACGCGCGCGTCCGGAACGCCTCGCCCATGCGGTTCAAGTCCACGACGGAATACGGGATGCAGTATTGCACGAGCGCTCTTTTTCGTATAGCCGCGTAGAGAGACTCCACGTGGTCGTGGAGGTGCAGGTCGAGCTCCAACACCGGTTTCGCGTCGTCTATGCCGTCGAACAGCTTCTTGTACTTGCTCCCGTGGAAGTCGTTCACGAGATCGCGCATCGCCGGCGCGCTCTCCATCATCGCGCGGAACGTCACCGAGTCCATCACTTTTTCTTTGAGCTCTTTTCGATCGAAGCTCGCTAAGGGTCGAGGGTCCATACGAGCGATGATATCGGGGTGGAGTTCAAAGGCGTCAGAAATGGAGTTGAAAGGCGTCGTGGGCGGGGATTGAACGCGAGGGATGGGCGGGGAGACACGCCGGGAGAGAAAGTCCTTAAGGATCGGCGTTCACCGCGCCGACGCGGTCGTATGGGGACCAGTGTACGGGACGCACCCAACGCGCACAGCGCGCCGTACGTCGCGACGTCCCCGGCGGTGACCACCTCGTTGTACTCCTCCTCGAGCTCCATCCCGAGCTCGGTGAACTTCGTCGCCGCGTCTTTGTACTTCTTCTGATCCAGATACGCGAGCGCGGACGCCACCTGAAGCTTCGCGAAGACCGTCGGCTCCTCCTTCCCCACGTCCGGCGCCGTCGCCAGCGCCTTCTGGACGTAGTTGCCCACGTGCGCGAAGTTTTCGCTCTCGATCGACACGCGCACGACGTTCAGGCACATCCCGACGACGTGCCGCGGGGTGGTGCAGTAATCTCTCGCGCGGACGTAGCACTTGAACGCCGCCGCGAGCGCGCCCCTCGAGTGATGAAAGTCGCCCAGATCGTTGTGGCCCATGCGCACGCTCTCCTTGATCGAGTTCGTCTTGTACGCGCTGAGCTCTCGCTCGAGGACCGCCTGGCGATTCGCCGACGCCTTGTCCGTCTCCTCGATCCAACCCTTGTCCAGCGCGTAGTCGTCGCCGAGGCGGCCGTCAACGCGCTCGACGACGCGCGCGTACGTCGCGGTGTCGGACGTCTTCGTCTTGAGGAGATTAATCGCGAGCTTGAGCGACTCGAGCCGCGTCGCGTCCGATGTGGTCTTCTCCGCGATGAAGAGTAAGCGCGCGATCGCCGCGGGGGGGGCGTACGAGCTCGCGATCGTCTCCACGTCGATCGCGGGGGAGCCGTCGACGTCCATGGCGGCGGGGGGCGTCGACCGTGCGCCGGGCGCGGAGGATCTGGCTGGTGCCCTAAGATCACACCTCGATCTCGCATCGCAGTGCACGATTTTCGAACGCTACCGTCGTGCGCGAAATCTGGTCTCCTCGAGTAGATTTGACCGCGAGCGCTCCGGCCGTCGCAGACGTCGCGACGATACCGTCCAGTGATGACATTAACTAATAACGCAACGATGCTCTCATTAATAATAACTCAATCTTAACGCTACCGCGCGAACGCGCGCGCGTTCATCATCACTACGAACGTACTTTCGGACTTCAGGAAGTACGCACGAGTCCTCACCGCGGAACGTCCGTCGACCTCGCGACGACGCCCCCCGCCGCGTTCTTCCCCGTTCGCTCTCTACGCGCGTCTATGCTCCCCGCGGGCAGTCGCTCCGTGTACCGCGGCTGCGGCGGCAGCATCGCCGGGAACGCGTACTCGTCCACGCTCCCCTCGCCGTCGTACGCGTCCACCCTGCTCTCGCTCCATATCACCCAACTCCCGTCCGGCAAGGACTCCACGTCGAGCTCGGTGACTGAGGGTCGAGGGAGGGTCCGCGCGAAGCGACGTCGGGGTGGATTTGAAAGGCGTCAGAAGTGGAGTTGAAAGGCGTCGAGGCGTGTCTGGATTGAAACCGTGGGTGGCGTGGGCGGAGAGAAACGAACGTCGGGAGAGAAAGTCCTTAAGGAATGAAGTTCACAACGCCGACGCGGTCGTACGGGGACGGGTGTAAAAAGACTACGTAAACGCGCCTAACGGACGAAGGAAGCGCAGGTTCGGGTCCACGTGCGCGAGGTGTCCGATGCCCTCGGCGCCCGTCGAGCCCAGCCCCGAGGCCGCCGCGACGGCCGTCTTCAAATGGTACGCGTCCGCCTTTTGCGCTTTGATCGTCACCGTGGTCGGAATGCCGTCGGGGGCGGACGGCGACGCGATCGGGTCGTTCCACTGATGAATACGAGGGTGTTTACCCGCGCGAAGCGACGTCGGGGTGGAGTTCGGGGGCGCGTCGGTTGGCGTCGCGAAGCGTCGCGGCGCGTCGGGATTAAATGAAACGCATAGAGGGATGGGAGGAGAGAAACGTCGGGAAGTAAAGTCCTCGAGGAACGGCGAGCACCGCGCGAACGACGTCGTACGGGGACGGGTGTAATAAATACATGGACGCGCCTGCACCGCGTAGACGGTCTTCGTCGCGGACGCGTCCTCGTAGTTGTTACGTATCCACCCCGCGATCAAGATGGGGACGCCCGATGACCGCCACACCGTGCCGATCGCGCTGACGAGGAGCACGCCGATCCCTACCGTGCCGCCCGTGTCTTGCAGCTTCTTTTGGTTTATGAGGCGACGCGACTGCGCCTCGGACTTTTGCGCGGCGAGTTTTAGCTCCGCGGCGCGCGCCTTCTCCGCGCGCGCGACTTGCTCTGGTGATGGATGACGTGGGCGTGAGTGATTGGTTCTTGAGTACACGTGTATTGATGAGAGCGAACGATTTTCGCTGACGTGGTGGAACGTGTGGTCTGCGGCGCACGTGCCTAATCGCAACGCGTCGTTTAGCTCCGTCTTCGCGCGCGCCTTCTCCGCGTCCGCGCGCTTTATCGCGATGCTCGCCTCGCGCTGGTCCTTCTTCGCCACCTTCTTCATGTCGACGATCGCCGCGTTCGCGTTCGTCGCCGTCGCCGTCGCCGTCGCGGGCGCGGTCGCCGTCGCGGGCGCGGTCGCGGTCGCGGCGGCGCCCGGCGCGGGCGCGGTCTTGTTCGCTCGCGACAATCGGAACGTCCCCGGCGCGGAGGCGTTCGCGCTCGTCGGCGACGACCGGGACGACGACCGCGCGCTCGCGGGGGACGTCGTCGTCGCCGTCGTCGTCGTCGCCGGCGCGAGCGACGGCGGCTGCGACGGTGGCATCGGCGTCATCTCTAGCGCGCGCGACGTCGTCGGCGTCGCGCCGAGGAGGACGAGCGCGGCGAGGCGCGCGGCCGCGGAACAGCTCGACGACGACGAGTTAACAACGAGCTTCTTCCCGCGCGCATTATCGCCATCGTCCCGGGGGCGCGCCGTCGTCGTCGCCGCCGTCGTCGGCGCCGGCGCCGGCGCCGGCGCCGGCGCGCGACGCCATCGCGACGCGGACGCGCGTCGACGCGTCGCGCGCGCGCGCGCGGTCGCGACGGGCGCGTGGACGCTCGCGCGCATCGCCGTGCGCGCGCGGCAGTGGCCTCGTCGTATCCATTACGACGTCTGCGGCACGTCATCGCGTCAGCAGCAGCTCGACAGAAGTCGCACTCTTCTGGTTCAAATGCCGAGTAGCGACGCAGATCTGCGCGCCGCGCGACGACGGCGCGCCCGGCGGGGCGACGCGGGACGCCATGGGCGGATTCGTCATCGCCGAGTCCCAGGGCGGTCTCGACGACGACGCGCTCGCCGCGATGATGGAGGCGGTCGAGGCGAGGACCGCGGCGGCGGCGGCGGGCGGGGCGAGCGACGGCGCGTCGGGCGGAGCTGCTGCCGACGTCGTCGCCGTCGACGACGACGACGACGTCGCCGCGCCGGCGACCGCGACGCAGCAGGCGACGCAGGCGCTCGCGACGCAGGACATCGCGGGAGAGTACGAGTAGGAGTACCCGGAGGAGGGCGCGGGGAGCCTCCGCGTGGACGAGCGCGACGGCGGCGGCGGCGGCGACGGCGACGGGACGGACGCGCGCGACGGCGGAGGACCGGCGCGGCGTCGTCGTGGACTCGCGTCCGCGGACGGTCGGCACCACAACCCGGACAGCACGACGTCCGCGCGGCCGCCGGTGCTCGCGGAGGGCGATGACGACGAGAATGACGATAAGGTAACGCTCAGGGCGTGTCCGTTACCGCCCGCGTCGCGGTCGAGCCCGGCGGACGACGCGAACGCGGCGCCGACGCCGACGACGGAAACGCAACCGACGCAGCCGTTTCTCGGGTACGACACGCAGCAGCTCACGGAAAGGCCCGTGATGAGCGTCCGTCCGGTGAACGACCCGCGGCAAGGGACGCTGACGCAGGCGCCGTTCTTCGAGAGGGCGAAGAAACCTCCTCCGGGCGGGACGGGTCGTCGGCGGATGCCGGCGACGGGCGAAGGCGGCGAAGTCCCGTCCCCGCGCGCGAACGACAACGCGCGGCAAAAAGACGGCGCGATGGCGAACGGCGGCGACGACAGCCCCGGGATACTCGCGCGCTCGAAACCGTCGTCGACGACCGACGAAGCGGAGGAGGACGCGATCCCGACGTGGGCGCTCGAGGCGCTTGAGGCGTCCTCAGGTGCGTTCTATACAAAAGTTTTTCACCCACCGCACCGCTCGGTTTCAACATTTGATCGCTCCCCCTTTCAACTGATGACCCTTCCGTTGAACTGTTTTTGTTTTTTGGAATGGCCCTCAGACGTCGTCGTCGCGGACCTGGACGTCCGCGAGCTCGCCGACGGCAGATACGAACCGTCGGTATTCGAAGCGTCGCACGCGGACGGGCATCAGTTCCTCGCGCTGTACGTGCGAACGGAGTCGGGCGCGCGCGTCAGGTTGGACGGCGCGAGGGAGCGCGCGCTCGCGGTGACGCGAAGCGGGGACGTCGTCCGCGTCCTCGGATTCGTGTTCCGCAAGGAATTTTTGGAAAAGGCGTCCACCGTCGACGACCCCGCCGACGCGCGCGTCGTCGTTCGATGGGAGATGCGCGGGGTCCGGCTCCGCACCGCGAAGGAGGTCCCGGTGCTTCGCGCGGAGGCGGAGAGGTTCGACGCGGACGAGTACTTCGTCCCGATGCGTCACGAAGAGCGAGGGGAACGATCGCACAAGGGCGACGGCGAGGAGGGGACGGAGCCGCTCGTAGAGACGTTCGACGTGTCCGACGTCGTCGGCGTCGCGACGCCGACGACGCCGCGCTGTTGCGACGATTCGAATCCCGATCGTCGCGACGGTTCGTATTTTACGTGGTCGCAGGGCGTCGCCGACGAGAGGACGACGACCACGATACGCGCGCGGTTCGCGTACTTCCACGACCCCGGGCCGTCGCAGTGGACGTTTTTCGGGTTCGTCGACGGAGGCGCGAGAGAGGCGCGGAACGATCGACAGGTGCCCGTCGTCGAGCTCTTATGCGGCTGCGGCGGGACGTCCGAGGGGTTGCGAAGGAGCGTCGTTCCGGGAACGACGACGCCGCGCGGCGCGCGCGGGAAACGACGTCGAGACGCGGGAAACGGCGGCGGCAGCTCGGACGATGAAACGGAACCCGCGGGGGAGTTACGACCCGTCAAACGCAGACGACTGCTCCCCGCGTTTGGACTCGACGCGAACCCCAACGCGGTGAACACGTTCAACAAAAACTTCAAATCTCGGTACCCGAACTGCGTCGCGCGCGTGGCCACGATGGAGTGGTTCCTAGAGAAGCTCACCGCGGGCGCGGACGGCGGCGTGAGCGACGAGGCGCGTTCTATACACTGGTTCCCATACGACCGCGTTTGCGTGGTGAACGCCGATCCTTAAGGACTTTTCCCGGCGCGTCTCTCCGCTCACACCACGCTTTCAATACCCGCCCTCGACGCCTTTCAACTTCAACTGACGCCTTTCAACGTGACGAGTCGTAACTACAGTTGCCGAAGTGTTGCGAGCCGAACGCCGGCGCGATGCTCGTGATGGGGCTGGCGTGCCCGGGGTACTCGGGCGCGAACCCTCGGAACTTACAAAAGGCGTCGGACGACACCATCATGTCGGACAAAAAATGTCGGACGACAAAAACCGCCATAACCACCACCACCACCACGACGACGAAGAAGGACCGGTACTACGACGTCGACAAAGAAGCCGGCGACGCGCAGGAGAAGCGAACGAACCTGTGGCGCGAAGCCGCGGCAATCGCGCGTCAAAAATTCGCCGACTACGTCGTGGTCGAAGAAGTCCCAGAGTTTGGCTGCCGCAAAGACACCGACGGGGGGGCGCACAGAGCGTCGCACTGCGAACGCCTCCAGGCGTGCCTCGTCGCGGAGGGGTTCCAAACGCGCGTGCAGGTCGTGCAGCTCGGATACCTCGGCGGCGCGCAGAGCCGCGTGAGGTACGTTCTATCTCACACTGGTCCCCATACGACCGCGTTCGCGTGGTGCGCGCCGTTCCTTAAGGACTTTTGCCGTCGTCTCTCTCCGCCCAGGGTCCCTCGGTTTCAAAACCCGCCCCTATGACGCCTTTCAACTCCGCTTCTGACGCCTTTCAATTCCACCCCGATATCATCGCTCGTATGGACCCTCGACCCTGAGGCTGGTGCTGTCCGCGGCGAGGCTCGGACGCGTGTTGCCGGAGGCGCTGCGTCCGACGCATCTGTTCGGCGATAACGACCCGCACACGATGGGCAGCGGGCGGCCGTACGAGCGAATGCACGTGGATAGGTATTATCACACGCGGATGCGGCACGACGGCGTCGACGGCGCGGGCGGCGGCGGGAAGACGAATCGTCATCGATCAACGCGCGGCGGGGGCGGCGGGCACGCGGCGGCGGCTTGGAAGCGCAACTACCTCCCCGCGAACACGTTGAAGCACGACGTGTACGGAATAGGCGGTCTGCCTCCTCTGAATTCGGCGTGCGGCGATCTGAAAACGCCGTGGCCGGGATCGCGCCGGGGGACGCTTTACAATCACTGGTGCGCGGAGCTCGGCAAGACGGACGCGGCGCGCGCCGAGGCGATCAGGCGCGTTCTATTACCACACTGGTCCCCATACGACCGCGTTCGCGCGGTGCACGCCGTTCCATAAGGACTTTCTCTCCCGGCACATCTCTCCGCCTACGCCACGGTTTCAATCCCGACACACCGCGACGTTGCCTTTCAACTCCGCCGCTTCTGACGCCTTTGAACTCCACCCCGATATCATCGCTTCGTACGGACCCTCGACCGTCAGACCGGGGCAAACGGGCGCGGACTTGCCGGAGAACTTGATCCCTAAGAAGACGGACAAGCGCGAGAAAGCGGAGTGGTACAAGCTCCGGTTCGGGCGGCTCAAGCTCGACGGCGTCGCCGCGACGATCACCGCGCAGGGCCCGGAGCCGTCGCACGGCTCGTGGTTCCATCCCGATTACGTCGGCAGAAGACGAAGGCGCGTTCTATCTCACACTGGTCCCCATACGACCGCGTTGGCGTGGTGAACGCCGATCCTTAAGGACTTTTGCCGGCGCATCTCTTCGCCCAGGGTCCCTCGCTTTCAATCCCGACACACCTCGACGCCTTCCAACTCCGCTTCTGACGCCTTTCAACTCCACCCCGATATCATCGCTCATATGGAACGACCCGAAGCATCTTGTCCGTGCGCGAGTGCGCGCGGCTGCAGACGTTCCCGGATCACTTCGAGTTCGTCTCCGGCCACGGCGCGAGCGACGCGGGGGTGAAGCAGTCGCTGCGGGGGCTCGGGAACGCGCGCGCGACGAGGGTGGGGGAGGAGTACAGGATGGTAGGGAACGCGGTGCCGCCGTTGTTGGCGACACGCGTCGGCGACGCGTTTTTACGCGCCAACTTCTCGCCAGTGTCAGACGACGAATCCGCGTAGATAGCCCTACGGTGGCCCCCACATAAGGTTATGATAGAACGCGCGCAGTAGGTAGAACTTCGTTCATCGATGCTTGTCGTCGAGCTACTCTCGACGCTACGGTAGTACACACGGTGCGTACTTCCGGAAGTAGTGTGCGTACGATCGAATCGTACGCGCGCGCGATCCACGCGCGCTCACACGAAAATCCTGTGAAACCTTTGACGCGTCTTGCGACACGTCGGGCACTTCCCCTCCCTCCTTCCTTGAAACGCGCGCTCGATGCACCCGACGCAAAACACGTGCCCGCACGTCGTGCTCGCCATCTCGTTCTTCGCGATCGAGTCCATGCATATCGCGCACTTGATCGCGTCCGCGAGCGCGGGATTCTCCACTGTCTCGTTCGCCGCTCGCAGCGCCGCCTCGGCGACGGAGACGCCTCCCACGATCTCGATCTCCGCGCCCGCGCCGTCCCCGCCGCCGCCGCGACGGTTGGCGTTTCGTCGTCCGCTCGCCGCCGCCGCCGCCGCCACGGCTCGCCTCGAGGCGGCCAAGAGACCGGCCAGGTGTCCCCTCACGGCGGCCCGCCCTCCCCGCGGTACCCTGCGGTCGCGGTTGCCGCCGCCGCCGCCGCCGCCGCCGTCGTCTTGCGAGTCGAGAATCTCAACCACCGCCGACTCGTCCTCTTCTGAGGGGCGCACGATTGGTAGGCGACGTGGCGGGAGGCGAGGTGATTGGTTAGAAATTTGATGACGTGGACGTTTCATTGGACGACAGAGAGCGACGGAGAAGGCGACGGCGCCGCGCGAACGGGGTCGCACGGGGACCGGCGTGACTGATGAGACGGGACGCGCCTTCTTCGTCGCCCAGCACGTACTCCCCCTCGTACACGTCCGCGTCCGAGTCCGTCTCGTCCTCGTCCGAGTCGAAGTCTTCGCCGCGCGCGACGCGCACGATCTCGACGTCGTCGCCGTCGCTCTCGCACGTGAGGTCCACAGTAGTCTGCCTCGGTGTCCGCCCTTGAGCTCGCCAGAGGTCGGGCTTCGGATGCCGCGCGTAGGGATGCCGCGCCCACGCGCGCGCGTCCAGCGCGCGGTAGTCGCGCGCCGCGATCGTCCTCGTCCTCGTCCTCGTCTCGCTCTCGCTCTCGCTCTTCTCGTCGCGCGCCGCCCACGCGTATCCCGGCGCCGGCGCCGCCGCGGCCGCGGACGGCGTCAGCCACGCTTCGCCGACGGGGCCGACGAGGCGCCGCGCGTCGTCGTCCTCGTCGTCGCGCGCGTCCCTCGGAGGCCTCGGCGGTACGCGCGTCCGACCGCTCGGGCTCGCGTCCGTCGTCGCGCGCGACGACGGACTCGGGCCGGCGCCGGCGGCGGCGGCGCCGTCGTCGTCGTCGTCGTCGGACAGCTGTATCACCCCCGCTCTCGACGCGTCCACGTCCATCGACGTCGTCGTCGTCGTGGTCGCGGTCGTCGTCGTCGCGCCTCGGTCTCCTCGTCCGGCGTCGAGCTCGCGTCGCGCGGCGGACTCGCGCTGCGATCGCCGCCGCGCGCTCCTCGCGTCCTCCGCGTCGTCCGCGGGGGGCATCGCGCGCGGGGTGGCCGCGACGCGACGGCGCGCGACGCGGGTGTGGCGGACGGCGGGCGCGTCGTCGCGTCGAGACGGGAAGGAAAAAAGACGCTCGCGGCTGAGCCTTCAAAAAGTTTGTTGTGAAATCATCCTCGCCCGCGGGACGATCCGCCTCGATCGCGTCAGACCTCCGCGCGCGAACGCGACCCGTCCCCCATCGCCCGGCGACGTCATGGGGAAGAAGAGGCCGCCGCGCGATCCGAACGCGCCGCCGCCGGTGATGAAGGACCAGGGCGGCCTCGCCGCGGTCGCGCGCGCGCAGGCGGCATTGATGCGCGAGAGAGAGGCGATCTCGGCGGACGACGCGCCGACGGCGATGGATACGGACGCCGGGGCGCCTAAGAAGGACAAGAAGGACAAGAAGGACAAGAAGGACAAGAAGGATAAGAAGGATAAGAAGGATAAGAAGGATAAGAAGGATAAGAAGGACTCCAAGAAGGACTCCAAGAAGGACTCCAAGAAGGAGAAGAAGGAGAAGAAGGACGAAGCGCGGAAGCCGCCGCCCGCGACGACGACGACGACCGCGCCGAAGAAATCAGCCAAGCGCGCGTACGTCGAGGGTCTCGCGTCGTCCTCGTCCTCGTCCTCCTCCTCCTCCGACTCCGAAGAAGGCTGGGACGCCGAGACGAGGGCGAAGTACGACCCGAAGCGCTTCGAGGGCATGACCAACGAAGAGGTCGTCGCGGAGTTCCTCAAGGGCACGGAGCACCTCGACGGCGGCGAGGAAGAGGACGAGCGCATCATCGCGGGATATAAAAAATTCGAGTCGGAAGCCATGGACGCGCATCTCAAGAAGTACGGCCGACCGCTGCAGTCGTCCGACGCGCTCCACGCGCAGCTCTCCGTCTCCAACGCGGTGCCGTTCATCACGCGCCCGACCGCGAAGAAGTGCATCGAGCTCGCGATCGAGGAGACGCTGTTTCGCGAGTGCGGCGCGGTGGCGGCGCGCGCGGCGGCGTGCTGTAAAGGCGCGTCCTCATCTCACACCGGTCCCCATACGATCCCGTTCGCGTCGTGAACTTCATTCCTTGAGGACTTTCTCTCCCGGCGGCGCATCTCTCCGCTCACGCCACGGTTTCGATCCCGACACACCGCGATGTTGCCTTTCAACTCCGCTTCTGACGCCTATGAACTCCACCCCGACATTGGTCGCTTTGAACGACCCCGACGCGCCGTGAAGACGTCGTCGTCAAACACGCGCAGCAGATGGGCGCGAAAGGGAGCGATCTCGTGAATAACGACCCGATCGCGCTCGCGGACGAGATGCGCATGCGACGGGCGGGAGACGAGGTCGCCGCGGAGTACGGCGCGTGTCGGTTATGGGACATCGTCTGCAAGCACAACGCGCTCGCGGTGCGTTTTGGTTTTTTGGTTTTGGTTTTTTGGTTTTGGTTTCGGTTCTTCTTTTCTTTTCTTTTCTTCTCGCCGCGCGACGACCACCACGAGTCCTTCCACGTCATCGCATACGAACAAATCCTTTCCATCCACGTGTCAGTAAGATAACCATCATACCCATCCCTTCGCTCCGCCCCCGCAGTTCGGCCGCGTGCGCGTCGCGCTCGACGACGTGGACGAGGACCTCAAGAAAAAGAAGGCGGAGGCGGCGAGAAAGAAAAAAGAGGACCAGATGAAAAATTCCCCGGCGCTCGCGCTCGGGATCTCCTTCGCGGATTACTACAAAGCCACGATGGCGCACGAGTACGCGGAGGACATCGAAACCATGCGCGCGGAGGCAAGAAAAAACGACGCCGGGAAGATGACCGAGGCGGAGCTCATCGAGCGAGAACGCGGCGACGTCGCGATGCTCACGCGGGCGCTCCTCGCCGGCGCCGATCTCATCCCGGACGTGCAGCAGGAGCTCGCGCTGCAGTTCGCGACGATCGAGGAGCTCAAGATGCTCAAGCTCGTCGGCGGGAGCGACGACGAGAAGGAGGAGGAGGAGGATAGCGCGGAGGATAGCGCGGAGGACGACGACGTGGACGCGGACGCGAAGGCGGACTCTTCGGGAAAGAAGGGAAAGAAGGGAAACGAAAAGGAGAAGGGGAAGGGGAAGGGGAAGGAGACTCCGAAAAGAGAGAAGAAAGAGAAGAAGAAACCCAAGACGGAGGCGGAGCTGGACGCGGAGATCGCCGCCGCGGCGGTGATGAACGACGACGACGACGACGACGACGACGACGACGTCGACGCCTTTTTCGGAGCCGGACGCGCGTACGAGGGCGGCCCGTTGGATCCGGACTTTGACCCGGACGCGACGTTCGACGAGGACGCGCTACGCGCGAGGACGCCGACGGAGCGAAGCGAAGACGACGACGTCGAGGACATCGACTTCGGCGACGACGAGGACGACGACGACGGCCTGAGCGACGACGCGTCGAGCAGCGAGGACGACGAAAACCAGACGAAACGCCGCGACGTCACGGAGGCAATCTTGATTCCGAAGGGCGCCCCGAAGAAGGGCGGGAAGGCGGCGAAGAAGAAGAAGAAGGACGAGGACGAGGACGAGGACGAGGACGTCGGCGGGTTTCTCGGGAAGGGTGGCGGGAAGTCCGGCGGCGGGTCGGAGTTCAAGGGCGGTTTCTTCGGCGGCGGCGGCGGCGGAAAGAAGGGATCGAAGCGGAGATGAGAGCGCGGCGACTAAACTTAGACTCGCGCCGACGTCGTTCGTTCGTTCGTTCGTTCGTTCGTTTCGTTTTAACAGAGCTCTCATCAGCTGCGCTATGTGAGTATTACAAGTGCTTCGAGCTCGCGCGTGCTAGCGGCGGGCGAGACGGGCGCCGAGCAGGCGGCCCGTCTTCTTTCGCCTCTTCCTCCTCCTCGGACGTGAGCGTCTCGTCTCGTTCGATCGTTGAGATTTAATCAAATGAGAAGCTTCTCGATGGCGTCCTTGAGGTTGTTGATCTGCGACTTGAGCTGCGACCCCTCGTTCGTGGTGACGCTGCACGAGATCACGGGCCGCGACACCCCGCACGCGCGACCGAGCGCCTGCTTGGACGGCACGAACACGTACGGCACGTTCTTATCCTCGGCGAGGAGCGGGAGGTGGAGTAAAATCTCCAGCGGCTCGGTGTCGGCGGCGAGGACGACAAACTCGGAGATGCCGCGGTTCAGCGTCTTCGTCGCCTCGTTCGCGCCCTTCTTGAGCTGCTTGTAGTTCTGTGGTTGGAGAGGAAGGCGAGCGGAGTGGAGGGGGGGTGAGAATTGGGCGAGAATTGGGCGAGTAGCAGAGAGAGTAGAGAGAGTACAGAGCGAGAATTCATTCGTTCGCGCAATTAATTAATTAATTGGCGTGCGATTCGGGGCTGGATCGATCGAACGATCGGTCGGTCGCGCACCGCCGCCTGCTGGACGATGTCCAGGATCGTGATCGTGAGCTGCGCGTCCGCGAGCGGGTACGCCTTGGGGTTCACTTCCGCCATTCTTTAAAGCGTAGGCGGTGGGGAGACTGCGGAGGGAGGGAGGGAGGGAAGAAGAAGCCGTGAGAGACAGGGTTTCGGAGGCGAAACGAACGAATCGGGCGCGAGGGCTCCAGCGATCGTTCGCGAGAGGCGCGCGCGCGCGGGGGTGCGGGGACCGCGCGCGGACGCCACGTCGCGAGGCGCACCTTTGGAGGACGTGTCGAAGGTACGAAGCTTCACTGCTCGTTTGACGAACCGAGCTCAGCCGCGCGCGCGCAATGCCGCCCCCCCCTCGCGCACGATTTCGTCGCGTGCTCTGGCGGCTCGAGCGCGGCGATTTTCCGACCGACCGCACCGCCGGCAGGTGATGCGCTCAAAACGAACGTTTTTCACCCACCCCTCGGTTTCAACATTTGATCGCGTCCCCTTTCAACCGACCGATGAGCAGCGGATCGGGCCGTCCGCGGACCGATGAGCGGAGCGGAGCGGAGGTCGACGCCGCGTCCGCCACACCGATCGTCGCCGCGCGCGTCATGGGCCGCAAGCGCAAGGAGCCCGCGCGCGAGACGCGGTGGAAGGAGACGGACGCCCGCCTGTGGGACTGCCACGCGCCGCTCCCACCGCCGCCGCGCGCGCCGGACGTCCACCTCGAGCGTCTCGCGAGCGCGGCGCGCGCGGGGCCGACCAATCATCGCGCCGACGCGAATAACGCCGACGACGACGACGACGCCGCCGACGTGGTGCGTTCCTTCCCTCTGCGGATCGTCAAGGAGATCCGCGCGCGCGGACGCGACGCCGGCGACGCGATCGACCTCTCGCTCGCGCCCGCGAAGCTCCGCGTGACGCGCGACGGGAGCGCGCGCGTCGGCCGCGTCGTCGTCGCGGCGACGACGACGGTGATCCGATGGCGCGTCGACCGCGAGACGACGACGGCGACGCGCATCGGGGACGCGCTCCTCCTGATGACGGCGACGGAAGAGGGCGCGACGGAAGAGGGCGCGACGGCGACGGCGAAGGCGAAGACGCGGCGCGCGTTCGCGCTCGGGTTCGCGGACGCGAGGGACCTGGAGCGGTTCGCGCGCGACGTCCTCGGCGATGATGATGTAGTCGCCGACGCGAACGCCGCGGCCGCGCCCACGGTAAAAGGTCCTACCAACGCGTTCGATTCGAAGATCAGCCCCGTGAGCGCGGCGGAATACTTCCGGTACTACGCGCAGATCCCGCAGCAGCAGAACATGCTCGAGGACGCGGTGCGGACGGGGACGTACTTCACCGCCGTCGTCGAGCGCGCGCGATCGCATTTCGCCGGGAAGATCGTCATGGACGTCGGCGCGGGGAGCGGCGCGCTGTCCTTCTTCGCCGCCGCCGCGGGCGCGCGGCGCGTGTACGCGATCGAGGCGTCCGACATGGCGAAACACTGCGCGAAGATCGTGGAGAATAACGCGCACTTGAGGGATGTCATCGTCGTCATCCAGAGCCGCGTTGAGGACGTCGCGGACGGCGAGATCGCGGAGCCGGTCGATTGCTTCGTCTCCGAGCCGATGGGCACGGCGCTGTTCAACGAGCGCATGATCGAGTCGTACCTCATCGCGCGCGATAGGTTCGGGCGAAGAAACCCTAAAAACCACCCTAAAACCCTAAACGTGACGATGTTCCCGAACGAGGGCAGGCTGCACGTCGCGCCGTTTCGAGACGACGCGTTGCACGCGGAGGTGGCGAACAAGGCGCGCTTTTGGACGCACGCGGACTTTTACGGCGTCGACGTCACGCCGTTGATGGACGACGCGATTCGGGCGTATTACCGCCAGTGCGTCGTCGACGCGTTCGACCCGGGGATCCTCCTCGCGGACGCGACGTCGTTCGCGTGGGACTTTACGACGATCGCCCCGGAGTCGCTCGAGGTGATTCGGCTTCCGACGCGATTCGAGATCATCGGCGGCGCTCGCGACGACGACGACGACGACGCTGACGCTGACGACGCGAACGCCGCGTCCCCCCACGTCGTCGTGCACGGCATCGCGTGCTGGTTCGACGTGCGGTTCGGCGGCGACCGCGGCGACCGCGCGAGGTACCTCAGCACCGCGCCGGGGCTGCCGACGACGCACTGGTTCCAGATGCGTTTCGTGTTTGAAAAGCCGCTGGTCGCGCGCGCGGGCGACGTCGTCGTCGGCGAACTCGTCATGAGGGGGGGGGATAACCAGTCGTACGTCGTGACTGGCGAGATGCGCGTGGAGACGACGGGGCGCGGGTCGGGTGCGAGTCATCGTAACGCGCAGACGACGCGCGTTACCGGGGAATGGGACCTCAAAGATCCGTACTACCGACAGTGCGTGCACCCGCAGCCGGGGTACACGAGCAAGCAGAACGAGAAGTGGTACGGAAGTAGTAGCGCGGTGGACGCGAACTAGTAGCTAGTCTAACTACGTACTGTAGTCTAATGGACGCACGATAGACGCGTTGTCGCGATCGATCACAGGCATCGCGTAGTTTTATTTTTCGTCCATCTTCGTATGTTACAAAAGTAAATCTTCCCGTCGAACTACTTCGTAGTCTTCTTCGCTCGCGCACGTCGTGCGCGGGTCTGCTCTCTCGTCATCACCGGTTCCTTCTTCCCGCGGCGGCTCTCGCGCCGCTCGCCTTGGCGGCGACTTTCCGCGCGGACGCCGCGCGCGTCGTCCCGCCGCCGCCGCCTCGTCCCGCGGACGCTCTTCGCGAGGCGGCGGCTTTCTTCGCGTCCGCCGCGCGTTTCGTCGCGCGGGCTTCCGCCTCCGCGAGGACGTCTCTCGGCTCGCCGCCGGCGCCGCGGGCGGCGGCGCCTGACCCTCCGCCGCCGCCGTTCGCCGCCGCCGCGGCGGCGGCGGCGACGTCGACGTCGACGTCGACGTCTTCGTCCTCGTCCGCATCCTCGCGAGGCAGCGGCACGACGTCCCGCACCTCCGGCAGCGGCACGACCGGCGGCGCGGTGGTCGACGCGTCCTCGGGGGGAAGCTTATCGAGTTCGACGACGGTCGGACCGTCCGCCGCGGAAGCGGCGGCGGCGGCGGCGGCGTCGACGTTGGCGTCTCGCGCCTCCGCCGCCGCCTCCGCTCGATCCCCGCCGATCCTCACGACCGCGGGCTCGCCTCTCGCCGCGGGGGTCTCCTCGCCGAGTCGCACCGTCGGCGTTTTCCGCTCGCGCGCCTCGCCGCGCGTCGTGGACGTCTCCTCCCGCGGCGCGGCGTTGGATTGCGCCGCGATCGGCGACGGCGACGGCGACGGCGACGGCGACGGCGACGGCGACGGCGACGGCGACGGCGACGGCGTCGCGAGAGGTGGCGGAGGAGGAGACAGAGGAGGAGGCGGCGACGTCGCGGGCGGCGGCGGCGGCAATCGTCGCGCCTCGGACGCCGTCGACGCGTTGCCGCCGCCGCTGAGCTGCGCGACGACGTTCACCGTCACCGTGGTGTCGCCGACGTTCGTCGTGGTCCCGGTGCCGTTCCCGCCGCCGCCGCGCGTCGTGTAGTCGCCGACGAATCCGTCGCCGTATCCTCCGTACCCTCCCCGGAAACCTAACCCGGCGCCCATGAACGGAAGCCCGAGGCCGCCGTAGCCGAGGCCGCCGTAGCCGAGTCCGTCGCCGAACGCGCCTACGCCGCCGTACGGGCCGACGACGTCTTCGGTGGTCTCGGTGACTTCCTCCGCGGCGAAGACGTCGTCGACCGGCCGCGTCGGCGTCGGCGCCGGCGTCGTCGTCGCGAGCTGGTCGTACACGCCGCCGACCCTGTACGCTTCGTACAACGGCGGCGGCGGCGTCGCCGGCGGCCGCGACGTCTCGTCGATCTCCGTGATCTCCGTGATCTCCGTCTCCGTCTCGTTCGTCAGGGTCGGCGCTTCGGTCGTCTCCGCGTCCGTCGTCGCCGGCGCGTCCTCGCCCTCGCTGTCCGGAGGAACGACGACGACGCGCGAGGACGGCCCGGCGCCGCCCCTCGTCAGCGCGCGAACGCCCAACGCGATCGTCTCCCCCGGCGGGAGCCCCTACGTCAGGGTGGAGTTGAAAGGCGTCGGACGGGGTTGAAAGGCGTCAGACGGGGTCGTTGAAAGGCGTCGAGGTCGGTCGGGCGTTGGAACCGTGGGATGGGCGGAGAGACACGCCGGCGAAAGAAGTCCTTAAGAAACGGCGTTCACCACGCCAACGCGGTCGTATGGGGACCAGTGTGAGATAGAACGCGCCTCGAGTCGCAACGATCTCGCGGCGGACGTGAAGAAGCACGCGTCGTCGTCTCTCTCGCTCTCGCCGCCGCTCTCTCCGCCGGCGCCGCACGGCGCGCGGGCGTTACGAGCGACGGCGTCGTCGTCGCTCAGGACGACGGACGCGGGAGGGATAACGGCCTTAACGGGGGCGTTACCGTCGTCGCGCCACGCGATCCACGTGACCTGGTACCCGAGGTCCTCGTCGTCGACGTCCGCGTCGGGGTCCTCCTCGTCGTCGTCTCGAAGAAGGCCGCGGCGACGCCGGCGGCCGTCGTTCGAACCCTCCCTCGGACCGGGTCTGGACCACGCGACGAGGACGCCGCCGCCGTCGCTCTCCCGCACGCGCCGCGCGGTCACGCGTCGCGGCGGCGACCGCGGCGCGTTCACGATCGGAGGGCAGGCGGCGGCGTCCTCGCCGTCCTCGCCGTCCTCGCCGCGGAGAGCCGCGGAGAGCGTCGACGCGGGACGCGTGAACGAGAGCGTCGCCGCGGGGGACGTCTCGCCCGCGGCGTTCTCCGCGACGACGTCCACGGTCACCGCGACGTCCGCGTTTTCGGTTTCAATCGAGTCCGCGCCTCTCGGCTTCGGGATCTTCCAGCCGTTGCACTCGCACAGGGACGTCGGGAGCGACGCGTCGTGACGCGTGCGCTGATACAACGGGTCGTCGTCGCCTGCGGGCGAAGAGAGAAGAAGAAGAGGAAGAAGAGGGTGGGTAAAAAATAAATTAAAAGAAAAACGCCTCAAGAAACGACGTTACGAGTGGACGTGCTGTACCTTTTTCGCCGACCAGCTTCGCCGTCGTGCGAACGACGTACTCGACCACCGCGCTCTTCGCCGCGAGCGGCGACGGCAGCGCCGCCGCGGGGTCCCACGACACGCACGCGTTATTCTCGTCGTCCACCTCGAAGCGCACGCCCGTGGGCATCGGCGGAGGGGACGTCAGCGACGGATCGAGCGCGCCCCCGATCCACGGCGACGACTTTTGGTTAGGGTCGTTTTATACGAGCGAACGTCGGGGTGGAGTTGAAAGGCGTCAGTTGGAGTTGAAAGGCGTCGAGGGCGGGGATTGAAAGCGAGGGGTGGGCGGAGAGCATCGCCGGGCAAAGTCCTTAAGGATCGGCGTTCACCACGCCAACGCGGTCGTATGGGGACCAGTGTGACATAGAACGCGCCTTATTTTGGTCGTTTTTTTGGTTTTGGTTTTTTTGGTCTCGAGCGCGGCGGCCCCGCTCGACGACGTCTTCGACGTCTTCGACCGGCGCGAACATCAGCCAGCACTGCCCGGACGCGACGCCCATCGCCTCGCACGCGTCCTCGTTGTAGTCCTCGTCGTCCTCGTCCTCGTCCTCGCAGCGCGCCCACGCGTTGCACCCGGCGACGCGCGCGCACGCGTCGCAGCATTCGCCCGCGTTCGCGGTACGGACGTCGCCGCCGTCCAGGAGTATCGTCGCGTTCGGGAAAAACCCGCGCGTCGCGCCGCAGAAGGCCCACCGCGTCGGGTCCGTCCCCGCGTCGAGCGCGGACGCGTCGTCGTAGGACGCGTCATCTTCTTCGTCGTCTTCATCTTCCTCTTCTTCGGAAGACGCGACCGCGATCGCGACCGCGGACACCGCGCCCGCGTCGCCGTCGTCGTCGCCGTCGAACGGGGAGACGCGGACTCGAAACGCGTACGCCACGCCTGGGGTCAGGCCGCGGAACGCGTACCCGGTCCCCTCCACGCCGTCCGCGCGCGCGACGACCGGCGCCGCGCACGGCGGCGCGGAGGCGGCGAACGCGGCGTCGTCGTCGAGGCACGCGCGCGCTTCGACGGAGTAGGTCTTCCCGATCGCGGCGTCCGACGCGGCGGTGGAGAAGGCGGCGAGCCCGGGAGGCGCGTCGTCGTCGTCGTCGTCGTCCCCGTCGTCGTCGTCGACGTCGTCGCCGCCGTCGAACGGGAAGACGCGCGGCGTCAGCGGCGGCGTCCACGCCAGCTCGACCGCGCCGGAGGCGGACGACGACGGCGACGCGTAGAGCGGGAACGACGCGCGTCGCGCGCGCGCGTCCGCGTCCGAGAGCGGAGTCGTCGTCGTAGTCTTCGGCGTCGCTTTCCCCGCGTCGTCGTCGTCGACGCCGCCGCCGCTCGCGAACGGCGCGGCGGCGTCGTCGCGCGCGCGCGCGGCGGGCGCGATGACGAGGAGCAGCGCGAGCGCGCGGAGGAGCGCGCGTCGCATGGCGAGAGGCGAGAGGCGCGGTGCGATGTCGCGCGCGTCGCGTCGCGCGGAGTGCGGGCCGCGCGCGCGCGTCGTAGGGCTTTGCTTACGTGTTTTCGCCCGCGCGCGTCTCTCGGCGGCGACGACGACGCGGCGCCGATGCGTCCAAGAGAGCGGCCGGGCGCGGGGACTTCCGGGAGGCGCGACGCGGGGACATTTTTTTTTCGTTACCCGCGGCGTCGTTTGCGCGATACGACGCGACACGGTACACCACGCGAGATCTACGAGACGTCGCCGTCGACGTCGCCGTCGCGTCATCTCCCGAACATCCCTCCGCCGCGCTTCTTCTCGTTCCCCCCCGCGGCGACGCTCACAGCGGGGCCGTTCCCGTCCTTGAACATCGCCCCCCGAGCGCCGCCGTTCCCGCCGCCGTTCGCGTCGTCGTCGTCCTCCGCGTCGTCGTCGCCGGCGTCGACGACAAAGTTCGGAAACTTGTAACACCCCACGACCCCGTGCGCGTGCGCGCGCAGCACGTTCCCCCGCGTCGTCTCCCCCGTGACCGCGTCCACTCTCGTCGACTGCTCCGCGGTCAGCGTCACCGGAAACTCGACGCTCGCCCTGCGGTTCGGTTAAGTTCGGAGGACGACGTTACGATACTTTTGGTCAGCGAGCGATCGTATCGGATGACGTGGCACACATCTTGGCCGTCGTGATGATATTATATGCGCGCGAAGAGAGAAGATACGACGACGAGTGATGACGTGCGTGGGAACGAACGAAACGAAATGAAACGTGCGCGCCTTTTAGACGCCTTCCACGACGGGCGCGCGTTGACCGATTCCCCCCGCGCCAACGACGACGCCACAACCGCCGTCTTCATCGCGCGCGTCGTCGGCCTGAAGTCCACGTTCAGGTACGGCCGCGGCTTGAAATCCACGCGGTTCGGCCGCGGGCCGAGCCCGCACCCGACGGCGATGGACACCTGCGTCTCGCACGCGCCCCACGGGAGCACGTACTCCTTCTGAGGGTCGTTCCATAGGAGCGAATGTCGGGGTGGAGTTCATAGGCGTCAGATGGAGTTGAAAGGCGTCGAGGGCGGGGAATGAAAGCGAGGGACCCTGGGCGGAGAGAAACGCCGGGAAAAGTCCTTAAGGATCGGCGTCCACCACGCCGACGCGGTCGTATGGGAACCAGTGTGAGATAGAACGCACCTGAAGCTCGATCCCTTCGAGATCCGCGACGACGACGCCCGCCTTGCCCGCTCTGACCTCGACCCTGGAGAAGGCGCTCACGGAGCGGTTCCCGAGGTCGACGAACGCGCCGAAGTTCACGGTCGCGTTCAGCGGCTTGTGCTCAAGGCCCTGGGAGGGAGGGTGGGGAGGAGGGACGGACGGACGGCGGGGTTCAGACGGCGCGCGAGGAGGATCGTGAGGGGGGATGAAAGAAGAAAGACGCGAGATGTTCGCTCGTTCGCACGACGTTCCGCGCTCGCGGCGGGCGACGGGACGCGCGCGCACCTTCGTGACCTTGAGCCCCGCGACGACGTTCTTCACGTCCGCGGTGAGCATCAACGGCCCGGCCTTGACGCGGTTCGTCTTGTCGTCCATGGTGGCGCGCGCGGGGGGGGGCGGGCGCCGCGCTGTCGGTGTGGTTCGGTCGACGACGCTCTCAGCGCGTGCCAACGGAAACGCGCGCGGGTGTTCTGGTTTCAAGTTTTGACCCATTTCACCCTGAGACCTGTCGCGTCAAAACGCGAATCCAGGTCTAACTGAAAGGAATCCACCGCGCACTGATCGCGTCGCTCGTCCCGCGAGAGGAAGAAAACGGTCGCTCGCGTCACGACGTCACACCATCAACGCTCGCGCCCCCCCGACCCCCCAACTCGAACCGCGCGATGCCGATCGACTACAGCAAGTTCGACCAGATCGAGATCTCCGACAGCGACGTCGAGGAGGACGAGACCCCGCCGTGGATGCGCGTCCCCGCGAACAAGGACCTCGACGAGGGCGCGCTGCGCCTCGTCGCGTCTGGAAATCTCGGCGCGGGGATGCGACAACACCTGTCGGAGGATGAGGTGCGTTCTATACACTGGTCCCCATACGACCGCGTTGGCGTGGTGAACGCCGATCCTTAAGGACTTTGCCCGGCGCATCTCTCCGCCCACCCCCCGCTTTCAATCCCCGCCCTCGATGCCTTTCAACTCCAACTGACGCCTTTCAACTCCACCCCGACAATCGCTCGTATGGAACGGCCCTGAGATGAAGCGCTGGAAGCACCGCCGCTACGTGAACGACGACGACAGCGCCGCCGCCGCGTTCGACGCCAAGTACGGCGTCCCGAACGTCGAGTACGTCTCGAGCGCGCGCGAGATGCACGGGAACCCGTGCTACGTCCCGGAGGCGGACGAGGCGATATCGGACGAGGAGATCTCGCGCGCGCTGCGCGACGACGACGACGGAAGCCACGGAAGCCACGGAAGCCACGGAAGCCACGGAAGCGCGCGCACCGTGGACGGGATCCGACGCACGCTGCGCGCCGGCGCGGAGCTCTGCCACGCGTTCAAGAGGGACCCGACGTGGAACGCCCTCGGGCTGTGCGAGGACGTGCGGAAGCGGATGCTGTACGTGAGCGCGATGTTCGACGACGACGTCGACGGGTTTCGCAAGGTGCGTTCTATACACTGGTCCCCATACGATCCCGTTTGCGTGGTGAACGCCGATCCTTAAGGACTTTTGCCGTCGTCTCTCTCCGCCCACCCCTCGCTTTCAACGCCCGCCCTCGGCGCCTTTCAACTCCACCTGACGCCTTTGAACTCCACCCCGACAATCGCTTGTATGGAACGACCCTAAGTGGATCCGGCTCGCCGGAGGCGCCGGGCAACCCGACGATAAAGACCCGGTCACGGGACGCGAGGTGCACCTGTACGACGCGAGCGCGCGGGAGATGGAGTGGTACGTCCGCGTCGGGAGCGCGCGCGAGGCGGACCTGCCGAACGGCGCGGACGCGCTGGACTGAGCGGCGGCGGCGGCGGCGGAGGAGGAGGAGGAGGAGGAGGAGCGATCGACGATCGCGAAGAGAGAAAAAAAGAAGAATGATTTCGCTTCGTCACAACGCAACGACGACCGACGATTCGGCGCTACACCCTACTACGGCATAGTTTCCCCCCATCCGCATCGTGTCGTTCGCGTGACCTCGCGAGCTCACCCACACCCACCCAACTTCGGCGAGGACGCGACGCGAGAGAGAGAGATCGTCGCTCCCGCCCGCGTCCTCTCCGATTCGACCTCAGACGCGCGACCTCCTCCTTCCCGTCTCGTCTCGCTCGCCGCTCGCGCGCACGTTTACACCTTCTCGCGCGCGCGAAGCTCCGCGTCGATGATGCGCTGCTTCTTCTTCGTCTTCGCCTGGGACTTGACGCCCATGATGCCGCCGCCCCACTTCCTGTTGGAAGCCTCGAAGCGATCGTTGTACGACCCCTTGATCGCCTCCACGAGCTTCGAAAACTCCATCTTGTCCTCGTTCTTGATCGCCGTGAGCGCGAGCGCGGTGGCCGTCTTCTTGTGCACGACCGTCCCCAACCGCGCCTTGCCCTTCACGATGCAGTACGGCACGTTCATCTGCCGGCACAACGCCGGGAGCCAGATGACGAGCTCGATGGGATCGACGTCGTGCGCGATGCACACCAGCTGCGCCTTCCCTTGCTCGACCAAGTACGTGATGTGGTTGATGCCGTACTTCACGACGACGGGCTTTTTGGACTCGACCTCCTTGCCGGCCGCCTCCGCGGCCGCCTGCGCGGTGAGCCTCTCCTTCTTTTGCGCGTCGTCCTCGGGGCGGTACTTCATGAGGATCTTAAACAGCGACGTCGCGAGGTTCTTGTCCAGCGTGTTGTTGAACTGGTTGATCGCGGGCGGCACCTTGAGACGCTTCTGGAGCACGCGGCGCGCGCGCTGAATGCGGACGTACTTCGGCCACTTCACGTAGCGGTTCAGCGGCTGCCGCGGCGGGAGCGACTGGCCGATGCCGAACGTCTTCGCCTTCTTCTCGAAGAGCGGGTCGGACGGCGACTTGGCCGCCGCCGCGGGCTTGACGCCCGCGGGCGCGGGGGCGGGCTTCTTACCCTTGGGAGGCTGTTTAGGGTTGGGGGGGGAGGGTTAGGGTTAGGGTTAGGGTTTGGTGGAGGCGTTCGTCGGGCGGGCGGCGCGAGGGAGGGATTCGATCGGAATACGTCGCCGCTGCGCTGACGGAAACCCTAAAAAACCCGCGCGATGGGGACGTCGCGGACGTCGCGCGCGCGACGGCGACGGCGTCGAATCGCGCGTTCGGCGTCGCCGCGGCGGCGTCGCCGCGCGGCGCGACGTCGCGTCGCGGCGCGCGCGGCGTCGAGCGGCGTCGACGGCGTCGCGACGCGCGCGCGAAACCCCGTCCGAGCGAGACGCGCGAGCGATTTCCCTCGCGAGCGAGATCGACGCCACCGCCGGAGACGCGCGCGGACGCGATCGTCGCGCGCGCCGCCGCCGCGACCGCGAGGGAGAACGACGGAGACGCGTCGAAGCGCGAAGTGAAGACGCACCATTCTAGCAACGCAGGACCGTGGGGTGCTGCTTTGCGCGCTTGAAAGAGACCGAGTCGCGGCGACGACGCCGCGTTAACTCCAGAGGAGCGCGGCGAAATTTTTTCAGGGCGAAATCGCGCCGCGCGACTCGTCGACGACGGTCTATTCCGCGCGACTGCGGAAATCTGCTTCGCGTTGCGCCCTTTTCGCGTTTCGCGCCTGACTGTTTGCGCGCACGGCGATTCGACGACGAAACGTACTACGAAATGTACGCGCGGTGCACGTTTCGATTTCTTTTTTCGCCGACGATGAACGAGGCTACAACTAAAGCACACCTCCTCCTCCTCCTCCGGTTGCGACGGGCTCAGTGCCCCGTCCGCTTCCCGAGGAGACTCAGCTGGTTGATGAACTCCGCGCCGGTCGTAAACTCCGTCGCGCCGTACACCACGCTCTTCTTCCCGTCGTCCGCGGGCTCCCCGAGACCGAAGCCCAGCCCCGCGTCGGCAGAAGCTCTTCCCCCGACGCCGCGCGCGGCGGCGGCGCCCTCGCCGGTCCAGTCCAACTCTCGCAACCCGCTGCTGATGCCGCTCACGCCGCGCTCTAACCCGCTCTTCTCCTTCACGACGGTGATCTCGTTCACGCCCTGGTGCTCGAGGTAGTTCCCGCCGCCGAGGACGAAGACGATCGCGTCGTTGAACGGCGCCGGCATAGGCGTCGGCGCGCCCGCCTCCTTCGGGTCGAACCGCGCGAACGACTCCACCTCCGCGCTTCCCGGCGCGTTCGTCATGAGCGCGTCGACGGCTCTCGCGATCGCGAGCTGCCTCCCGCCGCTTAACAACGATTTCACGCCCTTCGCGACGGCGTTTATGGATTGCCCGTAGAGCTTATCCGCCCACCCGAAGACGTCGCCGTCGCCCGCCGCCTCGTCGTCGAGACGGCTCGACGCGGACGCCAGCGACGCCTCCACGGCGGCCATCTTCTTGACGAACCCCAACGCCGCGGCGTCCGCGCCGGACGCCATCAGCGCGCCCTCCATCGCCTCCGCGTCCGCGGCGGACATCCGTCCCCCGCCTCCGCCTCCTCCTCCTCCTCCGCCGCCGTCGCCGCCGCCGCCGCCGCCGCCCCGCTGCGCCATGACGTACAAGATCGCGAGCCGCAACTTATCCTCGGGGGTGCCCCGTCCCGTCGCCGCGAGCAGCGACATCACCGCCTCCTTGTCGCACTTCCCGGAGAGCAAGTCTTCCTCGATCGCGTGGTACTCGTCGATCCCTCTGGCTTTGATCTGACCGAGCAACGCGGTGGCGATGTTCGTGTGCTTGTCGATAACCTTTTTCCGCTCCTGCAGCTCCGGCAACGACGCGACGGCGCTGACGAGCTTCCTCGTCTGGTCCCCCAGCGCGTCCCCCTCGTCCGCGCCGCCGCTCGATGCGACGCCTCTGTTGATCTCGTCCATCGCCTTCTTATACTTCGCGAGCTCGGCTTCGACTTCCTCCGCGACTTTCGGAAACTCGCTCGCGTAATTCCTCACCCAGAACGGATCGTTGTCTTCCAAGTCGTAGCTCTTCTTGGTCATCGTCGCCGCCGCCGCCGCGGACGAGTCCCCGCCCGCGATGTCCACGCGATTGACCCGCATACCGAGCACGTCGTGCACCAGCGGCGCGTACGTCCACCCGTGTTGCAGCGCGCTCGCGAGGTCAAAGTTGCGGTCGAACAAGCACAGCAACGGCCTGCCCCTCGCCGCGCCGCCGCCGAACCCGCCGCCGAACCCGCCCACGTCGTCCGCGGCGAACAGCCCACCGCGCGCCTTGACGTGATCGCGCAGCCGCCGGTCGAGCTCCGTCGCGGCCATCTCCGCGGCGCCGCCTCTCTGCGCGCGGATGATGGGCGCCTTCCCGAGCGTCGCGCACACGGAAAACAAGCCGGTGACGACGTCGTTCACCGCTGGAGATGTTCGAGGCGTCGGTCGTGGAGTTCAAAGGCGTCAGAGGTGGAGTTGAAAGGCGTCGTCGTGAGGTCGAGCGTTGAAACCAGCGAGGGGTGGCGGGCGGAGAGAAATGAAGAGAAATGAACGAACGCGAACGAACGCGCCTCTCTCCACGTCCGCGTCCTTCATCGTCGGGTCGTTCAGATTCACGTACGCGTCCGCTTGCGCGAGCGTGAAGACGTCGTCGGACAGCGACACGAAGTCGCTGTGCATGTCAAACACGCGCTCCACCTTGGCCGCGGCGTCGAATTTCACCGCGTCGTTCGCGAGCTGCTCGAGCAGCGGCCGCGGGAGCGACGACGAAAAGTTTAAGTGGTACGCCTCGTAGAGCCCGTCTTTGAAGTCCTTCGCGATGCGCGCGACGTTGCGCGGCGTCGGGGAGACGTAGTACACCGCGGGGACGTCCGCGATCGGCTGCCGGTCCGCGTCCAGGAGAAGATGAAGCGTCACGCCGTGCCGTCGCAGCTCGTTCACGCGCACGAGCGGGGTGACGATGTCGAAGCATCGCTTGTCCATCACGAGCACCTTGTACACCTCGACGTCGTCGTCGTTGACGCGGTCGAGCGCAGAACGCGGCGCGTTCAGGTTCAGCATGCGGATCACCGCGTCTGATGGAGAACGACGCGTTGGGGGGGGAGGACGAGACGGGTCGAGGTGAGACGATACGAGGCGAGACGATACGAGATGATGGACGCGCGGAGGGCGGATCGGACGGCAGATGGGACGGGACGCGTGGGCGACGCGATCGATCGATTCGACCGCGGCGAGGAAAAGTCCTTAAGGATCGGCGTTCACCACGCGAACGCGGTCGTATGGGGACCAGTGACCGCTGGCGAGGGCGAGGATCGGCGCGCACCTCGCTGACGCTTGCGGAGCGAGAGCACCATGTCGGCGGCGTCTCGGCGACGAGCGCGTCGACGACGTGCGGCGCGTCGCGTGCGCCGTGGAAGTGCGCGACGCGGCGTTCGACGCCCCGACGCCGCCGAAGAAGAGCCCACGCACTTCATCAACGGGCGGCAAGCGCGAAACAGAAGAGGAGTCGGCGTCGTCGTCGGGTCTCGGAGTCGTCTCGACGGGCGCGCCCAGTGCCCGACGCGCGACGACCTGAATGCTGCACGGCGCATCGTCCGCGTCCTCCTCCCTCGCCCGCGCGCCATCCCCCGTCGCCCCTCTCCGTCGCGGTCGCGCCGCCGCGTCGCGGTCGTCGTCCTCCGTCCGACGCGTTGGCGTCCGCACCAGGTCGCGTCGCGTCGGAGGGACGGTGGCCGTCGTCGCGATGGGTCCCCCGATGCCGTCTCGCGAGATCGGCCGCGCGCTCGGCGGCGACGCCACCGCGCCGGTCACGCTCGCGTGCTGGCTCGACTACGCGTGCCCGTTCAGCGCCAAGTTCTTCCGCACGATGACGACCGAGGTCGTCCCGCACTACGGCGCGCGGCTTCGGTTCGTCTTCTACCATCAGGTGCAGCCGTGGCATCCGCAGAGCACGATGCTGCACGAGGCTGCGATCGCGACGCGCGCGTTGGGCGGCGTCGACGCGTTCTGGAAATTCTCCGCCGCGCTGTTCGCCGCGCAGACGGAGTACTTCGACGCGAACGTCTACGACACGTCGCGGAGCGCGATGTACGCGAAGCTCGCGGCGTTGGCGGCGGCGTCCGCGGGCGTGGACGAGGAGGAGGTGATGAAAATGTTGGCTCGGACCGAGGCGCGTTCTAGCTAGGAGCTCGTAGTACCGCACCGATGAGCTGGTCCCCAAAAGAAACCCTGCGATCCCCGCCCGCGATGCGTTTCGACTCCAACTGACGCCTTTCAACCTCACCCCGGATTGACCCTCACCCTCGTCAGATCGCCGGCGAACTCAACACCGGCAACGCGTGCACGCAAGAGCTGAAGTTCCACGTCAAGCTCGGGAGGCAGACGGGGATCCACGTCTCGCCGACGACGACGCTGAACGGGATGGTCTGCGACACGTCCTCGGGGTGGGACCTCGAGAAGTGGAGAGCGTTTTTGGATCCGCACGTCGAGGGCACGGACGCGTGATGAGACGGCGCCGCGACGGACGGATGAAACGCGGGTGGGAGGACGCCGCGCGGAAGCTCGTTCCTCGGTTCTGATGAGAACTTTCGCGTCTACCGTTTCGTGTCTTCTACCTCGGTCGGTTCGTATTAACAATGCGTTAACCGTGTCGACCGGCGTTCGCGCGCGTGCTAAATTGTTTTCCGCCTTCCCGCGTCGTCTCCTCCGACGAGGACGGGGGACGTAAAATTGAACGTCGTCGGTCGTCGCCATCCGTCGTAAAACTCCCTCCTCTCCTCACGCCAGGTGCGGCCCGGACGCAACGCGCACCACCTCCATGAGTTCCGGGTTCGCCGCGGCGGCGTGCCATCCGTCCCCGCCGCCTATCCCGATCCCGATCCCGCCCATTCCGCCGCCGACGAGCGCGAGCAGCGGATCGTCCGCCGCCGCTGCCGCGCCGCCGCCGCCGAGGCTGACGCTGCCGCCGACGCCGGATGCGAAGCCGCCGGCGAAGCCGACGTCCATCGTCGTCGACTTCGCCGCCGCCGCCGCTGCCGCCGCCGCCGCGAGCGCGAGCGTCTCGTCCTCCATGCTGCCGTCGCTGCCGTTCGTCGCGGTCTCGTCCTCGACGCCGTCCTTACGAACAGCGGTCTTCGCGTCGTCCGCGGCGTCATCCTTCTTCTGAGCCTCCATCTTCGCGCTCGCGATCGCGTCGGCCGCCGGTTCCGGTTCCGGTTCCGGTTCCTCCTCCTCGTCGCTCTCGGAGAACCAGTCGCCCTCCACGCCGTGCCCGCCGCCGATGATCCCCCGCGTCGCGTTCCTTCGCGTGTTCTTCGCGAACAACGCGAGCCTGCGATGCGCCACCGCGCTAAACCGCGGCAAATCTTCCAAAATCTCCCCCCACCGCGCAACCGCCTCCACCGGCACCATGTGCTCCCCCTCCGTCTCCGCGATGACGTCGCGCGCTTCCTCGCGGTACCGCCGCGGGAGCTTCATCATCGTGTTCGCGAGCCGCTTCTTCTCTCGCTCGTCCATCGGCCGCGTGATCCGCACCGACGTCCGCTTCAGGTCCTCCAGCGATCGCTTGAGCTGGTCGAGATCCGCCATGAGCCCGGCGCAGCGCATCTCCTCCGCCGCGAGCGTCTGCCGCGCGTGCATCTCCGCGCTCTTCTTCTCCGCACTCTCCTTCTCCGCGGTCATGCTCTCGTCCACCTCCGCCACCTTCTCTTGGATCACCGCCCAGCGAGGTTCCCAAAACTGTTTCAACGTCGCCGCCATGACGTGAACGTCCGTCTGCGCGCCGTTGTAGAGCATCGCGTTGGCGAAGGTCAGCTCGACGTCTCGGTTTACCTCCTCGCACGCGGCGTACACGCCACCCTTTTCGATGTTCGCGCGCACGGTCCCGAGGTCCATGGGCTGTTTCACGATGTCGTGGTAGTTTTCCAGCCCCAGCGCCGCCGCGTCGACGGGCTTGACGAAGGGAAACGACCACTTGTGCGACATCACCTGCTTCACGCTCGCGAGGCACTGCTTCGAGACGATCTCGAGCTTCCTCTTCGCGGCCACCGCGTGGAACGCGGCGCTGTCGAACGGCACGGGGCCCGCGCGGCTCCTCGCGACGTTGACGTCGCGGACGCTTCGTCCCGCGAGGGTTTCCAGCCGCCGCCGCTCCGCGTAGGCCGCCTCCTCCGCCGCGATATCCGCCGCGACTGATGAGGGCCATTCCATACGAGCGATGATATCGGGGTGGAGTTCAAAGGCGTCAGAAACGGAGTTTAAAGGCGTCGAGGTCGGGGATCGAAGGCGAGGGACCCTGGGCGGAGAGATGCGCCGGGAAAAGTCCTTAAGGATCGGCGTGCACCACGCGAACGCGGTCGTATGGGAACCAGTGTGAGAGAGAACGCGCCTGAGAGCGCCTCGCGCGTCTCCGCCGACTCCACGACTTTTCCCGCCAGCCGCGTGATCCCGGACGAGATCTCCGCGAACTTGCGCTTCGCCGCGAGCCGCGCCTCCTTCTCTCGCTCGCGCTTCAGCCGCACTTCGCGCGGCGACGGCGGCGCGTTCGCAGCCGCGGCGGCTTCCCTCTCCTTTTCGGCGCGCTCCGCTTCCATCGCCGCGCGTCGCGCCGCCGCCTGCTGCGCGTACGTCTGCGGGGTCGTTCCATACGAAGCGAACGTCGGGGTGGAGTTTAGAGGCGTCAGATGGAGTTGAAAGGCAACGCGGGCGGGGATTGAAAGCGATGGACCCTGGGCGGAGAGATGCGCCGGGAGAGAAAGTCCTTAAGGATCGGCGTTCACCGCGCCGACGCGGTCGTACTGTATGGGGACCGGCGTAAGAGAGAACGCGCCTGCACCACCTTGCACACCACCGGGTCGTCCTCCGGGTCGAACGAGAACGAGTTCACGCGCAGCTCGCGGCCACCGTTGGACGGCGACCCGGGCGCGGCGGGGCCGGCCTGCGCGGAAGCCCCGAGGCTGCCGTTGGCGTCGCCGCCGCCGCCGCCGGAGACGGGGCGGCGCGCAGCTGTGTTCGCGTCGAAGTTGAACGTTCCCTCCGCGCCGCCGGACGCGGCTTTAGCGCTCGGCTTCGGCTTCGGCTTCGGCTTTTGGGGCGCCTGCGGGAGGGAGACACGGACGGGGTGCGGACGCGAGCGGGCGAGGAGGGCGTCAGAGGTCGGCCGGCCGGCGGCGAGGCGTCGGTCGGGAGAGAAAGTCCTTAAGGATCGGCGTCCACCACGCGGACGGGGTCGTATGGGGACCAGTGTCCGGGGAGAGGGAATCGATCGATCGATGGATCGATCGATCGAGACGGCGACGTCGCGCGGAAACGGCGCTCGAGGCGACGTTCCGAGGCGAACGCGCGCGACTCGCGCGGGAAGAAATTCCGCGGAAGACGCTCGAGATGTCCGCGACGCGAGGTGAGGGACGCGCCGGCTGAGCGTTCGCGCGCGCCGCGCCGCTCTTCATGAGCGCGTCGAGCTTCGCTTTTTTCCTCTCGAGTTCCGCTTGAAGTTTCTCGAGCTGCTTCGCCTCTTTCGACGCCGCGGACGCGTTTTTCGACTTGGACGGCATCCTTCTCGCGGCGTCGACGTCCCGACGAGTGACCTGAGACGCCTCCCTCGAAGTTTCAGCGCGCGCGGTCGCGGGTGAGCGTCCGCGCGGGCGCGATTCCGTCCGCGGCGCGCGCGCGGTTTTTGCCGTTTCACCACGACGTCGCACCCTCGCGCCGGAATCTCGCGCTTCTCGCGCACGACCCGGTCGTTTCACCCCCCGCGCTTCCTATATGTCCCAAAGGACACCCCTCCGCGGGCGCTCGCGCGGGAAAAAGGGGGATGCGCGGTCGCGTCGTGGACCCGTGCGGGGGGCCCGCGCGCCGGGTATTGCGCGGTTTCTCGCTCCGGGCTGGCGCTGTAGCTCGCTTTTTCCGCGTTCGGAAAAGACATAGGCGACGCGTTTTGTGCGAGCGGTCGTATGCGCATTCAGTCGCGCGCGCGAAACAATTATGGTTTTTTCACTCTTTTCGCGGTTGACGTGTTCGAGCGTAGTACGCCGCTCAGTACGAACGTATGAGCAATCAATATCAAGAGTAGCCGGGTGTACGGTGCCGTCTGCCGAGCTGTCGTCGCGCATCTTGTAGTCGCCGGCTCGCGTGCAGACTGCAAATCCTTACACACGTGTCGAAGTTCGTTTGGACCGACGCGCGAGACGCCTCGCGCGCGCGGTCGACGCCCGCCCGCGGCGCCCCCCGGACCGCCCCCACCGCGCCCGCGCGGTCGTCCGAGGCGTCATGGCGAACAGCCGCGGGAAGCTCGAGGTCAACGGTGCGCGTCCGCGTCCGCCGTCGCGCCGATCGTGTATCCATCGTCCGAGCCGTCGCGTTCGCGAACGCGCGTCATCGGCCGCGCTGACATCGGAACTGACGTCCCCTCTCTCCCAACCTCCCACCCTCCCTTCCCCGCAGTCCTCCGCGCGTGGGGGCTGAAAGACACGCAGACGTTCGGGACGCAAGACCCGTACTGCGTCGTGCGCGTGAACGACCAGCGCGCGCGCACGCGCGTGAGCGTCGACGGCGGCACGTCGCCGGCGTTCCACGAGCGCCTCACGATGGACGTGTTCGGGCATCCTCCGCACGTCTTCGTTGAGGTGCGTTCTATACACTGGTCCCCATACGACCGCGTTGGCGTGGTGAACGCCGATCCTTAAGGACTTTCGCCGGCGCATCTCTCCGCCCACACCTCGCTTTCAATCCCCGCCCTCGATAGGCGCCTTTCAACTCCATCTGACGCCTTTCAACTCCACCCCGACATTCGCTCGTATGGAACGACCCTCATGAGATTTGGAACGACAACCGAGCGTGGCACGATTATAAAGTGGGGACGTGCACGGTGCCGCTGACGGACGACCTGTACGCGCCGTCGGGGCGCGCGCAGCAGATCATCACCGCGCCGGTCGTGAGCGCGAAAGGGAAGGCGCGCGGGACGTTGTCCCTGGCGCTCGAGTTTTTCGCGTCGGCGCGGAATCAGCAGCCGGCGGCGACGGAGAAGGAGGCGCGTTCTCTCTTACACTGGTCCCCATACGACCGCGTCGGCGTGGTGAACGCCGATCCTTAAGGACTTTGCCCGGCGTGTCTCTCCTCCCACCCCTCGCGTTCAATCCCCGCCCTAGATGCCTTTCAACTCCAACTGACGCCTTTCAACTCCACCCCGCCATTCGCTCGTATATAACGGCCCGGAGAAACCGAAGACGGACGTACGTTACGACCGTCACGACGACGCGCCGAGCGCGCCGGCGATGCCGATGCCGATGCCCGCGTGCACGCCTCGGCCGATCAACACGGTCGCGCGAGGGTACCACGACGCGGGGGCCGCCGCGACGTCGAATCCGTACGTGGGAGACGCGTCGCGGTCGCGGCGCGTCGCGACGCCGCCGCCGCGGTCTCCGGCGACGTTCGGGACGAACCACCCGACCCCGACGCGGCGGAGTTATTTCCCGACCCCAGGTCCGTTGCCGACGGTGTGATGTGACATGTCGTGTTGTTTCGCGCGTCGCGTCGTGTGATAACCTTAAGCTTAGCAGGCGCTCCGTTGTTTTACGAGAGTAATTAAATAGACTCACCAGTCTCTTAACACTCCGCGACTTAACACCGCTTCCGCCCGCCCTCGCGTCTATCAATCAATCCAATCCAATCCCTCCCCGCGTCCTCGTCGATCGATCACATCAGATCAATCCAGCGGCCTCCCGTATAGCTTCTTAATCCCGACGTCCGGGGTATCCTGCTTCACGAGCGACTCCCCCACGAGCAAGCACCCCACGCCCGCGTCTTGCAAGACGTTCACGTCGTCGATCGTAAAGATGCCGCTCTCCCCGACCATCGTGATCCCGCGCGCCCGCACTTGCTCCCCCAGCGGTCCGCTCAGCAGTTCCACCGTCACGTCCAACGACACCTCGAACGTCCCGAGGTCGCGGTTGTTGATCCCGAGGAGGTCGATGTCGTCCAGCTTGAGCACGCGCTCCATCTCTTCGTAGGTGTGCACCTCTATCAACGCCGCCATGCCCAACGATTTCGCGATCTTTTGGAAATACGTCAAGTCTTGGTTCGGAAGCACCGCGGCGATGAGCAGGATCGCGTCCGCGCCGTACTTGCGCGCGAGGTAGATTTGGTACGCGTCGACGATGAACTCCTTGCACAGGAGCGGGCACTCCACGCCCGCGGATCGGATGAGCTCCAAGTTTTCAAACCCGCCTTGGAAATATTTCTCATCCGTGAGCACGGAGAGGCACGCGGCGCCGCCGGCTTCGTACGCCTTCGCGATCTTCACCGGGTCAAAGTTGGGCTGAATGACCCCTTTCGACGGGCTCGCCTTCTTCACCTCCGCGATCAGCGCGGGCTGCCCCGTGGTCTCGCGCTGCGTTTTGATCGCGCCGACGAAGTCGCGCGCCGGCGGCGCGTTTTGCATCGCCGTGCGCACGAGCGTCAGCGGGAAAGCTTCTTTCCGCTTCGCGAGCTCGACGTCTTTATACCACACGATCTCCTCGAGGATGTTCCGCGGCTTGTTGTCCACGTTGTCCACGCGCTCGCCGTCCGGGGTGACGGCCTCCATCTTGAACGCGAACTGGTCGGTCCCGACTTCGTGCACGGACGCGCCGTTCGGGGGGCGCCGTCGGATCATGACCTCGGGCTTCTGGAGACGAGACGGCGTCGGGGCGGGAGGGATGGACGAGTGGGTTCGGGGTGGGGGGGGCGGGGCGTCAGAAAGCGCGGCGGCATGGATTGGGGACGACGGCGGGCGTCGCGCGACGGCGTGGATGGGAGGAGGGAGCGGGCGACGCGATGACGACGACGACGCGCGCGGACGGACGGAAGGGAGGCTTCCGTCCGTCCGTCCGCGGCGGCGGCGAGAGAAGATTTCATTTCATTCGTTCCTCGCGTCGGGTCGCGCACCGCTTCGTCGGAGACGGAGGCGCTGACGCGCATCGCGCGCTTCGCGCTCGCCGACGCGCGCTTCGCGACGCGGGGGAGGAAGGACGCGCGAGGCGCCGGAGCGGTCGCGGAGATCATCGTCGTGCGTGGACGCGCGCGAGAGTGGCGCGAGTCGCGTCTCCGAGACGACCGGATAAAAAAAGATCGTCGTTGCTTGCTGCCCGCGCCGCGCTGCCCAGGCCGTCGACGACGAGAGCTTCGGAATCGAAGGCGCCGGCGCCACTCTTCCGCGCGCGCAGACACGCCGCGCGAATGGCTTGCATCACCGCGAACATCGCGGGCGTACGCCCGGCCACGTCGAGGGCCGCCCTCGCGGGTGCGCGCTCGATCCTCCCTCCTCTCGCGCCGTCCCTCCCTCCGCGTCGAGCGCATCCCGCGCGTCGGCGGTTCGTTGGAATACCTAACTAACCCTCCCGCCGACGCGGACGCGTCGATCGATCGCGATCGGATCGGCCGCGCGCGCGCCGCGACCCGACGCCGACCCCGCCGCGCGCTGACGTCGTCCGCCCCGCTCCCTCCCGCGCGCGCCCCTCTCCCTCCAGGCCCTCGTCGCGTCGCCGCGCGCGTCGCGCGGACCCGCGCCCCCAACGCGTCCGCGTCCGCGTCGTCGTCGTCCTCCGTCGCGGCGCCCTCGGAGCGGCTCGCGCTCGCCGCCGCCTCCGTCGGACGCGTCTTCCGCGCGGCGCAGACGCAGACGCAGACGACGACGACGACGCCGCCCGCGCCCGCGGTCGCGCCGCCGCCGTCTCTGTTCGCGCGCGCGCGCGAGTTCGCGTCGGAGCAGAGCGCGAAGGGCAGGGCGATGGCGAAGGACCTGGGCGTCCAAGACGCGACGCTGCTCTTCGTCACCGCGGCGGCGATGAGGCGCGTCCCGTTCCTCGCACTGGTCCCCGTACGACCGCGTTCGCGTTGTGAACTTCATTCCTTAAGGACTTCGCGCGACGTTTATCTCCGCCCACCCCTCGCTTTCAATCCCCGCCCTCGACGCCTTTCAACTCCATCTGACGCCTTTCAACTTTCGCCTCATTCGACAGCTACAAGGAGAAGAAGATGGTCGCGCTCATCACCTCCGCGGTGGGGTCGTTCATCAAGCTGTACCTGCTCCTTCTGTTCGTCCGCGTCCTCCTGACGTGGTTCCCGAACGTGGACTGGATGCGCCAGCCGTGGAGCATCTTGAGGCAGATCACGGATCCGTACTTGAACCTGTTCCGGAACTTGATACCGCCGATCATGGGTCAGATCGACTTCACGCCGATCCTCGGGTTCATGGTGCTGCAGTTTCTCGCGAAAGTGCTGTCGAGCGATCCGTCCGTGGGGAGGTTTTGATTAGAGAAGAAGATCGACTTCGGCGATGCGATGCGATGCGATCGCGGCGCGCGCGGTGTGGTGTGGTGTTATGCGTACACGTCGTGTTACAACGAGCGGCCGTCGTCCCGTCATCGCATCGCTCCTCCTCGTTCATTTCCTTCCGCCAAAAAATCGTTCCGTTCGTCTCTCTTCCTCTTCTTCTTCTTCTTCTTCTTCTTCTTCCTCTTCTCTCTTCTTCGCCCTCGTCGTCATCAGTCTTCACGCGCCGCGCGTCGTTCGTCGTCCGTCCTCGATCTGTCCTCTTCTCATCACACGCGCGAGACGATGAGCGCTTCTTCTTTGTCGGTTTCGTCGGCGAGGTCATCGTCCGCGACGCGCTCGTCGCGGAACCCTCGGCGGCCGCGGAGGCAACACGCGCGCGCGCCCCACGCGACGATGATCACGATCGTCAGCCACGCGAGCGCCGCGAGCGCGGCGCCGGCTTCGGTCTCTTCCACCTCCTCCTCCTCCGATGTGTAACCGCTACCGAACGAGCGTTTTCGTTTCGTCGTCGGCGCGTCCGCGTCCGCGTCGTCGTCGTCGTCGTCGCGCCGCGTGATCGCGAACCGATCCAGAACGCCCTTCCCGAACTGCGTCTCTTGAAACTCGCCGTACAGGTGCGTCCGGTTCACCACGGTGATTCGTAAGTACCCGTACTCGTACATGGTAACGTCCGAGAACGGGGCGTTATACGTCGCCGTCTTCGTGAACCCCGCGCCCGCGGAGCCGACGACGAAGCTCACCGCGGCGCCCGTCGCCGCGTACGCGTGCACGACGTCCCCGTTCGCGTCGATCGTCGGCTCGCTCCGCGCGACGCACCCGCGCGTCCCGTACGACTTCCGCGTCTTCCCCGCGCGCGTCGCGTCGAACGCGCAGTGGCGCTGGTACACGTGGTTGTGACCGCCGAACACCGCGTCGACTTTGTGCGCCGCGACGAGCGGCCAGACGTGCTTCTGGAGCTTCAACGCGACGCCGACGTCCGAGGTGTCGTCGCCGTATTCCCCCCCGCGCGCGTCGCGGTGGAACGCCGGGTATCTCGCGCCGAAGTCGGAGTCCAGGAGCATCGGTCGGTGCCCCGCGAAGAACACCCACGGCGTCTCCGCGCGGTTGCGGTTCGCGGTCGCCAGCGCGGCTTCCAGAAAGGCGTGCTGCGGCGACCCCGGGGCGAAGTCGACCTCGGTGTTCATCGAGACGATTCGTATCGGCCCCAAGGTCGCGGCCCACCAGCCGCCGGTTTTATTGGCACTAGTGTCTTCTTTACCGCCCGCGAAGGGTCTGGGTTCGCGATACAGCGCGCGCGCGGGGACGCCGCACTCCCCGCCGCTGTCCCCCGACGCGTACAAATCCCGGGGGGAAATCTTCCCCGACGACGTGTGGTTCACGTGTTGCCACGTGTCAGGCGTCGCGTCGTACTCGTGGTTCCCGACGCACGTCAGGAACGGCACTCTCGACGCCCACGGCGTGATCTGCTCCCCCCACTCGTCCCACACGCTGCCGTATCCGGTCGCGTAGGACAGATCGCCGAATAAGAACGCCGCGTCGACGACGCCCGCGCCGGCGTCCGAAGCGAGTCGCTTGGACACGTTAAACGCCGGCGAGCCGTACTCTTGCCACGTCCGAGCGTCATCGTCCGTGCCTCGGCCCATGTCCGCGAACATCGCGATCGTAAACGGCCGAAAAGGAGCCGTTTCGTTTCTCCCTTGATCACGATACGCGCAGGGCGGCACGGCGATTGTCAGCGGCGGCGCGTCCGGCGGCGGGAACGACCCGCCGGCGTCGTCAGACAGTCTGTACGACAACGTGCCGCCGCACGCGCCCGCCGGCGCGCGGACGATCGCGGCGTGGAGAAACCCCGGGTCGCGCCAGCCCGTCGAGTTCGCGGGCGCGCCGCACAGTTCGGACCGAGCGAACGGCGTCGCCGTCGTCGCGGCGACGACGGTCGACGCGTTCGCCTCGCTCGGTCCCCGCCACCACGACAGCCGCGGGTTCGCCGCCGCGGACCTCCCGCTGCTCCACGTCACCTCCAGCGGCGCCGGCGTCGCCGTGGAGGATACAACGTCGGAGAAGACCCCCACGCGCGGCCGACGCGGCCCGTCCTTCCCGGTCACCGTCACCGTTTGACTTCGGGTCGTTCCATCGTTCAACGCGACGAATGTCGGGCGGAGTTGAAAGGCGTCAGTCGTTGAAGTTGAAAGGCGTCGCGGCGTGTCGGGATCGACACCGTGGGGTGATGGGCGGAGAGAAACGCGCGCCGGGAGAGAAAGTCCTTAAGGAATGAAGTTCACAACGCGAACGCGGTCGTATGGGGACCGGCGCGAGATAGAACGAACGCGCCTTCGCGCGACGGCCACAGCCTCCGCCACCTTGTCCTCCCTCCACCGCTGCCGTTTCTCCCAGTCGTCCGCGAACACCACGAAGTCGTAGTCGTACCGCGCGCACGCGACCCGGAACCGCGCGGTCGCGACGCCGGCGACGAGGTACTCCGGATCCACCTCGGAGAGCACGGCGTATTTTACCGGCGCGACGGCGGTCACGTCGGCTCTGTGATGGAGGGCCATTCCACGGTACAAAAAATGTTCACCGGTCATCAGTTATCAGTTGAAAGGGGAAGCGATCAAACGTTGAAAGCGGGCGATGGGTGAACGCGAACGCACCTCGGAGGCGCGTACGCCCCGACCCAGTGACGAGCGCGCTCGCGCTCGCGCGCCGGCGCGGCGCTCGACGCGTTGCTCGCGCCGTCCTCCGTCAGCGTCACGCGCACCTCGACGACGTCTTCGCAGCGCGCGACGCACGCGGGGTCATCGCTCGCGTCGTTCGCGTCGTCGCGAACGACGCGGACGGAGAGCTTGAAGCCGTCCGAGGTCCACCACGACGACGACGCGTCGTCGTCTTCGTCGACCGCGCTGGGTTCGGCGCGACGGCGAAGACGCGGCGGGGTCTCGCGCAGGGACGACGGCTCGATCGCGGCGAGGGGGTTGTGTTGTCCGGCGTACACCGCCTCGCGCGAGGGGTGCGACGGGCGCATGAGGCTGCGGGAGGATGAAGGGAGGGGTAGTCTCGTCAGATCTGGCGCGACGAAACGCCTTTTGAATGATGAGATGATGATGAGTTTTTAGCGGGACGGCGGGAGACGGCTCGCGGGACGCGCCTCTTCGGCTCGATCGCCGCCGCGGGCGCGAGGAGCGCGAGGAGCGCCGTCGCCCGCGCGAGGAGCGCGGCCGTCATCGTCGGCGCCATGCCGCGAACTCCGCGCGCGGCGACGACTGAAGCGCGCGAGGTCCACCGTCCCGAAAGATTATTATTATTTCCCGCGAGTTTCAGGTGCGTTCTATACAAAAAAAGTTCACCGGTCAGTTGAAAGGGGACGCGATCAAGTGTTAAAACCGAGCGATGGGTGAAAAACTTTTGTACAGAACGCACCTTTGCATCGTTGCGGACGACGCGACGTCGCGTCGGGCTCGTCAAACCAGGGGCGCGCGACGATGACGGCGACGCCGCGCGCGCCCGCGCCCGCTCCCCCGCCGGTTCAGGTCTTCGTCTTCGACGACCGCCTCGGGCAGAAGGAGGGCGACGAGCTCTCGAAGATCCTCGCGCGGTTCCCGTCGCGCGTCCCGGACGACGCGCTCGCGTCGGACCTCGGCCTCGTCGAGGGCGTCGCGCGATTCGCGTCGTACTTCGTCGCGCGTCGTAAATCATCGTCCGACGCCTCCGCCTCCTCCTCCTCCTCCTCCTCCTCGCGCGCTTCGCTCTTCGAAACGAAGACGCAGACGATTCGCTCGCGACGCCGCCGAGTCACGTGCGCGTCGTTCGAGCCTAACCTGTGGTGGACGCTCGCGATCGACGACCGCGTCGCGCCCGCGGATGAGATCCGCGACGCCGCGCTCGTCGAGCTCCTCGCGCGCGCGAACGAATCGCACGTCTTGGTGCGTCCCATACACTGGTCCCCATACGACCCCGTTCGCGTGGTGAACGCCGATCCTTAAGGACTTCGCCCGGCGCGTCTCTCCGCCCAGGGTCCCTCGCTTTCAATCCCCGACCTCGACGCCTTTCAACTCCGCTTCTGACGCCTTTCAACTCCAGACGCGCGGCGATCGCGCCACCGCGGACTCGCTAGCGGCGATCGTCGCGGACCTCGGCGCGAGCCTCACGCCGTCCGAGGCGGGGTCGTCGCCGCGGACGGGCGGAGGCTTCGTCGGGGGACGACGCGCGGTCGGCCGCGCGGAGAGTGCCGGCGCCGCGGATGACGCCGCCGCGCCGTCCCGCCGCGCGACGGCGGTCTCCGCGCTCTTCGCGTGCGCCGTCGACGGCCTCGACGGCGCGTGCGCCGCGATCGCGGGGCCCGGGGCTGAGTCTTCGTCTTCGTCGTCACGGCGGGCGTGGTTGACCGCGCAGGGTTGCGCGGACGCGATAGCGGCGGCCGGCGCCGACGCCGGCGCCGGCGGCGCTGTGAAGGGCGTCGTCCTGTTTCACGGCGACGCGCTCGCGTTCAGCTCGTTCTCGGCGAGCGACACGAGGCGGATGACGCGCGTGATTCGCAGGGCGCTGCTCGCGGAGGGCGGCGGCGACGCCGAGGCGCGCGCGAAGGCGACGCGCGCGGAGGCGGCGCGGGGGGTCGAAGCGTGCGGCGGCGGCGGCGGCGGCGGCGGCGCGTCGTGGCCGTTCATGGACGGGGAGTGGCGCGCCGTCGCGTCGTCGTCGTCGCCGCCGCCGCCGCTTCCGATGCACCTCGCCGACGGCGTCGTGGACGCGTTCGCGGTGCTGCCGCCGAGCGGCGACGCCGTCGCCGTCGTCGCGCTGGCGCGCGGCGGCGCCGCGGACGCGAACGAGGGGGAAAACGAAACCGCGCGGCTGCGCGACGCCGTCGCCGCCGCCGCGTCGCCCCGCCTCGTCGACCTCCACGCGGCGCTCTCCTATTCGCCCACCGCGGAGACGACGACGCGCGGCGGAGCCGACGCCGACGCCGACGCCGACGCCGACGCCACGTGTGAGCCGCGCGAACGCCACGTGTACGCGTTTCGCGATCCCGCCTCCGCGACGCGCGTCGGGTCTTCTCGCGAGCGGCGCGTCGAGGGGACGTCCGCGAGCGCGCTGCGGACGCTCGACCACGTTCGAGACGATTGGGATCATCCCGCGTCGGACGCCGCGCCGATCTCGGAGGCGTGCGCGCGCGGGAGCGACGACCGTTGGGTGTACGCGACGCGAACGACGACGACGAAGGAAGACGCCGCGGCGGCGGCGGATGAGAGGGGGTTGTTTGTCGTTTTGGATAAAACGCTCGCCGGAGAGACGTTACTCGAAGCCGCCGCGGAGGCGAAGAAGTTCGCCGCGAGCGCGACGTTCCGCGGCGTCTTTCGTCGTCGTCACGGCTAGCGCGTCGTTCGTTCGTAGGTACTGTACGTATCATCCCTAGCATCGTAAGTAGTACGATGAGATGTGCTAGCTATCGCCGTCGAGCGAAGAAGAGGTTCCTTCCGCGCGCGTTCTATCGCGTCTACGCGCTCGCGTCGGGCGGCGCGGGGGCGACCCTCACCGGCGCGCCTCCGGGCCGTTCCATACAAGCGAAAGTCGGGGTGGAGTTCAAAGGCGTCAGGTGGCGTTGAAAGGCGCCGAGGGTGGGGATTGAAAGCGGGGGGTGGGCGGAGAGATACGCCGGCAAAAGTCCTTAAGGATCGGCGTCCACCTCGCCAACGCGGTCGTATGGGGACCAGTGTATAGAACGCACCTCCGTCCCTTCTCGGCGCCGGCGGCGTCGGCTTCGCCATCCGCTGCCGCGACGGCGCCACCGCGGTCATCTGCTCCTCCGTTCCCTTCCCCTTCCCCCCCCCGCCCCCGCCGCCGTCGCTCTTTCTGTTCGCCCTCCGCGCCACGGCGTCGACGAACCCGCGCACCCGCGCCACGAACGCGCTGGAGCGGTCCAAGTCCACGACGTCGTCGTGCCCCGCCGTCGGCACCCACAGCGGCGCCGCGAAATCGTCGTTAACGGCGCTCCCCACGAGTCGCGCGTGCAGCCCGCGCCCGTGCGACGCCGCGATCGTCTCGTCCCTCTCGCCGTGCACGACCAACGTGGGACACGCGATCTGTAGGATACAGTACGTAGAAGTTCATCGGTCGTCAGTTGAACGGGGGCGCGATCGATCACGTGTTGAAACGAACGGAAACGGAAGGGTGGCGGGAGGTTAGAGGTGAAAAAAAAACGATCAGACGCGACGCGAGCCGTCGTCGGGTCGCGCACCTCGCTCGCGAGGCGATCGTTTCGAAACACGTCGCACGGCGCGCACACCTGGTGCGGCGCGCACCAGCCCCCGTACGGCGCGATGACGCGCAGCCCCGACAGCAACGGGCTCACGAGGACCAACCCGCCGATGGGATGATGTCGGTAACGCCCTTCTGTCGGGGTGGAGTTCATAGGCGTCAGTTGGAGTTGAAAGGCGCCGAGGGCGGGTATTGAAAGCGAGGGGTGGGCGGAGAGATGCGCCGGGCGAAGTCCTTAAGGATCGGCGTCCACCTCGCCAACGCGGTCGTATGGGGACCAGTGTGAGATAGAACGCGCCTGATCCCTTCTGCCGTTTTTTTTCACCCGCCGCCGCCGCCGCGTACGCCACCGCGGGGCCGCTGCCGACGGATTGCCCGACGACGACGACGCGCTCGGGGCGCACGCGTCGCGCCGTCACGACCCAGTCCACGACCGCGATCAAGTCCGCCTTCGCGGCCTCGATCGACGGCTTCCACTTCGCCGCGGACGCTCTCGCGCGCTTCTCCGTCGCGTCGACGTCGCCGTCGTCGGACCCGGCCCACCCGGACGCGTCGCCGCGGACGTTTGGCCCGTACCCGGTGTAATCGAACGCGACGACGCCGACGTCGAGGGCGTCGTGCATCTCCAGCGCGAACGGCGCCGCCGTGCCGAGGTCGAGCGCGTTGCCGTGCGCGAGGATCAGGACGCACCGCGCGTCCGGGGCGACGCCTCGAGAGACGACGGCGACGTTCGCCATCTCGTCCTCATCCGATCCCTTCGACGACGACGCGCGGCGCACGAGGTCCACCTCGAACGCGTTGAACACCCCCCCCCACGCGCGCTGAACGCGCGGGTCGTCGTACGTCGCCACCTTGCGTCCGTGCGCGAACCCGACGCCGTCGTGGACGCCGTACGTGGGCGGGTTCGGAGGGTAGAAGGCGAACGCGGAGCCCATCGCGCTGGGCGCGCAGCCGAATCGAGCGAGAACGACGCCGACGGCGCACGTCTCGACGCAGTGGCACTCGCACCCGCCGCCGCCGCCGCGGTCGTCGTCCTCCGCGGCGACCGCGGGGGCCGACGGCGCCGGCGGCATCCTCTCGCGCGTCGTCGTCGTGTGGAGGCGACAGACGGGACTTTTCGCGCTCAACTGCGTGCGCGTCGCGGTCGGTCGGTTGCGCTCACGGCAGCACGCCTGGCAGGAGTTCTTTGCGGCGCTTCGAGGAGCGCTCTGCCCTCTGGCCGGCGCGTCACAACGCGAGCGCGCTTCGCTCGCGCCCGGGTCGCCTCCGCGCTCGTCCCACGGCGCGTCCGCGCTCGCGCGCGCTCGAAACCCGTCGTCCGCGCGGCGCTTCCGGAGAGGCGAGGGGCGCCGTCAAAGAGCGTCTCTCTCGCGGCGGCTTTTTCTTTTTTCTCCCGCCCTCCGCGAACGCCGCGAGATCGGGGACGTCGTCGCCCCGGTCCCCGCCGCGCGAGGGCGTCCGAAGTCGTCGAAACTCGAGCGAAGATGTCCAGCGTGCTCGAGCGCTCGACGCCCGGGGAAACCCGCGCGTCGCGCGCGCTCGCGAGCCGCGATCGCGCGTCCCCCGCGATCGCGCGTCGGCCGCGCGTCGGCAGCGAAGGAGGAGCCGGGATCGCGCGCGACGACGCCGCCGCCGCCGGTCCCCACGCGACCGCCACCGCGTTCGCCGCGCCGTCCGTGATCGGCACGGAGCACTTCTACGGGCACATGCTCGCGGGCGCGCTCGCGGGGACGACGGAGCACTGCGCGATGTTCCCTCTGGACACGATCAAGACGCGCATGCAGACCGCGGTGCGAGGGATCGCGGTGTCGCCGGCGGTGGCGCGCACAGCTGGCGCAACCGCGGCGGCGGCGGAAATTCATTCGCACTTCAACCCCGTCTCCGCGATGCGCCACGCGACGCGAGCGCTCATGCGCGCGGAGGGCGTCGCCGGGCTCTACCGCGGCATCTCCGCCGTCGGCATCGGCGCCGGCCCCGCGCACGCCGTCTACTTCGCGACGTACGAGCACGCCAAGGAGGCGCTCGGCGGGAACGCGAATAAAAATCAGCACGCGCCGCTCGCGCACGCCGCGGCGGGGATGTGCGCGACGATCGCGGGCGACGCGGTGCAGACGCCCGTGGACACGGTCAAGCAGCGGCTTCAGATGTCCGGGTCGCCGTATCGAGGCGTGGTGGACTGCGTGAGCGCCACGGTCCGCGCGCAGGGCGTCGGGGCGCTGTATCGGAGCTATCCGACGACGCTCGCGATGAACGTGCCGTTCACCGCGATCCACTTCAGCTCGTACGAGAGCGCGAAGATCGCGATGCGGGTGGACGACGAGGATAAAGAGGAGACGTTCGCGGTGCAGTTCCTCGCGGGCGGCGCCGCGGGCGGCCTCGCCGCGGCGGTCACGACGCCCCTGGACGTCGTGAAGACGCGGATGCAGACGCACTGCGAAGTCGCCGAGTGCGAGCTGAGCGCCACGGTGAAGTCGGAGCTCGCGCCCGGGGGGACGGGGAAGGGCGTGTGCGCGGTGACGGGCGATCCGATCGCGTGTAAGGCTGCGGGGTCGGGGTCTCCGGTGGGCGCGGAGGCGGCGTTAAAAAATAGTAACGCCAGTGGCGCGACGGTTACTAGCGCGGCGACGAGGAGCCCATACGGGACGTCGAACATGGCGGCGGCGATGCGCGCCGTCGTCGCGGAGGAGGGCGCGGGCGCGCTGCTCCGGGGGTTGGGGCCGAGGGTGTTGTTTCACATCCCCGCCGGGGCGATCTCGTGGGCGACGTACGAGTACGGGAAGAGGGTGCTGGGGGTTTCGGGGTCGAGCGGGGGGGGGACGCATCATCACTGATGACGTGGCGGAGGCGGAGGAGGACGAGTAGCGAGGCGAAGATCAGATCGCGTGAGATAAAATTCCATCAAAACGAGCACGTTCCGAAACGTCCACGTCACTCGCTTCGCGTCGCGACGGAGGATGCCGACGTCGTCCGCGGCTCGGCGCGCGCTCGCCGCGCTCGCCGCGCGACGCGCGAGCGCGTCGCGCGTCGTCGCGGGCGCGTCCGACGGCGGCGTGCACGGCGCGGCGCGCGCGCACGGCGTCGGCGCGGGTCGCCGCGCCGCGCGCTGCTTATCCGCGGTGATGGACGTCGCGTCGTCGTCGTCGTCGTCGTCGTCGTCGTCGTCGTCGTCGTCGTCGTCGTCGCGCGCGATGCTCGCGACGCGCCACCGCGGCATCAGCACCGGGAAGTCGCCGTTGGAGGAGGACTACGCGTACCAGAAAGCGCTCGAGGAGCGCGAGGCGGCGCTGAAGGAGATGCGCGCCGCGTCCGCGGCGATCGAGGCGTCGTCCGCCGAGTCGTCCCGCTCGGCACCCTCATCGTCCTCGTCCGCGCCTCCCGCCGCGCCTCCGAAGCCGAAGCCGAAGCCGAAGCCGCCGGCGTTCGGCGTCCTCAGCAGCGGCGGCGCTCGCGCGCCCACGAAGCCGGCGGAGAAGCCCAAGCCGAAGACGACGGTCGTGAGGGCGCCGACGCTGGGCAGGCCGGACATCAGCAGCGCGTCGTCTGGCGGCATCGCCGGGCCCGCGGGAAATCGAAACTTAATGCCCGCGCCGCCGCCGGAGCCGGAGGAGCCGGAGATCGGCCAAGGCCACCTCCGCGATATCCTCCAGGAGGGGAGCTTCGAGAAGTACGGCGTCGGCGGGTTGGACGCGGAGTTCATGACGATCTTCCGCAGGGTCTTCGCGTCGCGGATGGTCGCCCCGGACGTCGTGAGGCGACTCGGGATGCGTCACGTCAAGGTGGGCGATCGACGACGCCAAGTGGCAGCGCGTCTTATCGGCCGCGCGTTTCTCCACGTCAGCGATTTCGTTGTCCACGTCACCAAATCTCACCAATCAAACCTCGCCCTCCACCTAATGAATCCATCCATCATCGCCAGGGGATGCTGCTCTACGGCCCGCCCGGGACCGGGAAGACGCTCGTCGCGAAGCAGCTCGGGAAGCTCCTTAACGCGCACCCGCCGAAGATCGTCAACGGGCCGGAGATTTTGCAGCGGTTCGTCGGACAGTCCGAGGAGAACATGCGCGACCTGTTCGCGCCCGCGGAGAAGGAGTTCAAAGGGAAGGGCGACAAGAGCAAGCTGCACGTCATCATCTTCGGTGCGTTCCGCGCCTCCGCACGACAAACGTTTTTCACCCATCCCTCGGTTTCAACATGACAACATTCGATCGCGCCGGTCCCTTTCGACCGATGACCGACCGACGAACCGCCAAGCTAACCCTCTTTCGCATGGAACTACAACGTACGACCCTCATCAGACGAAATCGACGCCATCATGAAGGCGAGAGGCAGCGGCGGCGCCGCCGCCTCCGTGGTCCACGACAACGTCGTCAATCAGCTGCTCACGAAGCTCGACGGGATGCAGTCGCTCGATAACGTCCTCGTCGTCGGGATCACGAATCGCCGCGACCTCCTCGACCCCGCGGTGCTGCGACCGGGGCGCTTGGAGCTCCAAGTCGAGGTGGGCTTGCCAGACGAGCGCGGTCGAAGGCAGATTTTTAACATTCACACCGCGGCGATGCGCGCGGGCGGGATGCTCGCGGCGGACGTGGACGTGGACGCGCTCGCGGCGACGACGGGGAACTACAGCGGCGCGGAGATCAAGGGCCTCGTCGGCGCGGCGCAGTCGCACGCGCTGGCGCGGTACCTCGCCGCCTCCGGAAACGAAAACGAAAACAAAAACGAAAACGAAAACGAAAACGAAAACGAAAACGCCGCCGCCGCCGCCGCCGCCGCGAACGTCGTCGTCACCGCGGACGATTTCGAGCGCGCGGCGCGAGAGGTCCGACCCGCGATGGGCGCGGACGAGGCCGCGCTGAGCGCGCTGCGACCGCTCGGGATGCACTGCAGCTGCGACACCGGGTCCGCGGTCGTCTCCCGACACAAGCGCGCGCGAGACGCCATCGCGCCCCTCTTGCGCGCCGTCTCGAGGAGCGTCGTCGCCGTCTCCGACGCGAGCGCGAGCGCGCCGAAACCTAACGGCCCGGACCACATCACGGTGCTACTGCACGGCCCGCCCGGGTCGGGAAAGACCGCCGCGGCCGCGGAGGCGTCCGGGTTCGAGGCGTCGGGGTTTCCTCACGTCAAGGTGTTCCGCGCCGAGCTCGCCGTCGCGAACGGGCCGGACGCGGCGCTGCACGCGCTTCGCGTCGCGTTCGACGACGCCGCGAAAGCGCCGCTGTCGCTGCTCGTGATCGACAGCCTGGAGATCCTACTCGGGATCGCGGTCGGAGAGGGCGGGGACGCTCGAGTCGCCGCGGGCGGCGGCGGGGCGAAGAAGACTTCTTCGGGGACGACCCCGTGCGCGCCGCCGCACGCGGAGCTCCTCCAGACCCTCCACGCGCTGCTTCGTCGGCCGCCGCCGCCGGGCAGGAAGCTCGCGGTGCTCGCGACGACGAGCTCCATCGACGCGATGCGACGCGTCGGCGTCTCCGGCGCGTTTCACGCCGCCGTGGAGGTGCCCCCGCTCTCGCGCGACGAAGCCGCGCGCGTGCTCGCGACGGAGGGCGCGTTCGGCGCCGGCGATCACGACGCCGCGGTCGTCGCCGCGGAGATGATCGAGATCAGCGCGAGCGGCGGGAACGGCGACGACGCGACGACCGGGGTGGCGATCAAGCGGTTATTGCGCGCGGCGCAGCTCGCGCGCGCGCTGACGTCGGCGAGCGGCGGGAACGGCGGCGACGTCGTTGTGGACCCGCGAGGAGGGCCGTGGTTGACCGCGTTGGAACGCGGCGGGGTGTTGCGGAGCGACGTCGCGGAGGTTCGCGGCGGGTACGCGTAGCCCAGCCCCGCGACGACGAAGAATGCGCGCGTGATACGACGATGCGATGCGATTCTTTGTGATGAGCTTATTTACACAACACGTGATGATGCCTACACGTACATACAGTATAATTCGTGAATACAGTACTGTACGTCGCCCCTCGGCTCGAATACCGTCCGCGCGTCCGTCTCATCGCAGCAACTCCGTCGTGTCCTCGATCGACGTCGCGTTCGCGGCGTCCGTGGCGTTCGCGGCGTCCGTGGCGTCCGTGGCGTTCGCGAGTGCCTCCACCTTCGCCGTCGCGTTCGTCGCGTTCGCGGCGTCCGTGGCGTTCGCGAGTGCCTCCGCCTTCGCCGTCGCGTTCGTCGCGTTCGGCGGCGGCGCGGGTGCGGGCGCGGGCGCGGGCGCGGGCGCGGGCGCGGGCGCCTCCTCCTTCTCCTTCTCCTTCTTCTCCTTCTTCTCCGACTCGTCCATCGCCTTCAAATTCTCCTCGCACGTCTCCGAGTCCAGCTTCAACTTTTTCAGATCGAACCCGTCCTCGGACGCGAGCTCGTGCGCGAGCTTCACCTTGGCATCCTTCTCCGCCCACTCCGCGCGCTTTTTCGCAAACTTCAACCCGAGCGCGTCGCAGCCGTGCACCTCCTTCGCGGTGTCGCCCAGCTTCCTCGCGGACGCCTCCATCGCCGCGGTCGCGTTCTTCGCCGCTCTCGTGCTCTCCTCGAGCGCTTCGATCTTTTCCAGCGCGGCGTCCTTCTCGCGCGTCGCGCGGTTCTTCGCTCGACGGAGGTCCTGCTCGGATTTTTTTTCGCGGTCGAGCGCGGCGGTGAGACGGTTGATCTCGTCCGAGTCCTTCTGCGCTTGGCCGCCGTCGGCGTCGGCGACCGCGTCGGCGTCTTTGGCGGCGTCTTTCGCGTCGTCTTTCGCGTCGTCCTCCTCCTTGTCGTCCACTTCGTCCCCCTCCTCCTCCTCGTCGTCGTCGGAAGTGCTGTTCTTCTTCGTCTTCGTCAACAGCTTGCGCCGCGTGTTCATCAGGCTCGAAAACTCGTCCTCGGGCGACGCCGGCGCCGCCTCCGCCGTCGTCGTCTCCGCCTCTTTCGCGTCGGCGTCGGCGTCGGCATCGGCGTCGTCGCCGCCTTTATCGTCCGCCGCCGTCGTCGTCGTCGTCGTCGTCGTCGTCGCCGCCGCCGCCGTCGTCGCGAGCGCGTCGTCGATCCCCTCCGTCGTCGCCGGCGCCGGCGCCGCCGTCGCCGGCGCCGCCGTGTCGTTCACGCCCAACGCGTCGTCGATCAAGTCGTCGCTCGTGGACTCGAGCGTCTCCGCGGCGGTGCGTTCCTCTGCTTTCTTCGCCTCGATCGCCGCGTCGCGATCCGTCTTGATTTTCGCCGTGCACGCCGCAAACGCCGCCTTGGCCTCCTCGACATCCTCCTTCAGCGCCTTGAGCTTCTCTCGCGCCGACGTGTCGCCGACGCGCTTCACGAGGACGGATCGAACGAGGTCATACTTTTCGATCGTGTCCTCGCATTTCGCTCGAGATGTCGCTCGCTGCGTCGCGTTCGACGCCTTCGCGGCGGCCGCATCGGCGTCGGCGGCGTCCTTTTCCTTCATTTTCTCCTCCTCCTCCGCCTTCGTCTCTCGTTCGTCGTCGTCGTCGTCGTCTGCCTTCTTCTTCTTCTTCTTTCTCCCGAGCGAAGCGCCCGTCGGGCTCTCGCGCTTCGCGCGCGCGAGCGCCGCCGCCGGGGCGTTCCCGTCGTCTTCGTCGAGCGCGCCGTCGAGACCGAGTCGCGGCGCGCGCGCGATTCGCGCCGCGTCGACGGCGCGAGCGTCATCGTCTCCCCCGAGCGCGACCGGGGCGATCGATCCTCCTCCCGCGCCGCGCGCGAGCGCCGCGGCGAGCGCGGCGACGAGCGCGAGCGTCGCCGCGAGCGCGACCGCGCGCGTCCACGACGCCGAGGACGCGCGCGAGGCGCGGATCAACGGCGCCCTCTCGTCCGCGGACGGCATGGTGAGTTGGGACGGACGTTGGCTATCGATCGAGACGAGGCCGCGGCTCGACCAACAATCAAAAGATAACACCCTCGGTGGGTCGCGTCTGGACGTCCGTCGCGGCGGGTTCGACGCGCGCGACGACGCGGCGCGCGACTCCGAAGCGGGTTCGCGCGAGTTCTGGCGCGGGGGCGCGTCGGGCGCGCCGCGTGCTGTGCGGCGTTCGCGCGTTCCGCGCGCGCCCGCCTTTTTTTTAGGGGTTCTTGTTTCCCTCGACGCGAAAGGCGAAACCGCCTGGAAGGATCACAGCAAACGATGTTCATCGCAGATGAGTTGAAAGGCGCCACGATCAAACGTTGACACCAAGGGGTGGGTGAAACGCTTTTGATCGACGCACCCGACCGAGAACGCGCACGCGCCACCAGCGGAGGTCCTGTCATGTCAGGTTGTTGAGTTCTTCCTTCCTTTCGCCCGCCCGCGCCAGAGATCTGAGCGCGCCCGTCGACGTCGGCGTCGATGGCGCGCGCTGCTCGAGACGGTCCCGACCCCTGGATCGTCCTCGACGCGTCTCTCGACGCGGAGGAGCGCGCGCTCGCGGGTCCGGAAGCGCGCTGGACGCGCTCGGACGACGACGACGACGACGACGACGGCGCGCGCGCGCTCGAAAGAAACGCCTCTCGCGACGACGACGACGTCGCTCCGCGTCGTCCCGCGTCCTCCGCGCCCGCGCCCGCGGCGCGTCTTCGCCCTCCGCCGTCGTTGTCGTCGCGCGCCCTCGCGCGCGCGTCGCTCCGCGCGAGGTTCGACGGCCACGCGGACTACCTGCGCGATCGCGCGAGGAACGACGCGTACGACGCCGCGATCCGACGGATGTGCGTCGACTCGCGTCTGACGATCGACATCGGCGCGGGGAGCGGGCTGTTGGGGCTGATGGCTCGCCGCGCGGGCGCGAAGGACGTCGTCGCGTTCGAGGTCGTCCCCGCGCTCGCGGCGTTGGCGCGCGCGAACGCGCGGAAGAAGGCGAACGGCGGGCGCGGGGAGGAAGAAGAGGAGGAAGAGGAGGAGGATGAGGAGGAGGAGGACGACGACGACGGGAAGAAAAAAAGTAACTTCGTCGTCCTCGACGTCGACAGCCGCGCGGCGACGACGGTCGGCGACGACGGCCAGCGCTGGGCCGTCGTCCACGTGGACGAACAAGAGAAATCCACGTCATCGCGTACCGGCCACGTGGCACTCGAATACCCGCGCGCGGACTGCGTCGTGAGCGAGCTCCTGGACACGCGGCTCGTCGGCGAGGGCGCGTTTTCCTCGCTGCGTCACGCCGCGAAGACGCTGCTCGCGTCGCCGTACAGATGCGTCCCCGCGTCCGCGACCGTGTACGCGCAGGTCGTGCGGAGTCCGCACCACGCGGCGATGGGGGCGCTGCGGCCGATAGGGAACGAAGGGGACGAGAGAGGAGGGGGGGACGACGCGGCGCGCGAGAGGTTCGCGAGCTGCCCCGGACCGCCGTCGCACTCGGACGCGAACCTTCTGTTGGCGTTTGAAAACGGTCACGTCGTGGCGGTTACTGAACCGATCGCGGTGTACAGCGTCGACTTCGCGAACCTGCCGGAGGAAGGAACGGTGTTCGAGGAGACGTTCGAGGCGCCGCTGTTGCCTCCGAACGCCGAAGGCGGCGGCGGTAGAAAAAACGCCTCGGCGACGGCGGACGCGGTCGTGTTCTGGTGGGACTGCGACCTCGGCCCTGGCGAATCAGGATCCGACATGTCATCCAAACGAACCAATCGCGGCGACGAAAAAGCGAGCACGAACCCGATCACGATGTCCACGTCACCGCGGGACAACGGCGCGAGGATGCACTGGCGCCAGGGCGTGAAACCGCTCGCGAGCCAAATCGTCGTTCCAAAAGAAGCGACCGCGTTGACGATCGCCCTGACCGCGTCCGACGACGATCTGCGCTTCAAAGTCAGCGTCAAAGACGGTCGCGAAGATGCCGACGCCGACGCCGACGCCGACGGCTGCCGATGCCACGCGCACGCGCTGTGGGGCCGCGACAAGGTCGCTTTGCACAACGACCCGCGGTGGCGCGCCGCGTTTCGCCGCGGCGTCGAAGCCACGCTCGCGCGTCCCGGCGCCGGCCTCGGGACGTGCCTCGACGCCGGCGACGGTCCGCTGCTCTCCGTGCTCGCCGCGCGCGCGGGCGCGCCGGGGGTGTTGTGCGTCGAGCGCGACGACGCGCGCGCGGGGGTGTCGAAGGCGCTGTGCGCCGCGGAGGGCGGCGGCGTCGCGAGGGCGGTCAAGGTGGTCGCGGCGTCGTCGAAGGTGCGCGCGGACGCGAACGCGGGCGAACTCGGGGGACTCGGGGAGACCGTCCGCCGCGCGGCGGAGGACCTATCGCGCGACGGCGACGACGGGCACGACGGGAGAGACGAGGAGACGTACGAGCTCGACGTCGCGTACGTCAAGGCGTGCAAGAGGGAGGCTCAGCACTGCTCGAAGCACGCGCGCGAGGTCGGGGCGTTGTACCAACGCGCGAGCGACGAGTTCGACGACGCGTGCGCGTACCTCGCGGGGGAGGACCCCGGCCTCTTCGAAAACGCGACCAACGTCTACGGCGTCGTCGAACGTCGAGGTCGCGGTCGCGTTGGACGGCACCGGGACCGCGCGAATGATGACGCGTTCGCCGGGCGTGGGTGGACCGACGACGACGACGACGACGACGACGACGACGACGAATTCGACGACGAGCAGTGGGACGCATGGCGTCGTATCGAAATGGACCCGAGGCTGGACGATCTCCGGGAGAGGAAGGAGACGCTCGCGGCGCTCGCGGCGACGCGCGCGGAGGTCGCGGATCAGGATGAGCAGCGATACCGCGCGGCCAAGCGCGCGTTTGAAAGGAAGTACGCCTCTTTGAAAGGCGGAGGCGCGCCTTTCGACGCCGGTCAAAGTCGCGCCGGCGCGGTCGCCGCGTTCGGCGGATCGCACGCGCCCGCGTGGGTGTTCCTCTGCGCGCCCGGATTCACGGACACGCCTGAAACGGACGGCGTCGGGGGGTTACTCGCGACGTGGAGCGAGCACGACCTGCGAGAGATTTGGCGGCGGCGGCGCGCGGCGAGGCGCGCCGGCGTGCTCGGTGCGTTCTCCTCGCACTGGTCCCCATACGACCGCGTTGGCGTGGTGAACGCCGATCCTTAAGGACTTCACTTCCCGGCGTGTGTTCCTCTCCGCCCACCCCTCGCTTTCAATCCCCGCCCTCGACGCCTTTCAACTCTGACCGACGCCTTTCAACTCCGCCCTTCGACTCCGCCCCGCAGCGCCCGCGGCGTTCTCCGTCCCGTGCGCCGCCGCCGTGCGCGCGACGCCGATCGAGTGCGAACCGCTGTGGCGCCGAAACCGGCCCATCGGCGAGCTCCCCGACGACGTCTCCGGGTTCGACCTCGCCGCGTTCAACGAGCTATGGCCTCCGCTCGACGACGACGACGCCGTCGCGGTGGCGCTTTCAGAGGAGACGTCGCACGCGCCGCTCGCGGACCCGGCGACGGCGTTGCTCGTCGAGCTCCAGGGCGTCGGCGCGGACGACCCCTCCGCGATATCCAATCGCGTGTCGTTTACGCTCGGCGTCGGCGAATCGCGAGCGACCACGTGTCACGGGATCGCGCTGTGGGTGGACTTCGACACGTGCGGCGGCGGGTGGGTGAGCACGGGGCCGTGCGATCCCGCGTTCGCGGCGGCGAACTACGGGCAACCGGGCACGCCGAACCCGGACGACGCGTCGACGTCGATGTCGACGTCGAGACGACCCCGCGCGGCGGCGAGAAAAACGAAGCGCGCGCGGAAAGGAGGGTCGGGGTCGGGGTCGGGGTCGCGCGCGGCGGGCGTTAAAAGTCCTCAAGGAACGGTGTTCACGACGCCAACGGGGTCGTATGGGAACCGGCGTGATGAGATTGAACGCGCCCGCCGCGCGCCGTATTCCACCCCGAGCGCGTTCAAGCAGGGCGTCGCGCTGTTGCGAGAGCCGATCGTCGTCGGCGCGGGGGAGACGGTCGCGGTGACGGTGGACGTGCGGTTCGACCCGGAGGCGCGCGACGGGAGAGGATGCGTGACCGCGAAGGTGGCGAGGGTGGATCGCGAGCGGACGCCGCGGGGAGGGTAAGGGCCGTTCTATACAAGCGAACGTCGGGGTGGAGTTGAAAGGCGTCAGGTGGAGTTGAAAGGCATCGAGGACGGGGATTGAAACCGTGGTGTGGGCGGGCAGAGACGACGGCAAAAGTCCTTAAGGATCGGCGTCCACCTCGCGAACGGGGTCGTATGGGGACCAGTGTATAGAACGCGCCTAAGTCGTTCGTCGGAAGAAGAAAGAGAAGACGAGACGACGAAGACGAAGGAGGAGGAGGAGGCGACGAGGATAGAAGACGACGTGACGACGAATAGACGACGACGGCACGATAGCATCGTCGAGACGTGTAACGACGAGGAGAAGCAGAACGACCACAGACGACGGCGACGACGCGACCTCGGAGGCCCGACCGACGATATTTATTTCGTCGTCCAGAGAGAGTCCAGTCATCACTGCAGTCGCCTCTCTCCTCATCACAATCGGTCGCGTTCCCGCCGTCCGCCATGGCCGCGCGGTCGCCGTCGCCCCCGCGCGCGCGGTCCCCGACCTCCTCCCCTCCCGCGTCCGCGTCCGCGTCCGACGATCTCCGCGCGGTGGAGGCGCTGACGATCGAGCTCGCGGCCGCCGTCGCCGCGCGCGACGCGCTGCGCGCGATCGCGACGGCATCCTCCGCGGAGGCTGAGATGGCGCGCGCGGACGCGGACGCGTGGCGCGCGCGGTGCGAGGCGGCGCGCGCGGAGACGCTCACGACGCGCGCGATGACGCGCGAGGCGAACGATCGATGCGCGCGGAGAGACGCGGACCTGGAGACGCTCGCGCGCCGGCTGCGAGAGATGCGGAGCGAGGCGTACGCGGTGACAGCTGTGCGGTCGTCGGATCTCGCCGCGACGAGATCCGACGCGTTCGACGCGTTCGCGCATCACGAGCGCGGCGTCGACGCGAATGTCGACGCGTTCGCGCTCGAGGACGAGGAGCGCGCGTATCTTCGATCGCTCCTCGTATCGCGCGCGGCCGCGGAGGCGGAGGTGGTGTCGACGCGCGCGACGCTCGAGACGGAGCGCGCGACGCGACGCGCGATCGAGTTGGAGCGCGACGCCGCGCGAGAGGCGGCGAGAATCGCCGCCGCGGTCGCGGAGGACGCGACGCGGCGACGCGCGGAGTCGGAGAAGGAGACGGTCGCGGTGATGGCGACGATGCACGAGGAGATGGCGACGTTGCGCGTCGCGCGGGCGAACGCGGCGGCGGCGACGGAGGCGGCGGCGGCGACCGCGGAGGAGAGGAAGAGGCGGGCGGCGGCGAAATCGACCAGTAGGGCGAACGCGTCGCCGAAGACGATGGAGAAAAACGTCCAACCAGCGAGCGTTTCGAGCGTTCACGAAGCCGGGCGGCACGTCGACGCGATGCGGGCCAGCGTGGACGCGTACGCGCGGGAGAGGGAGCGCGCCGCGCGAGGGAGCGGGGTGGGACGCGACGGTCCGATCGCGCCTTCGGCGGCGCCTTCGGCGGCGACGGCGGCGGCGGCGGCGGAGGCGGGAGTGGGCACTTCGAAGACGCCGGGCGCGCGACGCGACGCGGACGAGGACGACGAGTTCACCGCGATGGTGCGGAGGCTCGGGTACACGGGCGCGGTGTCGCCGCTGCGGCCGCTGCCGCTGGCCGCCGCGCTCGCCGCGGCCTCGGGCGTTTCTCCCGGGCCGTCCGCGGCGGCGGCGGCGGCGTCCGCGTCGTCGTCGAGGAACGAGATCC